CGTCCGACATTCAAGCCTCAAGGACCGAAAATATTCATGCCCCTCGCTCAGCAGAATCCGGGTCCACCGTCGATTGACCTGTTTCTGCATGCGTCGACAGAAGAGTGTAAAAGTGGTCCGACTAGGGTTGACATCTGGATCCCTACGCGGCATCTCATGATCTTCTTCTTGCCCTACTGTGCTCGCATTCTGCAGCCAGACGTCGCAAATACTCTCGCTCGCTTGCAGCATCCGCACTGCACAGGCCAACCTGAGCCTCTCAAGGCCTCCTCAGCCGCTGCTGCTGCTGCTGCTGCTGCTCAAGCCCCATGTCCAGACTCGACTAGTGCCAGGGCCATGAATCTGTCTGTATGATACTGTCCGAGATTCCTCCTCTACCACAGGAGATTAGATCATCCAATCGCGAATCAGAAAGAGCACGCCCCAGGTTGCCATGCATGGACGGCACATTACCACAGCTGCTTGTATCGACCAACCTTTCCAGACCCCCAGCAGCCCCAACCTTTCCGAACTGTGCACTGGTTAGTACGAGTGCCAACCATGTTGGAATTGGAATGGCGCAGCCTTTCTCCATGTCGTTTGCAATTCACAAATATACTGCACCTGAACGTGGACTCCGGTCAGGGCAGTGAGTCAGTCCGTCCGTCCGTCCGTCAGTCAGTCAGTCGAGCAAATCGTGATCATTGCTCAGAACGATGATGGTACAGGGCGATTTGTCAGATTCTCCAACTTTCAAGACAGGAGTGTATCAACAAATTCGAGGTCAGGGGCTGCGTTATGCTTTGTCAGCAGCAGCAGCAGCAGCAGCAGCTTAGTAGAGTACACAGTGGTAGCTTGCTCGGGATGGGCGAGGGATGATCGTGGACTTTGGCCTACTCCAGTGTCGTCCGGGGTCGCGACGTAACGTCGCACGTTTCGATCCGCATCCGAGCTTTGCATCGCTCCCTCCCTCTTCTCTCTCGTGAGACAGGACGACGGATCTTCTACGTGCGGTCATTTGGAAACGCGAGCGAGCGAGCGAGGCATTGTTTAGTGTTTTCTCAGCCTGATCTGATCGAGGTGCACTTGCCAGACATCTGCTAACATGCATCTGCGCGCAGCGACACATCTTATCGTGGACTTCGGTGGACGTCCACTGCCGCATACATATTCGTAAGCGAGGTCGGATCTCGCCACCTTCTGACAAACGCCATGAATTTCGTGGTGCATACAGCCCTGCACGCAATTCCATGTCATATGGCATTCCTTTCTGTTGTGACTACTTATGATCAATCAATCACTTACTCTCCCGGAAATTGCCGACGATCCATATTATCTTCAGCCACTCCACCCCTCGAGGCGAGTCCCAAACCCGTAGAAGATGTGTCCGCCCGATCCTTGGAAGTTCTTGCAGAGGCCGATCAACATTCGGCCCATTCCTCGGACGAGAATATTCCGCATCGACGTACGGTCTGCACTGGATCTGGATATTTGCAACAGTTTTCTCATCCGCTTCAAAGGGCAGGTGGCACATCGAGGTCTCTGATCGCAACAACCGCAGTCTAGCTTGTTTGACCCGGTGTACATGGCTGGCTGGCTGGCTGGCTGATCACCGTGGACAGCAGGCATCTGAGAGTCAAATGCTTTCGGTATCTGCACAACAATAAGGTTGCATCCTTCCTTCCCTTCTGAAGCGCACAGATGAGGCCCAGCCTGCTGATTTGGCACTTGTCAACCTGGTGTAGGTTTGTTTTGTCGGGCGGTATTTTGGTTTGGCAGTGTCCGACAACGCCAGGTCCAGATGCCCACATTCGTTCTCGCCGTAATCAAACGACTTACCATTAGCATGAGGCCCACACATAATTTTCCGAGCTCTAAACTTTGGCTCGACGTGTTTCTCAGAAGCCACTCTCGGATCCTTGCCTGAGCCTTTGATCAGTCTACGTTCTGCTTAAATTCTCATTATAATCTCAATCAGTGCCGCGTTGGTTCAGTCTAGTCCAGTCCATGATCTACACTGAATGTCTTCACATCTTCGAAAGCTATCAATTGGTAGACCGACAATTGGAGGGTGAATCTCTGGACCTGGTAATCACGCACAATTGTTGTACTCAAGATTAAGAATGCATCAACTGAGTGATTAGGCAGGAGCGGATCTAAGGTGGAGCAAATTTGTCAAGGGGCCGACGCCGTGACAGTCAACTGAAGAAGGGTGGGTAAGATTACACAAAGGAATACGTGTTATATGCCTGGCCATCCGGGCTCTCACAAACTGGGCGATCAGATATGAACGTCTGACTAGTACTGCAGGTGGTCGAAGACATGGAGATTCCACTCTGGCTGCATTTGGAAGGCAGAAGAGCCTCGGGACGACGAACTGGATTGATTGAAGTCTCACATGAATCGCATAGTTGTGCATGTGGCAGAGAGTAGAACCAGACACAGATGTGTTGGTCGTATGCCTCGATGAAGGTGCTTGCTGCTCTCGAGAAACCCAAAAAAAGCGAAAGCGCTTGATGCTCCGGAGATGTGAAAGCATCAGATCGAATCAGTACAATGTCGTACCACCATCTCACGTGGAAGAGCGAGATGAAGCATACGGACAAACGCATCATGAATAAGCGCTACGCATATGGAGCCAAGTCCATCGTCCGTCCGTTCGATCTACCTCGCTCCCTCCTCTCCCCGCCTGTAGAAGATCGTGCAAGCCTTGCCGATCGAGGAATGCACACAGTACGAGGAATCCTGAGCGAGGATGATGTCTGCGTTTATTCGAAACTAGTGCATAATCGTACGTGGTGTAAAATCTGCAGCAGCAAGCAAGCAAGCAAGCAAGCAAGCAAGGAGGAATATCTTGCAAGCGGCCTGGTCGAGCCGCAGCCTGCAGCTTGCAGCTGTTGGTTTGGTGTTCGTGGAAAGTCGTTCTCCTTGTGCAGGACGGGACATGGCGACTTTCAGCTCTCGTGAATTGTCTTTAAAGTGCACCGGCATCTCTGTCCGACGTGAGACCACCTGAGGTCAGACGCAGCGGGCGAAGCAAGCGTCACTGGCCAAAATCTGATCATGAGCCATGATTGGTCGAGATGTGTCGGAGAATCAACGGAGAACGTCTGAGAGATTAAACGCCCAAGCCAGGAAGCTGAGCTAAGTAGGTATCCAAGATTCTATGGTGGTGGCCATCCCGTCGTCGTCACACTCGGCCTGATGCCGGAGCGAGCGAGCGAGCGAGCGAGTGACATCCACCTCCGAAGCAGCCAACCAGCGGCGATGCCCTCCGCCTCGCGAGCATGGATCGTGCAGCGTCGAAGCTCCTTGCTCAGGGATTCATCTGCGGAGCCTTGCACAGTGGCAGCCGAACATGCAGCCAACCAGCGCAAGGCCGATTCTCATGATGATGATGGATCAGACGCAGACGCAGACGAGCGTCGCTTTTCTCAGGCTTTCAGCAATTCCACAGCTCAACTACAAGAGCTCGCGCAGTCAATGCGCATAGTGGTCGATTTGTTTGATTGGGAACGAGAGCAGAGCAGAGGCCAACTTGACGCTAGGTCTGTGGAATGTTTGTGCATCGCAGGGCTGGCCCAAACCTTGCGGAGGATCGGGCAGCGAGAATGGAGAATCCCGTGCCCCCTTGCCCATGGACAATAACCTGACTAGACGACTAGACCATGGCATGAGAGGGAGTGGGTGGTATTCGGTGATAGCGCATGATCTCACAATAATAGTCGCACTGTTGGCAAGCGATGAAATTCCTCTCACGTCACAGTGGTTCAAGATGGGCTGCAGCATGATTTCAACTGCCGCACAACATTTCAATGACATTCGAACTCTGCATCTAAGTCGACCATTCATTCATTCACTCACTCATTCATGAACCGATGCATGCATGCACAGATCGGATCTGGAATCGAAGTTTTCCAATGCCAGGGAATGTTTGCTAGATTTTAAAAGCACATTAACTCTTGTTCGGGATCGCGATGATCCAATACAACCTCGGAGCCTGGTCTCTTTGAACAAGTCCACTCGTAGCCAATTCGCAGGAGCAACATACAACCGCCTGATGGTTCAAGATCTCTAGAGCATATACGAATCGTTTCATACACCATAGCTGCTCGGCAATTTCTTTCCGATCAGGGCCCGTCTGATCGACAAGGATCGCGGATCTTCGTGCGCAGCCACATTCAGCCAAGATTTGCGAGTCCCAAGTGAAAGAGCTTGCGGGACTGGGTCATATCGACATGTTTATGGAGATCTGTTGCCCGTCGAACTCCGCGTCAACAATTATGAAAAAGACATGCAATTCCAGGTATGGCAAAGAAACGATCGTTCTGGACAGAGACCGGCATAAAAACATTCCTAATCGAGCCACAATTCGCAGGGTATGAAAATCTGTGCCGGCCGGCGTGCTGAGCACAACCTGGTTCATCTGCAGGGGACTGAATGATGATGGATATGAGAAGGACGGGATCGTCCCTAGGGCCGAGGAGCCTCTGAATACTGGCGTTGCCAGGTCGAGATTACTATAGTTCAGAAACCATGTGAATTTCCTCTCAGATCGAACACCACTTTTTTTAATCCATTTATTACTACAAAGTGCTGCTGCTGGTGGGGGCAGGCTCTCCCCAGAGCTACCCGTAACCTTCTTTGACTCGATTGCACCATGCAGATCCTTCACACATCTCCAATGACAGAAAGTTGCACACTCATACAACGAGATCTATGCCACACTCTGTCGGTCCGTAAGCTTTGCGTGCGTGCGTACTCTGCACCTGACATACATCGATCATTCGAATCGGCTTCATGATGTACAAGCAATGTGATGAGACAGAGTCCCAAGAGTCAGGAATTTGGCAAAGCAAATTTATTGACGGGTAATGAATTCCATACAGCTCGGGGGCTGCAGCACAAATCTAGATTCTCAATCAATCCTCCTGCCGGTGTGGTGAGTGCACGAGGGTGTGATCCGAGCTCCCAAGTTCGGTGCATCAGTGAACGGAGTCTCTACGAATCTGCATCCTTCAGTGTCCCCTGGCCATCCTGAGTATGTTTGTAACTGGAGCACGCCATCCTAAGGCTACAGTGCGCCAACCCGTGCAGAATCTCCATCTTTGCCCGCTTGCAGCCAAAGAAAACTGCGTGGCAGTCTATCCGAGTGATGGTGATGATCCCCTGTGAGGAAGGTGAGGATCCATGGATGAGGATGACGCTGGAGCTCATCTCAGAAGACACCACCTCGTTAGCACGAGAAAATTGTGTTCTGTTTCACGCACAACATAGACCCACTTACTCTGACTGACCACTGCTGCTGACTGCGGCTGAATCGTCCTCGAATTTAAGGGGTTTTTCCGCTTGGACATTGGCCTCTTCTCACACAAACACAGATGCCACAAGGGTTCGATGTTTGTGCGTGAAGAGACCAATGTGCAAGCACAAGAACCGAAAGTGGCCGAATTCCCTGCTGCAACCTGGAGAATGTCAACATTTCTGTCTATCTGTCTATCTATCTAGCTCGCTATCTGTCTGTGTCAGTGACGGCCGCCACCACGCGGTGCTGTTTGGCTGTGCTATCTATTATCTGCGGTTGCTCATCCAATCCAAAATTCGTGCTGCAGCTTTTGGTTGAATTTCGATCTGAACGACGCAAATCGTCCACAAGCCAAGCTGCTGCACGAGCAGAATCGTGGCGCAGCTCAAGCGACTGGAGAGGATCTTAATGCGGTACACTATGACTACTACTACACCACCACCACCATCACCACGAACTCCAGCAACTGCTAGCGCTGGAATTATACCGGAACTGGACTAACCAACTACCCCACCGCCCGCCACGCCGAGCCGAGCTAGCTAGACTGAACTACGGGGCAGGTCTAGGGAGAAGCCGATGAGAGAAGAGAAGAGGTTCAGATGGGGCCGGCCAGTGGGAAGTCTGGGACTCTATGGCGCTGTTGAGGGCTGCGGGAGGGGGGAGGGGGGAGGGGGAGATGAGTGAGCAAGTTCAAGACTGATGTCGTCTGCTGATGGAAGTACTTATTTGTACAGAAGAGAGTGCCGAATGATGAGGGAGAAAGAGCGCCTGCGGGCATTTATATAGGAAGCGAGCGGGTCCGCGCAAAGGGCCGAACACAGTGCACGGATGAAGAGGCATGAAAAATATGGTGGAGTGATGGAGGAGATGAGGGCCTTAGCACTGCAGCAACCACTGTATTAAACGCCAAGTGGGACTCGGGCGCAGTTATGAGGCCTCACGTTCGCCTCCCCGAGCCTTCCACGTCGCCTACTGCCGTTAATGCCTGGAGTTTTGTTAACTTGCCCCTTAAACATTCCCGCGCCACTCTGTTCCCCTCGCCCCATATTTAGCCCTAACCCGGCCCCTAATCTTAACCCTTCCCTGCTTATGGGACCGCGATTTTCCGATTTTCCCCCTCCATGTGCCCCCTGCTCGCCTGGCCACCTTTTGCCAGCGCGGATCTATCGTGGATTGCGCGCCCGTCGTGTTCCAGAACGTGAAAATCTCTCAGCTCTCAGCTCTTAGTTCCCCTCCCCTCTCAGCCGCTGCGCTGCGCTCTCTCTTCCCCTCCCCGACTGTGACGACTGCGCGCGCCTGCGACCTTCTCCCTGCGACCTGCGACGATTATTAGCTCCGGGGGCGGTCGGTTCGTGCCGACGAATTAGACAGCGGACACTGCACTTCACCGGACACGACTGCCTGTGACTTGACCGGGACCGGACCACCGCGCCGCAGCAGCGCCAGTCAGTCAGTAGAGTGAGAAATGCTCTTGTCCTACAGACACAGAGAATTGTAGATTCAGAAGGGAAAGAAAGATGCACGCAGTTCTAGAGAGAGAGAGAGAGAGAGAGAGAGAGAGGATTGACGATGTGAAGCGGAGCCCGTGATTGGGCTTATGGGTGGGATTGATTAACCTGGATCAATCCAGGGAGAGGGTGGCACAAGGTCGATTCCTTTTTCCGTGACGGGGATCTCACGTTCGGACATGTCGTGCTTCATATCTCACGTTCTGTCCTTGTGTGGATCATTAGTGGCAGAGATTTGCACTAAAACGCTCACGTTGCAGCAGCGCTCGGGGCTAAGTCAGGCGGAATCACACAGGCAGTCTACGACGGTGAAAGGAAGTCGACTGTGTGGGCACATAATTAGAGTTTTCGGTCACAAGATCACGTTCTCACATGTCGACCTAAATTCATATGTCACGATGTGCGAGTCGAGAAAGGTGTCCTTTCATTTGCATTAATGTGTATTTCGCAACGATAATGGAGCGCCTCTCTACGACCCAGAGCTTCAATGTGCTTGCACTGGAAAAACGGGTCCTCCGAGCTCGCTGCCCTGCGCTTGGAAAATCTGGCAAGTCTGACGTGCTCGCCTATCGTGCTTTCACGGCCATTCTCTAGACAACAGGTCTGCCACTGCTGCAGATCATGTCTGAGTAATTCAAGGCTGTCACATGTTGCACCTCAAATGTCACGTTCTTCATGATCGATATATAAGGCCTGAACTTACTAGCAGCAGATCTTGAGGTTTATGCCTCTGCTTGAAAACGGACTTCTCGTACGCTAGGGCTGCCCCGGGTTCCACGATCGTGTCCGTGGCTGTCCTCGAGCAGTAATAAGTTGACAACAACCGGATGCTGGAACAATTGCGCGTCATTCTCCTGCTTTCCGACTTAATACGCACCTGTGCTTCGCGAATGCAGAGGATGATGCCATAACAATCTCATCCTGCCTTTCGCCGTCACGATCTCTCGACATCGGATCTCGCATTTGGAATATCATTCTCGGCTCTTCGACTTAACTCCCACCCTGACGGGCTTCTGCAAAAAGTGACGCCAGCATAATCTCACGCGCCCGGCCCTGAGGCTTCACGAGCTCGTCCCCCACAGATTCTTAGGTTTTGAATATTCAGATGACAGCTCTGATCCGGCCGCAGCTTTCACGTGCAACTCTGCGACGCATTATGTCCAGATTTTCCCAAAGTTACTCGAGACGGCACATTTAAACAGGCGCAACTTCAGTCGTCGGCTCGCTGGCTCCAATCCTCCAAATCGCTCTAAGTGTGCATCGGGTCCATTCGTGCCTTGAAAAGCTTTCTCCAGATTTGATTCATGCCTCACGACCTCTTGTCGGTCTCATACGGTATCTTCTGTCCACGGTATTCGCCGGTCAGTAGTTCCTCGTGAAGCTCCTCGTGTCTGACTCTAGTAACCCAGAGCCCCTGTAGGTTTCATAGACCCAGCCAGACATAAAGTAACACCGATAAGCTCTAGCATTTTGTTAATCTCCGGAAATTTGCTGCTCAATCTTGGCTTCCCTTCTGACATCACCGGGCGCCCCGAGATCAGAATCACTCAAAACTTATCGGATTAGAAAGTAAGTACCTCTATATCAAAATTCAGACGCTAGATATGATTATCATTCTGTTCAAACCTTTGAATGAATGACGTTTCTCTCTTTCCTTTGACTTATTGATCCAATCAAATGGATCTGCCGTGTTCGGTATGGCCGATTGGAGAAAGAGGTTTGTATTACGTCTTGGGTCGTAGTAGAAATGACAGATTGCGCTTGATACTGAAGGTTCTCTCTCACATTAAATTAATTTCCAGGTGTGAAGCGGCTGTGTCTCAACTGCGGACCATCTGATCCACAGAGGCAGCTCCAGGCTAGAGTAGATGCAAGAGCACTGATAGAAATTCGATGGTTCTAACTGCTTGAAGAACAAGATTTTGTTGAGGGCAAAATGTGACTGCTCGACTTTCTGTACGCAATCTACGAATTTACTGGCGAGAAGGAGGTAAGCTAAGGTCCAAGTTGCTTTGAAAGTCCAGTGCCGACGGTTTAAATTGCGTCCACTTTCGTGAAAATGATGAGGAAGAAGGTTCTGCAAGAGATTTGTTTCTTCGTTGTCCAACATTGTGCAATCAATGCAAATTTCAACAGACGCAAATCAGAATGAACAAGTACATGCTACAAGTTTTCTTCCATGTTATGATAGCAATGTTGCTGACTTTATACGGCAGAAGAACTGATTATGGAGTACGAGCTATCGGTCTTATTGGAACTATGTCGTCAAACTGTTGTCCCAGAAACGGTTTTCTTCCTCTTCCGTTAGTTTCCCTGATGTTTCTATCGTCGACTTGTTACTTCAGCTGTCAAGATTGTGATGGAAACCTCTCTGATGCTTGTTTCTTTCTGCTTCCACTCACAAGAGCACATAACATTTGTTTCCGTCGTTCAAATCAACTCCCTTTGTAGGAAACTTCAGGTAGCTCTCTCGTCACTGTTTTGTTTCACGGCTCTTTACAACCCTGACAGCGAGTTTCCTATATTATCAAGGTTATCTTCAATGACCAAATTATAGCCTTTCAGATTAGCTTTTCTTCCACAGACGGAATTTTAAGAAAGTGAGGTCAAGGCAGAGCAAAAGATTCTCGGTGAGGAAATAAAAAATGCGCAAAGCTTTACCCGAACATTCGCAGATTGCGAAGTATGGTTTATGATACACAATGAGAGATTGAATCGACAGGAAACTCAGATTTCATTTAATTTTCATTTAATCTTTCACTCCGTTGTGTTTATTCCAGCAATTCACGTCATATAGAAGGCCTAGATGTTCCCAAGGTTGAGCCGGCACGGATTCTAGGTCCTAATCTGTGAAGGAAACAAACCCTCGAAACCAAAGCAGTAGATTTCTGAGTTCACAAAGGTTCAGAGAAAAATGAATTACTTTCAGGCAGGTTCGTCCCAAAGAATATTACATGTCACTGCGTAAAAATATCAATTTCAGCCAATTTGTGACTAGCTTTTCCTGATAGGTTCAGACATGCATGCTTCGTGAAGTGGGTCTTCCACACACTACACATTAAAGTCAGTTTGCGTATTTCAGAACCATCCCTGGGAATGGTGAACCAAAAAAATCCGTTTAGAGAATCAGTGGGCACCTAATATCGGAAGCTGTTGCATCTGCGTTTGTGGATTGTCATGACATTTTTGAAATATAGAACGATTACTTATTGCACTTTTGGATATATTCAGTCCAGAATTCGGCAGTGGCTAAGCATAAAAAGTCGATGACCGAAGATGTAAACACTATTGCTGCTGGAAACACATGATCACCAAACTTTCAACAATTGTCGCTAAAGACAGATACTTGGAAGGTATCACACTTCCGTCATTCGTTTGACCTACGGACATAAAATAATCCTCTAATTCACGGCATTGAATTTTTAACTCCATGCTGACATACATCGACACGTTTGGCCCATCACAGTCAGTTGCCACATCCTTCTGTCAACACTGCCGATCATTCATTCAAGTCCACACAAAAATCAAAACCATATTCGACAAGGTTTTGTACGATATGATGAAGCAGTGTGTACGTATGAAGGAGGACATTGTAAGTATGTGGAGTGGGATTCGATCATACAATACTCTGTGGAAGTTGATTGACATACATACCATGACTCGTGATGATCGATGAGTTGTGGAGACCTCATTACTGGTGATCTAGTTGTGACTTGTACGTTTGTGGTTAACCAATCTCGTACATCTGTAACTGTTCGCCGTTACAGTAGCCATTGTTCCTACTTTCTACTCTGGTTTGTTCAGGCATCAATCAAGTACCGAGTGTGCAGATCAAGAGAAGAAACATCCCTCCAACTCAGGAGTCCAGCTGGTACTTGCGTTTAGTGCAGAGGCTTAGTTGCGGTTCAATGTTCAGAGCGATTATATCACAATGTTGTGGGCGCCAACAGTCGTCCAATGCTACAGCAGGAGCATACAGACTTGCTAGTAGGCGACAGTCTTACCCAAGACATTTCACAGACAAGATAAAGTTGCAATTCAGTCATTCAGACACGTAGAAGGCCAACATGCTAGCGAGCTTGGATCGTGTAGTCCCAAGGGTCACGATCCAATGACTCTCTTTGGGTTGAGCGTATCAAAGAGGAAGAAGCCCTGAAGCTCAGGAGGTCCGACCATTAAAAGAGGGCACGGCAGTGTCTAACGTTAAGCGGCATGCGGCCTGTGACGGTATTTTTACATCGTCTGACAAGAGCTCCATGGATTCCTCAAACCAGTTACTATTGGGTTTGCTGCCTGGTGGCTACGTGTATAAGTGGCGCCGTGCCACAGGGTGGTGAAGTCAATGCACTGGGCGCGCTCCAATGGCGAGCAGGTCCAACATTTCGGTTCCTCTTGCGATATGTAATCACATCTTGACATGTCTTCCCCGAAAGGTTCAGCTGACGAACGCGGTTTCGAGCAATGAGGATGATGGATCAGAGGAGTGTGCCCTTGGCGCACAGCGCTGCTACTTGCTCCGAGAGGCATGTGGCGCACGGAATTGGCTCATCCTGCGTTCGACCATGGGAAGAAGATCAAGGCGTGGATTCATTGAGCCGGAGCTGCAAGCCGGCTGGATCCATGCACCCTGGAGAAACAGAAATCCGAACATCTTGACACGAGCGCGCCCAGGACCTGCGCCCCGAGTAAAAACAACAGAAGCGCTCGCAAAGCAACAGTGGCCCATTGTGTCGTAAGCTCTCGACCACTGACTGACTTTTCGAGGGGTGCCCCCCCACCCACGAAAGGAAAGCTGGAGCCAAGAGGAACAACGATGGCCGCTCGGAGGCGAGTCCGTTTTCAGACATCACTCCACAGTGGCTGGCTGGCTTCGGTCTAAGTCAATGGCCTGCGCTCCATTAACAGGCAGGACAGCCCGTGAGCTGGAGGGCTGTCGTGAGGCTTTCCGGTCGCATTTTCAACAGGTCGTGTCACAGAAATGAAAGCATCTGCTCTCGCTCTTGCAGCAGCACCCGAGCCCGCCATTCTTCATGAGAAGGGATGGGCCAAATCCAGCGCGGCCCTCAGATTTTGCTTTGTCGCTGACTTCTTGGTCCGTTCGACCTCTGTTCACGAGAAGCAGCCGTCAATGGCGTCCCCCGTCCCCCGTCCCCCTCGTCCCCTCTCGGCTCTCTCGGCTCTCTCTCGCTCGAACAGAAATTCGCAGCGACCGGCTCCGGCTGCCTGCCAGGCAGGCTGTCCTACATGTCCCCCGATCCCAGACCTGGCGTCCGAGTCAGCACGCAGGCGCGCGCATGACCTTACCCGAGTCTGCCGCCGTCCCTCGACCAGCAGTCACGCTGACCCCCTCCTCCTCCTCCTCCTCCTGCTCCTGCACCGATCGGCGCTTCGGCTGCAGCAGCAGCAGCAGCAGCAGCGAGCGAGCGAGCGAGCCCCCAGGGGCATCATCATGCTGGACGGAGCGCAGAGCGTGCGGAGCGTGGGGCGCAACGGAGCACGCACACTTTGTTGCGGATGTCACTCACTCCGGCACGTCCGTCGTCTCATGCTCATGCTCATGCTCCGACGAACGAACGAACGAACGAACGAACGCCCCAACGGAGCGTAACCGACGCTGGCCCATGACCGCCTCTGACTCCCATGCGTACCCGTCGGTTCTTCTTGACCGCCCGGTCGCCTCTTGTGACCGCTGATTCCGCTTCTCGCATGCTCCCTCCCCACCTTTCATCGGCGGCTTTGTTTCCCGACGACGAATATCCCATCTCGCCCCCGGCCCGAACAGTCTGCCCCGTGACAAAATTCAGCCTCCTCTGTTCATCCCGCATTGGCAGACGACAGTGTCTGCGCGCTAATTGTTTTTATCGTTTGAGCTTCTCACGACCATTATCGTCTCTCTTATCCGCATGGATGCGCCCAGTCACGTTAAGTAAGCCTCTTGCATCATGTTGCACTTTTATTACGCTTCCCGGGTAAATCTTCCATCTTTGAGATCTTTAAGATTGTGTTATTACGGTTGATTTAGACATAGTTTTCTGTGATTATATTCGATCATTCATTCAACCTAACCGTCTCCTTTGTTAATGTTCAAGATAGCCAAGTCCAAAACCTCTGAACGAACACTTTTAGATGGATTGTACGCATCTCAAATTATTGTTGATAAGACTTGTGATTCATACAATTTTTTTAAATAAATGCTGTATGAAAATCAATGTCAAATGCATGTTCTATGATTTGAAGTTGCTTGGCACTGAGTCAAATTAGTTTCATATTTGGAATAATGTATTCAAATATGAAAATTTTGATAAAATGATTGATTAAAGAAGTCACCAGAATATCCTAAGAAAAAATAATTTCAAATAAAGATTTAAGAAAAAAAACCTTTAACAACATGATTTTAAAAAATTGAAGATTTTTTTCTAAGTGTAAAAAACAGCGTGAATCGTGCGACATTATCCACTTTACAGACATTACACTTTCTACTCCGTATATTACTTTAGAGATCGAAATATCAGGATGATGTGCCAGCGCAATGGATTAAGTTCATACAGGGAAGAAATATATAAAACGAAACTGACATAGGCTTGGAAACTTCCCAAAGGTTGAATCTTCCAAGCACTCGAGTGCTTCTGACCGCGCACCCCGTTAAATTATTTTTATTCCATTCTGCAAGACCCTGAGAGGAGTGCAGAGGGTTCATTCTTTTCCATATCCTTGTACAAGAGCGACGATATTTAACGGTTTATTACTTGGACACTTCTTACGAGATTTGTTTGTTGCGAACTGAAGATGTTTCGAAAGAGATTTCGGGTTCAGAGTCCTGCATGAGTTTGACATTGACATCTTCAACAGACGTAATAATATCAAGCTACGTCAATTTCTTTTAAGCTTTTGTTCTTTCCTCGCGTGACACGACCTTGTTTATTCTAGTCGATTCTTTTGGATGCATGTCTGCCTTAACTTGCTCGAAAACTCCACCTTTTCGTGATGCATGCCCGATGCAGAGCTCTAAATACTTTTTGCGTCGGGTCTTGCGCCGGTGGAAACACACATTTGAGCAATGCTCATCAAAGGGTATGCATTGTTTTTTCCACGGCCAATTTATTTGTGCTGCATTTGCGTGCATCAAAGTCTGTGCCTCGTGAAATGACACGATGCTGTAACTTTGCTCGTCTGTAGTGCAGAAATGGCATGCAGCATCATGTGCTCCCACAAACAATGCAAGTTATGGACTCGCAATTCCCTCTCATCAGAAACACTTTTTTGTGATTTTTGATACTTCCATATGGAAATATCAAAAATCACAAATATCAATATATGTTCCCGGAGTCATTACAAGAGCTCAAATAATCGTGTTCTTTGCTTCTAACTCGACTAGTGTCTTGCCATTTGCCCTCATTATCCTGAAGTTTCAGAAAGTATGATTTTTTAAAAAAAATTTCTGACTCAAGCATGCACTATGGTTTTCGATTACATCTTGTATTTCGTCTTGAGTTTGATAGTCAATTGTAATCTTTAGCTAACTTATGGTATTACATTAGATGCATTGGGATCCATGTGATCTGATGTTCATGTTCAAAGCATGTTACAAGACGACGGATATACAGACGTAGACCTTTTTCCTTAATTAACAAATTACTGTAACTTCTGTTGTGTTTACACATCTATCTACATATGATTATTTTTGAAAGTATCTGTTTACAGATTTAATCCTTTTGGAAATTTGATCAGGCACCGTCATGGATGTGCATTGTTATCAAAATTATCCAAGTATAAGAATATGAACAGAAATTTGCTTTTTTGTTCATCTAGCTTTGGGATGGTATGAAACTATGGACTCCAACTTCAACACGTAGTTTCTGATAGTGTGGAGCCTATCATTTTATGTTTGGTTGGATGGCAATCGATTCAACATCGATCGAAGTCTTCAAATATGGGAGTACACTTCCTGTTAATCTCTTTGTTTCTCTTTTCATAACTTTTAAGTATGTTAACATACTAACGACGGTATGTTACTGATAAAGTGAGAAGAATCTAGTATAGAGAAAAAAAGGGTTTATTATATATTTATTATCTTGCCATTATGTATATAAAAAAGGATTCATCAATTTTACCATGTTGTTTATCCACTGCTCTAGGGTGAACATTAGATGGTGCAATCCTCAGAGTATGAATCCCAAAGCTTGATTGGTTTTCACATGGTCATTTAGTATGTAGACATTGTGATCTAAGTAACTTTCGTATGTATGTTGGGTGCAATAAGATTAAGAAAGATATATATTTAAATGTAGAGATATATATAAATATATACACCCCCGTTGGTTTCACCACTGGACGAGTTCATCGCATGTTCCCATCCCTTGTTAACCCATCTTATCCTCATCTTTTTCCAGTGGTTTTGTGGAGGGAATGCCCATCGACTTTCTGACTTCTCATCATTTGGTCCAGTTTGTGCGTGTTTGCATGTTTCATTAAAGCACCGTGTGATGCACATCCTATAGCTCGTTTCATATCCAGGTTTTCTACATCTCTCTTTGCCTTGGTGCAGTGCAACTGGTCTTCCAAGACGATTACATCGCACCGTATGTTGACGTTTTATTAGTCAGATGATGACATCATTTTGATGTGTCTTTCGTCTCAATCAGAGTAACCAGGCCCTCGAATTAAGTATCTGGGTGATGCATTTTCTAACTAAATAAGAGTAAATGGCAACCGCCCCAGTATGGGTCATGGGCAGGGTCTGATGGTGTGATGCGATCATGGAATTGTCGTCGTCTTGGCGAAGCAGAAGGTGACGTTAAATCCAGGGGAGACGCGAATAGTGCAGGCTTTGCAGGCTTTGGACCATCATGGATTGACGTAGCACTACAATCTTGAAGTGCTGGTGCAAATGGACCTAGCATTATTTTTCCAGGACATCCATATGCTAAGTACAGTGGAGACTCCATCTAAGATAAGACGGGCAGAGGAGTGTGTATTTGCAGTTGTTGCAGCTCCCACACCTTTCTCAACCGATGATGTACCATGCCCTCATTCTCAATATTCCATTTTCTTCTTACAGTTTCTCCATCGTTCGATCCCACAGTGGTCTAGTTTGTGCCACTGAACTTCTGTTGTGTGAATCTGGGAGTGGAACACGGAGGTACGTGCAATCGAAAGGGACCGTAAGAAGGTCCTTTTCAAAACCTCGGGCTGCTAATCCTTCTGCTTGAAACTTCAGCACGTCATTGACAGCTCACACAAAGCTCGCTGATTGGACAGTATACATGGTGCCTGCAAGACCCTTCTCTCCAATACCTCACTCAAACTATTCCTGATATGAACTTCAACAACGACGGCATGAAATTCAAGTCCAAGTGCCATCTCAACATGCTTACCGATGATGCAGTTAATATTACATGATCATGATCGGTAAGCATGTCGATCGCATTCAGATCGATGAGATCAAGGCCTCCTCGTGCTTTCGGAAGGGTGGGCATGGGAAGAGCTTCTGTGACGTCTAGTTGCCGGGAGTATACTGTTGCTCGGGCCATATCTGCTTATCAGTGGTGAACGTGATCCTTGTGTTCCTACAATAATACGATGTGTTCTTTTAGCTTTAGTCCTCTCAATCATCAAGTCCAAACGGATGATCTGAGTTTGAAGAGAGTGGTACATGGCCCCAGTTGTTCAGTTCCTCTTGTTCTGCTCATGCTCCCGAGGTTCTCACTACTGATTCTCATCAGCACGACTTATCACAACTTTGTCGTTCGTTATTCGTGGTTTCGACTTGGAGAAATGATGAGCATTACTTGATCAGTGATTTTGGACACATCTGCTACAAGAACGCATGTTCTCTTGTTATGACTCTTCTCTTGCTCATCTTGAAATTTTTTGATAGCTTCAATTTGTTTCATTATATCTATATTTTAAAATTTGAAATTCAATATAATTTTATACTTATAAATATTATTTCAATCTCTGGTAGGTAAGAATAATGTGTTTAAAACTAAATTTTTAATCATTCTTCTACGATATGATAATATAAAAAATATTTTTCAATAAAATTACACTCAATTTCAAAGTGATTGAGGTAAATTTGTCGACCAAAATACACCAAAATTTAAAATGAGCCCGCTGCAAAATGAGGTGAACATAGGAACAAAAGAGGATTATATTACAGAGGAAGAAAAATTGATCAATCTCACGATGATTAGAGTGAAAAACGGAGTGAAGAGTGGATCAAACTGCGTCAAAAGGGGACTTAAACATGATGTTGAGATTGTTCAAGATAGAGAAACGGCGATATGAAATAGCGCCAGATGAGGCACCGATGCACCAGTCGAATTGGATTATTGCCTAACTTCGTAGTTTCCTAAATTTAGATGGAAACATAAGTAACATGGACCATTGCAATCAACAGCCAAAACAGACTAGAAAAATCTTTCGCTCAATTTTGATTTAGGATGTATGAAATTACTATATTAGATCACGGACATCGTAGTTTGAAGGGGAGAGTGTGTCTCGAGACAATCTTCACCGTTAGACTTATGCTTATGCTTCAATCGAACTGGAGACCCACACAAGATCACTGAAAGCTTGGCTGAAGATATGGGAGTTGTCCAGATTGTCATCCTCTTTGCTATTGACTTGGGCTCCTTTATTTATGTTTGACATTCAGCCCCTGAGAACTTTCGGGGTAGAAAAGACTTTCCAGCTTTGGCTATGGCGTCCCACTCCGTTTATTCGTATAATGTTTATCCCACCTCTTACAATCATCACATTACTGCGTCGGTGTTGGAGAGCTTGGGCTTCCCTGTCTCTGATATTTCTAGAATCTGAGATTTTCATGTGTGGATTTAATGTCTACACCTACCCTGTATACCAAATATCTTTACCATCCCAATAATCACACATGTAGAAACATTCAAGTGTTGTAAGTTCATTCTATATGAGGACTTGCTATCCAAGTCAAGTGCTACTTCGCGACTTAACTATAATAAGCCATTTTCTTTTATAAGACTCTCCCAAACTGATCGGACTTGAAATTTAATTTCTCTAAAATGCGAGCACGATTGGACTCTAATTTTTTGTCATTGGATTAGTCTCAAACCTTGAAAGGAGAGCAGAGGTTTGGGTAAGGAGCTAGCCAGCCGTGGAATATGCTAGAAATCTAATGTAAGGGTCGTGAAAGTCTTGTATTTACAACTCATTTTCAGAAGTATGAAAGATATTACAACAACGCGGACCAACTGCACAATGGTCAATTTTCGGTTTGACCATATCGATGGAACATGGATTTAAGAGTAAAAAAAATTATTTGCCTGCTGTAGTGCTCCCAATAGAGAAATATTGATTCTACTTAGCTACCTCGTGAAACTTTGATTCGTTGCTCGTTGACAACAACACATTGGGGTGAAATAATTTTAGTTTAAAAGAAACTATTGGAGTGAGCCAAACATAATGAGTTCAATGGTTGAGGCATTGTTTCTTTTTAGAGTGGATGGGTTCAATTGCAGGCATGGGTGTTTGGCAATCGACATGGCCCTTGCTCCGAGATCGTTTTGCATGTACATAATCTCTTGTTTTGATGAGAGCATCTGCTCAATCTTGAGCAGGGGATCTCCACTTTCATGTCCATTTGAATTTGGAACGGACTATACTACTACATGCGCATACTTTGGCCTCTTACTAGTTGTCCTTGACCTGACGTCAGATGGATTAAATCAGCGCATGACATTGCATACACTATAATACTCACATTTCTGTTTATATTTATTAAATCCCAGATTTTTCCATCTCAAAGGGAAGTAAAATGTCACACGTCTTCTAGAGTTTCCCTCCTCCCAAAACTTACGGATGCAGTTGGACGCGTTTATAGATGAAGTCTGTCTTTTTACATGTGCTATCATCCTATTCGACTCTGAACTCCGTTGCTTTTAATAGACTTTATATGTTGTTAATCATAATTGAAGTGTAGTGTGATACCTTAACATAGTCTAATTGTTGTAATTACGAAGTCAAATGCCTTTCTTTTCAATTTGCTCTCCATAGAACATTAGCTAGAGATATTCGTAAAAGAAGCATGTTAGTTTATGCATCGTGATGTTATTTCTAGAACATTTCATAGATTGGAAATAGAATACAGCGATAAATGTTTTCTCATTGTGATACCATCCTAGCCTTATGTTTCCTGCTGGATTTCATCCCTGTTTGGTTTGATGGAAACATTACGTTATTTTTGTTATCCAAGTGGTAATCACATCCCGTTTCCAGTATTTTCGTTTCATGTTTGACTTAGAGTAACTCTTTTAAGACTTTTATTTCAATCCAACATCAAGGTCGAATCACAACTTTAATGTGTTTTAAACAACACTTGTTTTAAAGTGTTTTAGAGTTTCACAATACATAAATATTTTCCTTACATATTACTTTATGGTTTCCAAAAAGTGTGAGTAAAGAGTTTTTGAGTTGTAAGACGAGGGAAAATGTTCTCCAGCTGAGATCAAAGATAAAGATAAGGAATGGAGTTGGGTATGCATCTTTCAAAGTGAGTTCAAGGTTCATGGGTTTCGAGCTTCTCTAATTTTTTTATCTGAATTGTGAATATTAGTTCGGGGTTAAATTACATGTGTCTATAATTCAGTAGCAAATGTTACTCATGTGATTGTGATGTAAAAGTGATTAAGTTTTTTAGTGCGATATAAATTGTGTGTAAATTCGATGTTGCTGCATGCTCATATTCTTCTTTATGAAGTTTCCGGATTTGTCACTGGTCACATACCATATTATGAGAAATTTTCCAGATGTATGATTTGGAACAAAGTTGATGACTCTCAATCCTCCCACTATCACAATATTTTGCATTGTCGTTATCTTTTGCCGTTTTTCTTCACTCTCCTGCCCATTATCTTCTAGAGGTGTATTGACGGGCGCATTCAGTCTGCAGTAGCGAGATTTGCTAATTGGACTTTTCAAATGTGGTATGAACAATAAACTTCGGTTATGTTTGATCTCTCCTTGTAATACGATTCTCAATAGTGCCTCATACTATATATTTATCTACTTGTATTATTCCTCCACTTTCGCGCTTGGTTAATTTTTTCTCCCAATTTCGCTGTCTGGTCCGAGTGCAGACTTAAGGGAGAGCTATTTTCATCCTCTGCCGACTATTATTTGGTCGATTGTCTTACTGAGTAAGGTTTGGGTCACTGACCTATACGTCCCTCGAGACTTCAATAGATCTTTTCACGAGTATTGAAGACAGATGTTCAACTTTTTGTTAGCCATACATATTGTATAGCACTCGTTGACGTGCTAGTAATATCTGCTGGCGACAATTCAGCTTCAACTTACGTCTGTTTTCCAAAACCTAGTTGAGAGTACCCACTGTCGACCCGACCGTTGAGGAATAATCTCACACACAAAAGTCCAGGTTGCGACGCTCTTACAACCTGAAACTACTTCTCGAAAGGCTGTGTGGAGAAAAGTGGATGAAGTCAATCGGGAGTACTATAAAAAAGGAGGATAACCTGTCCTTTCGCAATTGTCATGTTACATCGACTGATCAACAGTTAATCGAGATACCTTCTAAACCCTGAGTGGCTGCTTGCTAAAATTTCAATAAGTAACTTGAAACAACCAGCTCTTGGCGGTCTGTGATTGATAATTATGATCTCTGGGTCCACCGAGTGCCCTTAAATCTATACAAGTAGATGGCTACTCCGCTCGTGATTGCTCCCATTGTTCTCCCGGTTCGTACTTGCTTTGGCTAAAACTAAAAGAGAGAATTTCGGTTGCCTTCCACCATAAGGCTAATTAGTGTAGCTCAAGCTAGTCCACCACTTGTAGCCGTCCTGAAAATTTGCAAGATGGCTGCAAAAAATGGAAAAACATTCATGTAAAATATTATGTTTTTGACATTCATTTAACAAGTTCACACACCCGAAGGTGCTCACTTTCCTGACGCCTGTAGGTAAAATCAGTTTCAACAGGATCAAAAATCTCTGTTGAAAACAAACAGACGTCTATCAAGACCTATAAGAAACTATAATCTATACGGTAAGGATCATAGATGTTAAAAACAAGATATTCGCAAACTGGTACAAATAAAAACATACCTGAACCGATCACAACGAAGATGAAGAAGCCAAGGACAATCGGTCCAACAGGATATGGATTGCTCTTCTTCACTGTCGTCTCAGGAACTGCTCCTCTCTTGAGGATGTTTTTCTGGAACTTGGCACTCTTTCGGTCAGCCAGGCGCCTAGATGTCGTCTACAAGACAAGGAATCACATCGATGTTAAAAAGAGGGAGCAAACTTCCAATACTCCCAATTCTCGCAGACCAAGTAGAGTAAGATACACCTTAAGTCACATTCGTCTAAGAGAGCGTCCTCTTGAGACAAGACTCCGTGATGCCTGGTAATTATCCACCATAATCTAACATTTCAGAATTATAATGACGAGCTAAGTGGGGCCAAATTTTTCTACAAATGCTCATAACAAGCGCTCCGACTCGACGGCAGTATGAACAGAAACAAATCATCGGCATCCAGAGAGGTCTTCTTCTTATGATGGATGTATGCAAATAATTTTACTTAATATATACCTCTCAGTTTCAAGGACTCAGCAACATTATAAATAGACGAAAGCCGAGAGGTGCTTTCGAGTTAAGTGATCAGCAACCCGTCGTCCAATCATGACAGAAAAAAGCCTTATAGAGGTAGGATCTACAACAGCAGGCTGACTAACATACTGAAAACTCCATTGGGAAAAAATCAAATATGTACGTACTTAGGTCAACTCAGAACGACAACCAAAGGTTGGAAGTAAAATTATTACAGGGTTGTACATGCCTCCATCTCGGAGGCTGACGATAGGGAACCACGTACAAAGGGAGACATCGAGACGGAGAAGAGGGTCATAACAACTCGAGTAAAAACGAATTTAAACTTTGTTTGCGAACTCTGCTCTCAATCTACATGATGCGTTCGTCTAGTATGAGAGGAAGTTCACTTTCCTTCGATAAAGTACAGATCTTCATGATTCGGCTAAACCGTAACGAATCCTAGTACATCCACATCTTGGCCTGTAATCTCTCTCCCTAAATTACCAATTACGTCCCTTTTGCGCCATCTTCCAACTCCTTCAACAAAAAAGCAGCTCTCAAAGGACTAACTCTACACTCAAGGACACCACTCTTCCTGCTAACGATCCAACCCCTCTCAGCAGTGTCTACCTCCTCCCCAATGCCCCGGACGTCGGATCTAGACATTATCCGTATCCAATAAAACCCCAACGACATGAACTATTTGATCAAGCAATCGACACAAAAGCTCTTAAGACCACACCAAAGACGGCAAGCCCTTACCATTTCGCAAGCGAGAGTCGCAGGTCAGACGTGAGTGGAGATAGGCACTTCTTCTCAGCAACAGCGATCGAGCTAGCGTATGCTCCTTCGCGATCGACGGATAAATCGATCCCCAGTCAGTCAGAAGACCACGTTCGAGCCGCGAGACTTGCTCCGGTGCAGGAAATACGCAGCGCAAGAGCGACGGAGAGGAGACGGCAAGAGAGCCTGAGCACAGAAGAAGTACAGATCGGGCGAATGTTCAATCTCAGGCCTCACGACGACAGCACCGAATGCGCTGGTCATACAGTCGCGAGAGCCTTTAATCGAAGACGAGATCAAGCCAGAAGCGAAGAGAAGATGTCTCTCGATGCTCTTTATCTCTCCGCCTGGAGAATAAGTCGACGCCGCGTGCGCACCGGTTTTTGCCGGCGGTGAACTCCAACTCTCGAATCTCATTGGCTCTCTTCGGCTCCGAACCGTTCTGCACCGTGCGATCTACCCTCATACGGCCGGATTTTCCCCGTGCCAGCAGCACCGAGGCGGCCGGCAAGTCGCGTTCTTGTGGCTCGATCGTTCGGCGGTCAGATCGTTGACCATGGTTCACATCGCGGACCCGGGATTCTGTCCTTCCCCGTCCGGCTTCCCCTGGATGCGTGAGAAATGGCCTCCCATTCTGGTTAACTCCTAGACGGGTTACCAGGTTGGTTTCTTTCCTTGATGGGGTCTTCCCGTCCTTTTGCTATTTACTTCGTCCCGAATCCTCAGTTCTGTAAGATATAGTTTTGGTCCAATTATTGTGACCTCCTTATCCCACCGGCGGCTGCCCGTCTCTTTTGTATCTTCTGCATCCTCAGTCCTGAGTTCAGGTAGATTATCCCTTCCAACCCGATTTAGCCCAAAATAAAAAATCTGCTTCCTAAGACTTTTTCTTTTTCTTGACGACTGCTAAATCCGTGACCAATAACGTAGTTTTCTTCTTCTCTTTTTTTTTTTTCAATTTTTTAGATAGTGACGTGAAGTATTATAGACTATGAGATCATATGGCTCAAAAAAAAATTTTCAAGGGAATGTCATAACATTGAGAGACAAATATTTTTCAAAATCATTGTAACAAGAATAAATCTCTATTTATAAATGTTGTTGAGTGACATATTGATTATTATGATGTGATTAAAAAAAGATCTTTCATACAGATACAGTAAAATCTTGAAGAACAAGAATTCTTGTTCTTCAAGAATTTAAATAGCAAATAAACGTTGTTGAGACTCAAATACCTGCATCAAATGATAAAAATGAAGTAGAAATTTCTTCTAGACTATTATCAAATCAGATTAATAGACCTTTCACAATGTATGAAATATAATCCATTTGATCCATTTTTGAATATCATAATAGTTTGGTTATGAAGACTTGATGTATATTTTCATTTTAATGAAGCTTTTATTTCGACCGTGGATGTAGTTTCATGCGGAAGTAAACCACATACATTGGTGCGTGATTCTTATTATGTCAGAGCTACTATTGATATCAGAGCATCGCGGATCTAATTCAGCTTGCATGTATCTTCTAGTGCAAATGTGCGGGCTTTTTTGCTGTCGTCAGAAGGATATAGTATCACACGGTTGTTGCTTCAAGGAATTTTGTGGAATAAGAGAAGCTGATTGCCGGTGAATCACACTTACAACCAGTAGTGATTTATCAAGCTTAATTTTCATCAATGCGTAAGCTGTAGCTAAATATCAAGTTCTTGCTATGTATGCATTTGGTTTGATTCTTCAATCATTGATGACATTGAAGCTGATGCTAAGTATTTAGATGACGCTTTGATCATAAAAGATGGGTATACATCTTCTTTTTTCAAAAAACCTAGATTCTAGTGAAAAACAAGAATGAAATGGAGCAATGCAAAAGAAGATGAAGACACTTCATGCCAACAACACTTGTTAAGTTGTACCAAAATAAGAGAGTGATGGAATATTAGTGGTTCTACGAAAAGAAGTATAAATCCACAAATACTTGAAAATCCATAAGTCTAGGTTGTTACCCAATAAATTTACACAACGCAAAGATGTGAATTACAATAATTTTTTTGCATCGGTAGCAAAGTATTCTACAATACGTTTGATATGTGCTCTTGTGATTTTTCTATAATCTATTTTTTGGTTAGATGAATGTTGTTATAGCTTTTTTCTCTAGACTACTCATGAAATGATATTCATGCGGCAATCGCAAGATTTTTCCATGAAAGAAAAGAAAGTAATGATATGCAGGTGGCTTAAATCATCATATGGTTTAAAGCAAAATCTCGGACAATGGAACTAAAGCTTCAACGACTTCATGCACTTACAAGGATTCTTATTGACTGTGTAATATACTTTTGTTCATTTGAAGAATGTTTATGATGCATCATTTAGGCTTATCATTCTTGTCTTATATGTTGATAACATGCTTCTTGTAACTCCAAAGAGATTTGATGTTGATAAGTTGAAGGCTAAGTTGAACTCAACTTTCAACATGAAGATCTAGTTACAATTTAGAAGATTCTTGGCATAGAGTTATTTTGAGATGAAAAGACATGAAAGCTTTGATTATCTCAAAAAGACTATCCAAAAAAAGATGCTTGTCAAGTTCAATACGACGGAAGCAAAAACTATGAATACTCCATTCGCGGTTCATTTTTTATTTACAGCAGTGCAATGTTCAACACATGTGGTTGAAAAATGCTTGATGTTGTATATTCCCTACGGGAATATAGTAGGCAATCTCATGTATTTGATGGTATGCACACAACAAGATATAGCATTTTTTGTAGTTAAGTTGAATAGTTACATATCAAAACCAAAAAAAGATAAATTGGAAAGCAATGAAGTGGATACGTACATATCTTAGAGATTTTTCATTACATGGCTTATTGTTTGATGTCAAAGCAATGAATGATAAGTCACATTAAGTATATGTGTTTGCTGATTATGGGAAAGACTTGTACGAGAGAAAATCAACGACTAGGTATGTGTTCACTTTTACAAGTGACTTCATTATTTGGAAATCTATTTTTCAAAAATGCATTTCTTTCTCATCTAAGGAAGTTGAATATGTTGCAACAGAATCAAAAAAAAAAGTCAATGTGGTTGAATAAACCTATCATTTAGATGGGATTGCCGCAATAATATGTCACTCTTCAATGTGATAATAAGAGTGCACATCACCTTGTTGGGAATCAGATGATATATAGGGTTTATGGTGTTTAGGGTTTAGATTGGATTATAGTTTCTATATATGTAGCTACGGCTTAGTTTAAAGTAACTCTGGTTCATAGAGGAAAAGATATGGTTTAGTTTTACCTTCTAGAATTTTCCATTGAAACTATATATGGGTAGTAAAAATTGACTACTCCAAAACTTGGATTAACATGAAGTTTGTAATATCAGTTCAAGTCTTGTTAACCATAGTTAGGCTTCGGCTCTAGTTAGAATAGTTACACTTGATCTCCTATTTGCATTTGTAACGCTAGGACTTAGCACTATGATGAACTTTAGTCTCACATGTACATTTGATGTAGAGAGTTTGGTTATGGAGACTTGATGTATCATTCTCATTTTGATGAAGCTTATATATGGCTTGAATCACATGGAGGTGGAAATGTACATCAATTTATAATTCTGTTATTAAATATTTGAATTCAAGATGGAAAACTATGTAGGCATCATGAACTTTGGTATTTTCAATCTAAAAGTTTTGTCTCTACCATAAACATCTCTTTAGTCAAATGTTGTACCTAAAGAAGCTAATTAGATGTTTTTGTTGTAAATGATAGTATTATTATTTTGCCCAAGGAGACATTTAAAAAGTACATATTGACCTTTTCGATATAAGTCAACTTCGATAGACGGGTGGCAAATCTGGAAATTAAGACTTCAAGCTAGAGATTTAAGATTGGCTGCAATCTGTTGGTACAAGTGCTCATGGGAACGATGAATCTTTTGTTGGTACCAAATGCTCCTTGGGACGACGAATCTTTCGCATGACTCGCTCGCCATATCATCGCCTCTTAAACAGGCGGCAGAAAGATGTACAAAACAGGCGCAGAAAAATTTACGACGTGTTCAGCTGCCCAAAACTTGAGGATAAACCCTGGATGCAAGCGTCTCATGGTGGAGGGCGAGGACAAAATTACTCAAATTATGTACAATCTCATCTTGATCAAGACAAACTTTGCTTAATAGGTCTGAAAAAGAGGGGTGGATCAAAGCAGCCAAGAAAATTCAAACAAGTACCAATTTACAAAATTTCACACAATGTGTAAAATTTTACTCAATTTCTGTTGAATTTCTTACAAGAAAAATCCCCAGAGTGATGAGACATCGAGACATAAAAAATTGCCTGCCATGGACTGCCAGGTCCCCAGCATTTCCAAATGCCCTTGCTACCTAGCAAGACGAGAGCACTAAACGAGCTAGAAACTGCAGGTTTCTTATACGCTTATGTTTGAATCGAGCTTCCTTTCAGTACCACATTTCCCTCTCTCACGATACCCGACTTCGCTCACACGGTGCTGGGCAAAGACAGACAAAGACAAAGCGAAAGACAAAGCGCTCTGCGATTGGTACTCCAAGCCCCTTCATACTACACTCGGTAACTGCAGAAAAAAATGAAGGTAGTGAGTGAGTGCTCATCAACATGAAAGATTTCAAAAGCTACTGATTTTGACGCATATATTATACCTCCTTTAAGGTTGAACTCCAAAGCATGGTACCGTGTGTATCTTCAGCTCATTCGCCTACTTCAACGCTCCATTTTTCGTAGTAGCTTTAGTCTGAAAATTCGTGACTGAAACAATGTGGATGTTAGAATTGCTCCTAAACCGAAGGCACACCCAACAATGGGTAACTTCGGACAACTTTCAGTCTGTGTCGCCACCATATACAAGGAACAATACCACCCGAGTTAAGGTTCCGAACAATAATAAGGTTCCTGCTACAACATATGAATCCTGAAGGAAGAACTCTAAACAAACAAGATATGTTCTCCGGAAAGGGAAGTGAATAAAAAGGAACCAGAAATATGGCCTGCGGCATGGTTTTAACTATCTGAAGCATGCACTCATGGACAGTTGGCTCTCACAAGAATGGAGTTGAAATATACCTCCTCATATTCAAGTTGACATAGATAGTAAGGCCCAAATTCAGTGCGTGTATCGTACACAAATTGCTCGAAGAGAAATAGGTGAAGTGATTACTTACAACTTCAAATACAGTAGACCTCTGGAGCTCGGCCCTGACCTTGAGGTAGAGCAATTCAAACTCCTCAAGTTTTGGATAAATCGTACGAATCTTCACTTGATTGAGTTGTCAATTTCCGGACTGCCTTCGTTAGTTGACACAGACATATTTCTTTGTTGAGCGCATCCAAAACCTCCGAAGTCTGTTGTCCCCCTAATGGACAAGGACAATCTCCATAACAACTACTTGTCCAATCAACTTCCCGGAACAATTCATCAGAAACGACGCGTAGGGATGCGGCACAGCTCGCAATGACCTCATGCAAAAGTTCGACGGACTTTGCCGTGTGTCCGTTCCACGAAGAAAGAATCATATCCCGAATGGCAGACTCAAGCGCAAGTAAACTTCCTGTTGTCACTAACACCCGTGTCTTGGGTCTACTCGTCCGAGAAGATACTGCAGGAAGTTGACACGCTTTCTCCTCAGTAGTTCCGGCAACAGGACCTCCAACTTTCGTTCTGTCCTGTGACTTGACATGGTTTACTGGTGTCACTGGTTGATGATGAACTTCGAAATCAGATTTCCAAGGATCGACAAGAATCGCAGGATGAGAACACTTCTTCTCGATTATTCTTTTCGCTGTCAACTTATCTGAAAAACTGGGGGAGGTCTCGCAGCCCTCCAAAGAGTCAAGGCCAGATGCTCTATCATGTACCTTTAAAAGGTGAGTCGTTGTAGCATCTTCGGTAGATAGCGGATAAGAGTGGGTTCCCATAACTTTCGGGTTAACAGAAAGTGCGTACTGATCCCCCTTAGGAGAGGTTTCTCCAACCTTTTCAGGCAGCTTATTAGACGATAATGTTTGATCACAACACCGAGGTAGGTACACCACAGAAGCTTCATGTGCTTCAAACACTCCAGGATGAGACACGTCGTCTGTGCCACATAAGGGCGTGACACCTGACTGTAACCCACTCAAGGGGAGGACTTTCGCTGCAGCCTCCAGCCTACAAGGAAACACATAAGTTCTCTGATGATAATACAAACATCGATAACAACAAACAGGCCTTTGGTTACTGCACACAAAGGATTTAAAAGTTTAAAGAAGGATGTTGGCCAACTTCATAGATAAAAAATATAAACAATACGTAAAAGACTTCCAAGGACGACGCAATCCACGTGAGGAAACGTATTCACGGTGAAGCCAAGTGGTTGTTACCTTCGAATCTGGTACAACCAGGAGCTTACAAGGTCTTCCAGACCTGACATCTTTGATAGAAGAGGTACATATACTGAATAATCTCTCCCACTTTCAACTTTAGCTTTAACACGTTCCCTCAATAGCTTCAGCACATTAGCAATGTCGCACGCGACCTCTGTGCCCGAATTGTAAAGACCGCTTTTCCCTTTCCATCCAATTGCCACCAAGCCGTATATGTGTGACGCAGATGTATTTTTATCATCCCTCCTATCGAGTCTATCCTCAAAGTCTTTGTTGTCCGCTTGCAAAAAGGAACTCCTGTATTGGTTTGCAGTTGCTAGGATCCTCTGATCAATGAGGGAGGTGCTGAGACAAGGTGCTGCCTTCATCCTTCCAGAGATCCGCCTAAGTTCTGAGAAATGCGATTGATTCAGAACTTGATGACTTAACTGAGAAATCGCAATTTGCAGAGTCTTTTGCTCTGAGGACCAGGAGCGAGGAGCATTGCGAGGATGAGTCACAGGCACCTGACAGTCATCCACGGCATTCCTACTTTCAGGTTTCTGTGCAATTTCTACAGAACTAGCTTTAGGTCCTGAGTGTTCAGGCATGTCAAAGACCTTTGACGGGGGCAACTGTCTCATAAGCTTACTACACTCGACATCTGCAACCACACATTCGCCTCCTTCATCGACAGTTTCATCCCTGCTCCCTTCTTTCGGCATGTCCTCCGACAGCATTCCAGAAGGTTCGAGTCTGCTGAAAGCACTAGTGTGAGCACCGATAGAAGCCTCCTCGCTGTGACTTAAGTACCTGACCACTCGACCGGCCAGACTCCTGCTAATGTCCTCAGATGCACGTTCAACTACAGCCTCATGCTCTTTCAGATTAGGCAATTGGACTACAGCGCAGGGGACAGGTTGGTTTCTTGATATTGCATGCTTATCTTTGCACTTGTTTGTATCGCTCAAGAAAAAGTCGACCACCTTGGCAGGAAGCTCGTCAAGAGGTAAGTGGCTTGTTGCCTGTCACGTCAAGAAGCTGTCAATCTTTCGAGCACCAAATTACATTGTCTCTTCTGAAGTTATAACTTTTACGTCATTAGTTTTTATTATGAAAAACTAAAGTTCACATCCGATAATTTTCCTTACTTCAAAGTTCCCGATATACACGTTCCATATCAGCATAAACGGGGCCACTTGACAAAGACATGACGACATCCAAAGGTCATAAAAGATCAGAATGCCTTCTGATGCTAAAAAAACTAACCGATGAAAGGACATAGAGAATCAATGTATGACTAAAATAAAACATCGCTTCCAAATATTGAAAGTACAAGTTACTTACCAAGAACATGAAGGATGTGTCAGGAGAAAGACACTTTATATGCTGCAAAAACACGCTCCACGAACTTGACACTGTTGTGGGTACACTGACTTTGGAAAGTACATAACTCCGCGCAGTCTCTTCCAGAAGGTCCTCACCAACTTCTTCTTTGGCCAAGGACCAGCTTTCTATCTGTGGCATGAAGAGCATGCAAGGAGTCGTACCTGTCCCCGCTCCTATAACAATAAACCCACGTCTTTTCACAAGTTTGAAGAGCACAGTGCTTAGTCTAACTACAGCAGTCAACCTTCAGACCTGCTCCATTACTTGAACCCCAAAAACAATCTTCACAAATACGCAAGAATCCTTTTTAAAGGTTGAACATCCGGAGAGCTGGATACAAGTGCGTTGTGATATAGGGCTCTACAGATTTCTTTGCTAGTTCTGCAGATGCTAATTGAACCTAAACTGTGGAAAACTGCGATATGTAACATCCTACTAGACTGACATTTTGAGATTTCAACACGTAAAGAGTGATCCTGTTATCAACAGTCGGAAGAACAATATATCTAAGACTGAACTAACAACGAGAAAGCATCAATGTGACCAACCTAGAATGCGATTGAGTCCCTGTATAACATCCCCATCTCCCTCATGGAGCATCGTGGGCAGGTTCAGCATTCTCGTTTCGCAGAAGCCTTCAAAAGCTGTTATAATCGACGCTGCCACTTGTCTTTGTCCTCGCTTTTCTTTACCTGAGATAAGAACTCTGAAGTGACCACCCCTCCAACCACCATAATTATCATGTTTGGGAGGACAAGAGTCCACATCAAACAAAAATGGATTCCCCGGAGAAGCTTCATCACACAGGGGCTCATCATGTCTACAGTCACCTAGCCCCTCTCTTTTGCCTACTAATCCAGCGGATGCTAATGCCGCTTCTACCGTCGTCATTAGTTTCTGACCGCCCCTTTGGAGAAGCGCCATCCACTTAAAATTCGACCTCAACTCACATACTTTGCTATCTAGAGCAAACGACTCCAACTCTTCAGCAATACGGGAAACTGCTTTATGGAGTGCAGGTGGCATTGAAGATCTACCATCACGGTGTAACTGCATCAATATCTCAACAAGCGCTGGAAGATGAGAGGGAACGAGATACCAAGGAAGGGGAGAACCAGGGATAAAACTAAGCGCTGCACTTGTCATTCTCATAGAGCAGGGAGGAGGTGCTTCTTTCAGTGCACTGGCCCAGTCAGAAGCTTTCACCTCGATTTTGGGCAATTGAGGTAAACCAACACCTACTTGTCTTCCTTCCGCTGACTTCATAAGCTGATGGATGGGAGCAACCCTTTTGAGAGCTTTCAAAGCCACTTCGACGCAAAGAGCTCGCAAGTCAGCTCCAGCAAAACCGTGAGTAGCTTTAGCCACAGCTGACAAAACTTCACCTGATGGACAAGGAATCCATGACCGTGTATGTAAAGCAAGAATAGCAGCTCGATCCGACGCAGATGGTAAAGGAAAGTAAATTTCCCGGTCAAATCGTCCTGGTCGACGAAGAGCAGGATCGAGGGCATCAGGCCTATTAGTCGCTCCAATGACAATTACAGAACCTCTCGAACTAAGCCCATCCATGAGTGCAAGTAAGGTGGAGACCACCGAACTGTGAGTTTGGTCTTGCCCATCCCTGTGATAACACGGAACACACCAAAGGCACAAAGTATAAGGCAGGCAGCACTCCGCACAGGTTAAAACAAGTTCATCTGAACCAACTACATCAATTAGACACATATCAAAACTTACTCCACTCTTCCAAAATGTTCAGCACTTGGTAAAGCACTTTGAAAGGTGTTGATAATAGAGCAGATGCGTATGAAATTCGACCTTGATCGACTAGGAGCGAGCCCATCTATCTCATCGAAGAAAATTATAGATGGCTGATGTTGCTCGGCTACTTGAAACAGAAGCCGCAACTGACGCTCTGCATCTCCAACGTACTTCCCGAGACAGTCAGCTCCCTTACGAGCAAAATAGGAAATTTTCTGCGTTCCTCTCGCGCACGCTCCAGCTAAGGCACGAACAACCAACGTCTTACCGGTTCCAGAATGCCCATGGAGGAGGACACCTCGAGGGGGCACAACGCCAAGTCTATCAAAAGCTCCTGGATACGTAAGCGGCAAAATCACCATCTCCTTCAAACATTCTACGACATCTTGTAAACCGGCGACGGAATTCCAACCCTCTGGTATAGTATTCTTTTCGCCATCCGTTTTCTGACCACCGAGTTTTGTTGGGACAATTCTGGCCAAATCTCGCTGAAGCCTCTTCCTCTCTCGCCGAACAAACTCTTCATCTTCACCCGACTTCTCCATACATTTCTCTTCTTCCTCTAGGTCTTTCAGACGAGCAGTTGAAGCGGCAGCTCTCCTTTCTATCATCATTCTTCTGAAGTTTCCACGATGAAGCTTTGAGGTATCCTTGATATCGACCGAGCCACCCATTTGAACCTCAACTCCATATTCAAGAAACCTTCTATATCGAGAAGGAAACAAATGTAGATGCTCGGAGCATGCCACCAAGTACTTCTTATGATCAAAAGAGCATCCATCAAAGTGGGCACACGGCTGCACACAGAATAAACAGATGTAGTCATTTCTTATTGCCAGCCAGATTTGCGAGTATCAAGAAGTCAACGCCGAGCTCGAGGACGAAATTCTGAAAAAGAAAATCAATTTACTTCGAGCATCTCCTTGCACAACTTCTAACAAAGACTGACTGGGAGACATCTGCAGTGGATGGCTTCGCTGTTGACTAACCAGATGATAATTTTGAGGGCAGCGATCGACACGGCAGCCAATGGTGGCTCCCGGTTGCCCACAATGGCTGCACTTCAAAAGACGGCCCCTACGTATAGCGGCCTTCACATTTTTCAGTCTTCCCACACCCGCAAAGTATACCTGACCAAAGTTTTCCAAATATGAGTAATTACCAACCTTGATGCATTCAAGCCCTGAATAGAGGACAAACTGTCGCCTTTTAGAGAAGGCACGAAGACTATGTGAGGAAAACCTTGGTTAATATAAAAAAAAAGCACAAATCCCTGACAAGTAACTCCCGTATCACAACGAATGTTGTTGCAATGCAATTACGTTTATTTACTAAAAAGCTAACAATTCGAAATTAATTCAAAAGACATGAAACCTATACATATCAACTCAAAGTCTAGCATCGGAGAATAGTGATAACTATTTCAAAATTTTCAAGTTCACCGCGAAATATGACAACCAGCATACCTCAGGGCTCCATACGGCACACTCTTCATGAACCCAGGCCCCGGCAACACCGACACGCTCACTCAAAGGACCCAAAAGACGTCCTAACCAGCCTTTCTTCACCTGGAACTTACTGCCCTCCTTCACAGAATATTTCGTCACTTTCGGTGAAGCATGTTGTGAACCATCACGAGCTTTGGTCTTGCGCGCAGATCGCAGCTCACAGGCCCACTTTCCGTCGCTGGTTCCTCCACAAAGCCCACACTTCAATCCTAAACTGACGATTCCCCTTCTAGTGTCACTGGCGCATTTTGCGGGCCTCTCCTTTACGAAAACCTCTTGCGGATGAAGTTCATCCTTCCTTTCACTAGTGTGGGAAACTACTTGTAACACATTGGTTTCTCTGCAGTTCCACGACTCAACCAATTCGGGTGTTGCATTGACCTCATTCCTAACTACATCTAAAAGTGACTGCAACCTAGTGCCTGCAGTCTCTTCTTGGTCTTCACTACCATTGTCTTCAGCGGGCTCACTCCTGCCAGTGCTCGTGGATGCCTTGAGACTGCTAGGCCCTGGATCGTCACCAGAAATTTCAGTCCGATCGAGATTCTCATCTTCAGAAGTGCCGCCCTCCAAGACGAACTTCACACTCGAAGTAGTTTCAAGAATTGTGCGATAACCGCCTCTCTTGACTTTCGTCCTGCGGTACTTCGCCAAAACATCATTATCATCGACACTGTTGCCTGCCGAGTCTTCTGGTACACGTTGTGCTTCCTTTCCACTTTTCTCCGAGTTGTCCTCCTCACTGTTGCCAGAAGCACTTTCATCTCCACTTTCAAGCAATAAATTTGAGCTGAATTCTAGGCTCTTGAGCGCCTTCTTGTCAGCATCCTGGACCGCGTCCGTGCAGACTGTATGCTCCCTGACGTCAGACATCTGTAGTTCCATCATCTCCTGACAAACTGTATCCTTCTTTCCTTCCAGCACCTGTACCGAACTCTCACAGCAGCCTGTTCGCTGTCTTAACTCAAACACCTGTTCTTCCGCTATCTTCTTACAAACTTCACGCTCATTTACCTCATGAGGCTTCACCTCGGTGCAAAGACTGTGACTGTGTCCTTGAAAGTCAGGTATCTTCTCTCTAGCTATATCATCATGGACTAGACGTTCTTGGCCTTCAAGCTCTCCCTTTCTGTTGCTCTCATGGCCAAAATCTCGCACCTCAACTACTTTCTGCTTGCCTACCTCACGGAAGGTCAAGCTCTCTTGGACTTTTAAAAAATTCTGCCTCTCCACCACATTTTGCACTTTATTCTCTGGATTTTCCACCACTCCCTCAATGATCACCTTAGAGCAGACTGCATGCTCTTTAACTTTCACCACCTCTTTGACTACCTCACTGGAACGCATGTCCTCTCGAACTTCCTGCACCGTCTCCTTATTGACCTGGTAGCTCAGATTGAGCTCCCCAACTTCGATCACAATCTGCTTGTCGATCTTGGTGCAGACACTATCCTTGCACCCGTCGACCATCATCTCTCTGTCCACCTCTTTACAAGCTGCAATTTCATGGACTTCAACGTCTTCATCAGTCATCCGCTCGCTTGTCTCTCTGTCTACTACTTGGATCAACACGTTTTCGGGAAAGTCACGGGAAGCTCCATGCACCAACTCTTCGGCGCTGTCATTACAACCTCTATCCTCTTCTACATCGGTCACAATGAGGCCAACAATCTCTTGGCTAGTTGGCTCCTCCGTACTTCCAAGCATGTTCTCACTTGCTTTCGACAATGGGTTACTAACAACAGAATCTCGAGCCTTTGCAGAAGTACTCGTAACTACACCTAATTCACAACAGGCAAACGACGGAGCCTGAGCTCGAGGGCTCACGGAACATGCACTCTTGAGTACTCCAGACAGTGGCTCCATACGCAAGCTATGTACTCTCTCTACTGGAAACGAGGCTGAGGTACTTGTGATGGGATTTAGATCTGCACTCTGTTCTCTATTTGACTCTATACAAAGGTGGAGCACCAGATGTATCTGCTCATCAGATTCCACATGCACTGCTTCGAAGTGGCTACTTTCGGGTGGAACACTTGGAATATCTGCTTGGACCCTATCTTCTGACCTACCTCCAAATGCTAATGAGTCTTGCACAGACCTAGCTATTGACTTCCCATCAGAAGACTTACTGGTTGACAACTCGATTGAAGAACTGTCATGCTCGTTCAATACGACATGCCAACCATTTACAAGGGGTACTTCGGCCTCCAAGATTTCCTTGCTCTTGTTAACTGTTGGGTCGGCCATTTTTGCCTCACGCAGCGCCTCTTTTGGACTAGATTGAAGGTGGTCTACACCAATCCCACCGGGATCTTGGGTAGTTCCAGCCTGTGTTTCTTGCTTGGTAAGGCTTTGAAACCTAGCCCGAGTCCGAAAGTTCCTCCGGTGCTTTCGTGACCAGCTTTTAACAAAAAGTTTATCTAGCTCATCTGAGATGTGCTCCGGAATACTTTCAAGAGCTTCGTCCCCTTTGTCCACTTTATGCTTTACTACTCGAACATCTGGAGCAAACGCTTCAACCTCTACTTCGGCACAAAACTCTAATACTCGTTTCTTCCCCCGCTCTCTCAATCTCCTAGTCCAGCAGAGACCTTCTCCTCGTTCCTCATGTCCTTCTTGTGAAGAGACCGAACTCATGCCTTTCTCTCGCTTGAGAGACCAAGACTCGTTCACTTGTTTTTTAGCCTGAACTCTGGATTTTCCCCGGTTTCCTTTCTGCTGCAGCCGCCGTTTAGATGTCTTCTTATGGCGTCCAGAACCAATTTGAACCTCCCAATGGATCGCTTGACTCTCGTCGAGCAATTTCTTCTTTTCCAACTTCAGCCGTTCTTTCACCCGCTCGCTTCTCCTTTCATTCTCCTCGGTCTGCCGGTTGGAATTTTGGGAAGCCTTACTCTCCTTCTCAACATGGTCAGCGCCACTTTCTTTGTACACTGCCGGTGCGCTGCGTCTCCTTTTATTTCCGCCGTCACTTCCAACAGCCAGAGGTACATCGGCCGAAGCTATCCTTGACTCACTGCCTTTCTTGCTCCTCAGTCCCTCTGGTGGGCTGTGCAGGAGCCTTAAACCCTCCCGCACTCCCGATTTCGTTGTAGATGAACCTGGAGCAACAATATCTCCGCCAAGGCGACGCTTCGGATTTCGCCCATCCATACCGTGACCTTCTGACGCGACGCAAATAACCAACTCCTCCCGCAGAACACCTGCTTGGATTCTCGGAGTACATCTCAGACCCGGTTTACTTTCATCAAGTGGAAGATTGGATCCTGAGAGTCGTTGTGTGAAACGGCGTTCATGCCTCAGGTGGGAAGAAGGTCCTGACTGGATGACAGCAGCCTCCTTAGCATCAATCCGTCTAGTGCTTCTCTCCCTTGATAGCATTTCCCCTCCACAATGAAATAAAATATTGTGAAGAAGCAACTGATATAGCGATGGCGACAAGATCCACTCTAGAGTCTGACCACCCTCTATCCGATTATTCAAAAAAATCGGTACTGTGAAAATTTCGAAATACAAACTCTGTGTGCGAAGAGATCAGTGACGTCCTGGTTCTCTTCGTAATAAAAGAAGACGCCGGAGAGTTGAGGTGACTGATGGTTTTAAGTGGAACGAAAGGCGCGGGTTGCTCAGCACCAATAACAACTATTTGATCCATGACTGATATAACTTGCCGAAATTAATCTACAGAATCTCGCCTTTCCTGGTCTTGTCATTTGTTGATCTGGAGGAAAAACAAGAGCACGAAGTCAGATGAGTTTCTCGAAACCTTTCAAGAGTCCATCCTCATTTGCAAGTAACTGAATTACTCCAATTGTTGAATGTTTTTCTCGTTTCTGTGCGCCTGAGCTTCGGCAGTATCCGAAGCTGCCCCAGTACTACAAGCTCAATAGAATGCTACCTAGGATACAACTTCGAAAACTAAGGTCAAAAACGCTGAACAACTCACAACCTGCAAAGCTCTTCTAGAAATCCCTTCACGACTCTCAGGGTAGATAGAAGTGTTGCTCAAATGAATTCTTGCTGACCAGAACTCGACGCAAATTCCAACTCCTGCTGACACGTAACCCGACTCTAAGCACCCAAAACGATCGGCTCATTCCTCTCCAAACTTAAACCCGTCAGCGACAGAGGATACTATAAGGCAGAAAAAAGGCCACAAATTCAGCGAGAAATCTACAACTAAACATCTTAAGATTTCAGTCAAAAGGCATGTTCCAGGTCAGTCGTGAAAACTCTAGAGAAGCTACGACGAATTTTTCTCAATTTCTTATGGAACAAAAACTCAGTCGAGAATTATGGCTTGATGAACGACCCTGAAACGGATGTCAGCTTACAAGCTCGTGGACAAACAGCACGCACGACCATCATTCTCTACACACACATCCTATGATCTGACTCCTCAGATTCACCACCTAGCCACATAATCAGACTTCGACGACTGAAAGAACGAATGAAGGGGATCCACAAGAGCCCAAAGCGCATTTACTGTCTACCTCTCAGACGAAATTCGGCGCCGCTTTCTTTCGAACTAAATCATCACCCCATGAACGATCAAGCCGAGTATCAATGGGGTCGTCTCTCATCTACACATGGAAAACTCAGTAGTGCAAAACCCCGTGGCCTCCTCCTCCTTCCTTCCCTTCTTCTTCGTCAGAGCTCTGTTTTCCGTATAACTAGCCTCCAAAGGCCGACATTTCCGCGCCCTCTATCGAAAACTGCCGCATTCTCTCGCTTCAGAACTCCGATTATCGACGAACTTATTCATCCCCACCGCACAGTGCTCGAACGAGGGAAATGCTCACGCCCATGTCACACAGATCGCCTCCCTTCCTCTTCCTCTTCCCTTTCCCCTGCCTTCACCCCTGCCCCTGTCTCCCTCGCTCTCTTCTAGTCTCTTCGTCCCGCTGCTCCTCTTCCTCGTCGTCTTCTTCCGCCGAGTGAGTGTCGCATCACATCAACTGCGTACAGTGGATTCACCGACTGTCCACTCTGTACTCGGTGGTGGGCTGAGCTTCACATCACTACGGACGCGTGACCAAGTAAAGCCGGTCCGGACTTGGAAGCACGGACCAAGTTCCCGTCGGTCACGGAGGAGACGCTCCTCCCTTGGTTCCGAACGCACTCACAGCCACCGTCGGATCGAGCGATCGTTGTTTGAAAACTTCGCGGCCCAAGGCTCAGATGGCGCTGCGCAATTCTTTTCTCGCTGCACGCGCGAGCGAGCGCGATCGACGACAGAACCGTCCGCCTTCTTTCGGTAACGGATGATGTGCGCGTCCCGTCAACGGGCGGCGCTGCATCAGCAAGTCCAGCCTACCAACCTGTCCGTCGACTGTCCTGTCGGCCGAGCTTCTTTCTCTGCCTCCGTCTCGAGACGTTCCGGCACTCTTGTGATCTCGACTGCTTCGGAGAATATTTCCAATCATTTCTGCATGCCTCCATATGCGCGATGTATTCTCCCCCGCGGGAGCCCGCGACTTAATTCTACCTCCATTCACGCACCTCGCATTTCTCATTCGATCCAGCCTCCTGGAGTCCAGGGTTACATACACGTGAGCACAACCTCACCATCTCTCTCTCAACAGGCACTCGCCACTTGTCAAGCTTTAAGCCGATCGAATTTTCATCTACGAAAACGGTCACCACGAGTACGAGTAAACAACCTTCGAATCTGCATGAACATGAGACCGACTTACTTGCTTCGGATAAGAGCGGATGGGATAAATGTTCGATTAGAGTACATATTCGCACATGTTATGATACAGCATAAAGGGCGAAGCAAGAAGTACTTGTATGAGAAGAGCTCGGCCGTTTTTTTGAAACCAAATACGCTGAACGGAAATTTCATTAACCTGAATAGCTTTTCTTTATCAAACTATGCGATATACCCAAATAAATTCACACATACAAATAGAAGAAAGTGGATATGCGCTATTTTACTCCAAATAAAATAATTATAAAATTTATTTTCCAAATTTTCAATGAAGAGATAAAAACTTTCATATCTAACCTTTGGTATTTCTACTTTACCTGAATATAATCTTATGTAGAAAAAAGGTAAATAAAGGTTAAATTTTATAGCAAAGGTATAAATACCATAGTCATAATCAAACAAGTCATCCAATCATTCAAGACTATCGAGATATGGATTTTTTGTCTAAATCAGTTACTTACATATCAACCGGTATTTGAATTCAAAATAGGATTAGTTTAACAAATTGTTAAGGTTTTTTAAATTAGAAATTTGAAAAAAATATATTGTCAAATTCTTAGGAACCAATTTTAAAACTTATTACAATAGCTTCAGTTAAAAATATATACTTAGTAAAATATAAAATCAAAAAATATTTTTTTCCTTTTTTCACGCGGCTCAAAAATATTAATCTTCAATATAAGGAAATTATATTCGGGATTATCCCATAATTTCATATATTCTAAATTATTAATCACTTTGGAAAATGCCAAATTTCACTTTGGAGAAAACTGGTCTAAATAAATATTATTTTCAATATTGCTAATATATCATCCATAAATCTAACATTTAAAGTCATGAATGTCATGTTTTTCAGATATATACACCAATAAATTGCAATAAAAAACTGTAAATTCAAAATTCTTTTCAAGCACTAATTTCCAGATATTTACCATCCGTTTCAAAGTGAAAAAAGTTGTAAGTAAGGATTTTTTTATAGATTTTACATAATCAGACCAAACTTACAACACTTCATCATCGATTTAATAGTAACATGTACAGCTACTACTGTCCATATTAATTTGATTGCATTGAAAAAATATAATTACGTTTATTCTAAACATCAAAAGAATAAGTTTAACTAAGATCTCACACTGAAATTTGTAAAATTTGTAAAACTTGTTGTTTGAAACTTCGGTATACTCCTTAAAATCAGATCAGCAAAAATCATGCTTTTTCAAATTGATAGATTAGTATAATTGACAAGTAAAATATAAATACTTAATTGTACTAACTATGGAATACACATTTAGAGAATGACTGCTACGCTGATAATTCCTTTTATTACTTTTATATCATAGATTATATATATATATATATATATATATATATAATTTCAATTCTTAAGTAGTTTAGAAATCGGGTTTCAAATGTAAGCCTTTTTTCAGAGATATTTTGCAAATACTGAGTTTGAGATTTAATGTAGAGTGAGATACTCAAATCTTACATTATTTCCTATTTATCGAAACTTTTCATATTTCAAAAGTTATCATTTTAAATATCATCTTCATAGATTAAAAATATATTAGACTCAACACTTGTAATATTTGTGTAATTTGTTCACAGCTAACCTTGTTAGAAAGTGATCTGACATTCTTCATGATTTCAGTCTCCATAGTTGCAGATGTAATAGTCAATAATTTTATACTTAAAATATATGTGAAAGTTAGTTTAGCAATTCTATATGCCATATGTATTTACATGTTTTAATTCATTACAGCTTTTCATTTTCAAATATTTTATTATTCTATACAGTCAACGAAGATCATTAAAAAATTGAGTCTTAAATTTGAATTATTGATAAATTTATCTTAAGTTCATATCAAAATCATAACATCATAGATTTTATATTTTTGGAAATTATTTTACCTGTGAAAAAATATAAATTTACTTTACTTTATTTTGACTAATTTTTATTTTAACGATCAGAAGAACAGATGTTGTCTTTTCGAGTCAACAGTACCTTATGAACACATGGGATTCTATCAAATATATCCGATTCTAACTACAATGATATACACAGTTCAGTTGAAAAAATATACTGATATCACTAAATGGTTCGTATTTTAGATGAAAGCAATTTCAAATTTGTTTTCACATCTTCAATCTAATAGACTTTCAAACATATTGAATTTAATTTTACACATGTATGAAAGTGATCGTATCATTCATCATCATTCTAAACAAGCTCGATGGTGATAACAATATGTAAGATTCATCTGCAGCAAATGAAACTATTCACACTTCCCCAAACGGAATAGAGTTGATTGTATTGAATGTTTTTAGAAAACATCAATAGTTATACGTATACCACTTCTGCATGCTGATGAATTGGAATGAATTAAATGAAATTGATTTCAAGCACATAATTCACATAGGAAAATTAAAGTACAAATGATACAACGACTTACACTTTCATATCTGAGATGATCATTTATACTTGAAGTGTTTACAATAGGAATTTAAAACCGGTTATTTTTGGAATCAGTTCTCAAATTTAGATTCTTCAACGCTTCACGAAAAACAACTTTCAACAGGTACCGATTAGAAGATCACATACGAGATAACGAGTCGTATTTATCATTCATACATTTAAATAGAAAGAAATGGATCCCATTTATACTTAATTTCACTACCACATACACCCCCTCGATTGATCCTCCGCTATTGCTTGTGTATCGATCAACATTCAAAGTAGTCAAAGGTTAGTGGATTTGAAACTTAAACGTGACAAGGACTCATATCACATAGCGATTCGAAATTGTAACCAAGCTCTTCTAACTAGTTTATCGGCTCAAGTAACTGACAACTGTGGGAGCTGATTTGACTGCCATTCTTGAAATATATTAGTTACTTCTGTGTGATGCGATTTCAGATCAGTTGCTTCCAAGTCTCTGATGAAAAAGCAATTAACTTCTCGCTGATTGTTGAATCATATTTTAAGTGGTTCAAACAAGAAAAACCACTTAAACCACTTAAGTGGTTTCTTCAGGGTTGGAAAATTGTTAGCGTATAAACCTTCGGATATGCTGAAAATTAGTACTAAGTTTCCAAAGTGTGTGAACAAAATATTGTTCATATCAACAAAAAATCCCCACTTGTACGTAGCACTTATGATGATTATGGATAGCTTAACACACGATCTAGCAAAGCTAAGCTAAGTAAAGTAAAGTGTGCATTCATGCTGGAAATAAATGTGGTTCATTGTATTGCTCCAATCGACACACATAGATAAGAGTCCAGGTTATGGTATGGTAGTCATTACAATGTTGGGAGTCAACAACTCGAGCGGTGATCAATTGCTAAAAATCGAGGATGTGGTAATCTTATATTATTTGATGAAAAGGCCAGGCTTCTTTCCAATGGAGAGAGCAAAACTGACGAGTCACAGCGTGAAGTAGAGATGGGAACAATTCTCCATCCCACACCAAATTTCATCGCTCGCACTACAGATCCAAGATTAAATCTGTTAAAAGAGGTTCTAGGTCTGTTGGTGACGAATTGCGTGGGAGAAGCTTTGGCGCTGTGAATAACAGAAATAGATGGGAAGTGATGGAACTCGAAGGTTGGCTTCTACGAGGGATGGTATAGTACCTGTACTGTTCAGTACAGAGCTCTAGCGCGAAGGGAAGTTATCGAAGCTCGGAACACGGAAGGGGAGGTGATTCACATGGAGTGAGAAATTGAATCAGTACATGTCGGGCAACAGCCGCGTTCAACATTGTCATCCTGACATCGAGGTATTCAAACAATAATTCCATTCTTTGATTCTGTAGTGTGTTCCATGCTTGAATTTACCAGCAGAAATTTGTCTGTCCACATGGGTACCACTGTACCAGTCACCGGTATTACACGGTGATAATCAGTGCAGAACTAACAATCCCTTTGCAAGCAAGACATGGTGATTTTTGATGTAAGACTACCGTCGTAATGGACGGAGAAGCACAGCTGGTTCTAGAGGCTCGCTAGCTTCGAGCTTCCTGCTTCCGATCAGTAGCTAGTGAGGCTTTAAAGAGTGATGATCATGATGTCCAAATTGCAAAATCTCGCAGATTATGTATAAGAGAGGTGAACGTCCATGACTTGGTTAAATTTGAATATGCAGTAAAGACATATGTGTTTGAAAATTAGACCATTTGGAGCTTGAATTACCTTAGGGTTGATTCAAATTAGGGCTGAAAGATGTTTCTTCTTGCAGGTCAAGGTTTCGAAATCGTTCGATAATCTGGAGGGCCGTGAGTGTTTGCTGGAGATTTGATAGCGTATTGCTGCAACTCACCCAACATTGTCAGTACTTCGACACTCCGTACTGTCTTCTTCTCAGACGACGCGATGGTCACCAAAGAGAGGCAGGTCTATTTTTACTCAGCTTCTACTGCTCTTTGTTTCTACCTAAGATTTCTCGACTGGAATGCGGATATGGCTAATTTCGCATTTTCCAGAGCCTTTCAGAGCTAAATCGATGTCCAGTATACGCTTGCTGTAGATTTCTTGGGGCTAGAGAGGCTGAGTTTGTCGCGTGAAGGAAAAATTGTTTTGGAATTTACATATGACCTGGAATATTATATTAACGGACTACGGAGGCTGTGGATGATTCCGCGTGATTGCGCATATCCAACGAGCCATGTTCTGCCCTCCCTGTCACTGATTATCTGTCATTTTTTTCTCCAGTTTCTGGCAGCTTTAAGTCTATAAGTACATGTGACTCCTGCCCCGCACCGTTGTCTTTCAAGATTCAATCAGAAAGACCCCAGGAATGGGATAATTCAATGAGATAATTCATGTTACTTCTTTTAAGTTTATGTGATGTGATATCTTCCGATTTCGCTCAAAATGAGTAAATTGTTCTGCACTGATTTTCGGTTGTCACAGTCAATACAATTACTGAAACACACCTCCTGGTCCTTCGTGATGTGATTAGTGTTACTGCTGATGGATTGATTAGCAGGTCGTAATGCGTCTCCTTCGTTTACGATACAGCAGATGCTGCTGTTTTCAGCATCAAGATAGATTGCGCACGAATTTGAGCATTAAGATTAGCAGGTCGTGTCGATTGTTAGGTTTTTGGGCGACTAGGTCACTGTTCTCGGTTGTGACAAAAAAAGACCTTCCCGTCAGTGATCTTGTTCTGGTTTTGAAGCTGTACACATGTTAGGGTGCTCAAAGTAAAGAGTACACAAAGTCGGTCTGTGAGGTGAAATTTCTGGTAACATCCAGATGTCATATTGAAGTGCTTGATATGTGTGTTACAGATGTCTCAGGCTGAAATCTAAGAGCAGGTCAAGCTGGTGGATGTTGTTTGGTCGGGATTGCTGAAAATGCAGTCGAGCAAAGTTTCAGATTTCCAAGGTTTATATTTCTCGTTGGTCAGGTTTACGCTTCTAAAATTATAGACTACTCTAATGTTGCGCGGCGCACAAGACATAATTGCCTATGTAAATTCATCTGACAAGAATGTGCTTGGTGGGGTTTTGCTGACTTTTTTCTGGTTGCCTGTGGTCACAGGAATAAAAGCTTCTGCACCAGTTGCATTACCAATGTGGGTTCCTAAAGAAGATTCTTCGCAATATCCGTTCGAAGACAAACCTCACAGTACCTTTACAGGTCCTCCACCTGGTCTTCCTCCATCATCTGGACCTCTTGGCCCGTCTCATTTCCAGCAACGACCTCAAGGTCCATATATCGGACTTCCACATGGTTCATCTTCTCAGCATCCACAGGGGTCTGCAGGTCCTTCTTTTCCAAATCCTCACATGCAAGACCGCGGCGCACCTCTCCCTCCTCAACCCGGTGCTGCAGTACCTCCTGCTTCGCAATCCTACATGCATCAGCAAAGACCCAACGGGCTCCCTATGACACCTCCACCACAACATCCTCCTTATACAGGGCCTCCCTTGCCAAATCACCATGGCCCAGGTAACTTCTCACAACCCAATGTTCAACCTCCGTCTCAACCACTCTCTCATCAAATCACGCCTCCAGGAAATGCACCTAGCCAGTCTTCTTTCCAGACAGGCTTAAATGCTCAGCTTGCTCCTGGAGGTCCTCCTCCCTTTCCCTACCAGCAGCATCACTTATTGCCACTCACGTTCCAATCGTCTCTCTCTAGTACAGAGAACAATGTGCAGGGAATTGCAGCCGTTTCTCCGGCACAACCCTTTCATGGTCCTCCGACACCTCATTCGCATGGTGGTCCTCCAGGTTTACCTTCTTATGGAGTCTCTCAAGTGGCGCAGGGGCCTTTGCCAGGTCCTCCTCCGCACCCAACAGCTCACAGTGCACCAGCTTCTCCCGGGCAAATGTTACCGCATGGAGGTCATTCTAATAGGATTGGTCCGTTTCAGCCACATGGGAAGGTGATGAATGCTACTTCGATTCCCCAAGGCCATCAAGCTATTCAGCATTCTGGGACGTCGGGAGGCTCTGGACGACCGTCGAAGTTTTCCTCTCAAGCTCAAGGACCTCCGTCTCAATTCTCGCCTCAGCCTCAAGTTGATAACCGTCAAATTACTATGCAGGGTTCTCAGGTAGTACCTTCTCAACATGCTCATCATGCGCTTCAAAATTCAATGGTACAGGGTGGTCCTGCTCAAAATCCATCCAAATTTCACTCACCGCCCTTTGGTGCAACTTCACACGGTTCAACACCCTCTCAGTCAGAGAGTAATGATGCAGCCCATGTTCCACAGTATCACTCATCTGGACCACACCAGTCCGGTTCTCAACATTATCACAACAATTTTCACTACCCTCAGGGATTACATGGCCCTGGAATACCTCCTTGGCAACAGCCTCGTCTTCCTCACTTGAATCCTTCTCAACAACTGGGTTCGTGGCAACAAAGAAGTAGTAATCAAGCGCAGGAAATGATGGCCTCTGGCTATCATTCTGAAGGTCCGAGTCTTCAGCATTCAGGAAACGTACATCAGTCTCAGAACTTTCAATCAGCGCAGGAGAAGGTTACGGGTCAGCAAGATTCTTCGTATGACGAACCAAAGATGCGACGGGAGCAAAAGAGGAAGTCACGGTGGGATCCAGCTCCAGAAGAGCAGTCCACGAAAGATGGACTACCACAAGCGGACGAATCTTGGCAACCTCCCCTAGTTGATAAGTCTTGGTATCCTGGACCTTGTTCTGGACAACCACAGGGACTATTGGAAAATCAAAATGGGCATTCGGGTCTTGTTTCAACCGCGAATAGCCGCAGTAACACCGTTGGATCTATGGAGCTAGCAGTTCAAGCAGCAGTACTTCGCGAGCAGGTAGACCAATCACTGCATATCTTTCGCGAAGATGGAGATAATACTAAAGTTTATTTGGGTTTAGAACCAACTTATTCTAGACCTATACTGGAATGCAAACATGCCTATTGTCAGAATAAGTAAGGTTGTTTCATTTGTTGAGAGAGTAGCGTTCAGTACTGCATAACGTCCAGCACTGAACGTCATGCAGTTCGTTGAGAATGCACGAGGCGACTTTATAAGATTTCCTTTTCTTCTGCACGGTCGCTGAAGATGTATATCCTTCTTCCGGTTAGTCTTAGAAAGGTGGAAGGTACTCACTTTGTGTGCTCTCGATTTTGTGCAACGCTTTCAGGAAAACAGCGCCCAGGAGATCATATCCCTGCAAAGGTGAGCGGTCATAGGACGATCAAACCTTCCATCTTGGAAGGTCGCCTCGCTCACTACTAGAAGGCATGCTGGACATTAATTCGTTTCTTTGTTGGCCCTTCTCTACGAACTCGGGATCGAAACTTTGCAGTTTGACGTGTACACCCTCAAGTGGTGTACCAGTAAACTTACAGCTATAATCAGAATACACGATTTTACGAATCACTGAGACTGTCCTCCTTTATTGAACACAGACGTGAGAAGAGACCTCACGAAACGATGGAGATGGCTGAAAGAGACATCATGTCATTACGACACGATCCTGTTGATTTAAAGGTGAGAAAATTCACACTGCGAGGAATCTATTCGATGTCCTGTTGTGGGATTGGCCACATGGTTATGGAGAACAGCTTTTTAGCTTGCCTCTCCTAACCTGATATACTGGTCAATGCTAACTCTTCAAAGAGAATTTCATGACCTCAAGACCTGGGGATTTCTATGGACTGTTGTACGGGTGGATTTGCGGGCCATCGAGATGGGCGTTTCACATAATCAACAAATGCTGATAATTGGATGGAGATTTCGTGAAACTTGTACAATGTGCTTGCAGGAGAAACTTTTGAGGATGACTTCTGAACATCGGGTGGACATGGCTTCCAAGCGTGGAAGATCCAATCAACATGACCAAGGTGGTGGTATTCGGTTTATCGGGCATGGCAGTCTTGTAGTCTGTTCAGGGTGCAAAGCAGCTGCTGCTCTCCACTTGTCCAAGTCATATCGTTTGATTTTGCGTATTGCTTTATTAGTAAGGTTTGGTATGTGGGAGACATTTGTTTTGTTGTCCTGGTAAGGATATCTGGTAAAAGGTTTCGATAAGGCAGAAACTGAAGCATGATTATTTTGCAGATTTAGGTGGGCTCATCTCTTAAAGTTTTTCTGTGGATTTCTTGTTTTTTGAAGAAAATATTCCTTGGAAGTATACCGACATCATGATCTTTCCTTGGAATAGGTGTATGTCAAGTCTGCTTTTGCTACGTTAAACCTCAAGTCTTACAAAAGATATTGAGGTCTGTTGATGTTCACCAACATTCGCTGAAGTATTTGCGCCATACTTTGCTGTTTTCTAGACTCCAAAAACCAGTCAAGTCTCTTTTTCACTTGTCAGATGTTAGGAGGCTGAAAAAGATTTTCATATTTCAGGCCTCCTAAAGCAGGATAATTCACATCGTTAAGTCTGCTTGTTCCACCGTTGTCTGGTCCATTTTCTCTCATGAAATTGTATTCGGAGTGCATCTAGTCCGTTCTCCGACCTCTACCTACTATTAACTTGGACGGGCCAGTCAATCTTGCTGCATATATAATTAGTGATCTACTTCCTTGACATCGAGTCTCTATTATATTTGCCAGCCTGTAGCCTCACTTTCATCAATGCTTAACTTTTATGGTGTTGCTATGCTTATAATCGTCTCATTCAGCGTCTACTCTAGATGGTTGTCCAGCCCGGAAGCAGTACTGTAGTGTGTTAATTGACACACTACAGTACTGCTTAGTTTGCCCTCTATCCTGAAGAAAGTACGAGCTTCGTTCAGCAATCTCTATCCATTTACGTACTAGTTTTGAGCTCGTGAGAAGTATTGCCTAGGAACTTTCACGTACTTTTCGTGATGCAAATTGTTTTAACTTTCTACAAACAGGTTTGTCTAGATCCATAGAATGCTGGCTAAGACTTTAGTATCTGCAGGATTTTAAAGACGCAGTACTATTGTAATAACAATCCTATCACTTCCAGTCGTCAGCAGCATATACGTCGCAATCCAGTTTGCAATTGCTGCTGAATTGTCTTCTGGTTACTGGGTTTTGGAAACTTCTTTTGATGTGGAGACAACATGAGATCTGGCCGTTGGCACCTAATTCCCGATTTGAGCGATAATAGATCTTTCCAATTTTTCGAGTTTTTACTTAAAAAGGTGTTCCGCTTTCTTGCCGCAGAGAATCTGGAAATCGGAAACGGGTATGGAGTACCAGGGGGTGGAGCATATTACAACAGTGCGCGTCCTCCAATGTTCAGTATTGGTGCTGGTCCTACTGGGTTTAGAACAGATTGTGCACGACCGTCTCTCGAGAGCATGCATGATGGACGGTCTAGTGTTCCAATGCAGGGGCCATCAGGTCCACTCAGGGACACAGAAAATGGTAACGAAAGGTTTAACTCGAGCATAAATCACCGCAATTCTAAAGATGATCACATGAGTGGTGGGAGAAGCGAAGCTGTGCCAGGTAGTCATAATGACTATGACATTGGCGTAGAAAGAACGGATTTGCCAGATTTGTTGAAGCAACGGTTAAAGGCTCGAGGCATTTTGAAGGAAGAAACTGCTGCTGAGTCGGCATTAGTGGTGCGTCCCATGTCAAATTCAACATGTGTATTTTCTGCACTATATCCTGTTTCCTATTTCTTATTCCTATCTTTTTTCTTCGTGTTTTCCGAGTATCTGGATTTGGTATGACCAGATTGCTCATCGTTGACTGCCTTAATATACACTTGCACTGTCAGATATACCTTGGAGGTTTTGTTCTATTGAACAGAGTTAGTTAGTAACTTCATGGGAGCTTTCAGCATGTTGACAGGTCACGTTTAATGTGTCCAGGACTCATCAGATGGTAGGCCCTCCCAGAAAGACTCATCGCCAGCAGTTCTCCCTGCAGGCTGGGTAAGTGACTCGTTTTCGCAGGAATGTCGGTTCAATTTACCCTAAGTTACCTCCTACTCATAAGGAAGTAATTCCCGTTGCACCATGTTTTTCCAATTCTGATTTGTTCACCACTTACACACAGGGGCTGTTTGAACAGTTAGCAACATGTCCTATTGCGTTAGCAGGTCTGGGCTAGAGAATGAAGAATTGATTTGAAGCCATTATTTATCAGTGGCTTGACGTTTACAGGTAGAAGGTGTTGATCCAGACAGTGGAATTGTTTATTACTTCAATCAAACCACTGGAAAAAGTCAGTGGGAGCGACCTACCGTGAAAGCTGTTTTGCCACCTCCTCCACCACCACCAGCACTGCCACCTTTGCCTCCAGACTGGGAGGAAACAACGGACGTTGGCACGGGTAAGTTCTATAGAATTCTTCAATGAATTTGACACTTTAAATGACCTATCATGGAGCTTGAGTGGCCTACCGATGGTCGTCGCAGTTGAAGTTTTGTTTTTTCCCTTGTACAGGACAGAAGTACTACTATAATATGAAGACCAACGAATCAAGCTGGGAGAGGCCAAAGCCAGTTAATGGAGTCTCAGCATCTAAGAAACAAGAACATCTTGGCACAGAAGCTGTATCCAACGGAGCTGCTGCGAAATTTAAAAAGTGTGCTGGTTGTGGTGGTTGGGGTCGAGGTTTAGTGCAGGCTTGGAACTATTGCAATCATTGTACGAGGTACGGTTTCTATGCAATGTATTCTGGTCTTGGACGTTCCATTTGTGGTTTCGGTTGGAGACCCTCTTTCCTGCACATACAAATAGGAAACTTTTTTCCTGTTTTTGCATCAGATGTAGTTATGAGTTGTGTCGTTTCATGCAGAGTTCTCAGCATAGAGGTTCCACCTCAAACCGCTTCGTCGGTTTCGAAACGAAATTCTTCTTTGGTAGCGACCACGACTGTGGACTCCGTTCTTGATGAGGTTTCTGCGGAACCAGAGTTCAAGCACAAATGGCAAGCTGATATTGCTGCTGCCGTCGAAGCTGAAACCGTGAAGAAAGATCCAAAGCAAAGGTACAATTTTGGATGTGGTTAGTTGCGCCGGTCTTCAAGACTTCATGGCTCACAGTTCGAAACTAACGACACAAGAGTCTTCCTACTCTTCCATGTTATGATGAAATTTCATCAGTGTTGTGGCCTCGTACCAAGATACTTCTGTCAGTGATCTCTGACCAAGAATTTGTCAACTTTTGTGAATTCAGATTGGGTTTAAGGCCACCGACAGGGAAGGCCAATCGGAAGGACCAAAAAAGAAGAATTCCTACGGAATCGGATGAATTGGATCCTATGGATCCTAGTGCTTACTCCGATGCCCCTCGTGGTGGATGGTACGGAGAGATTCACATTATAGCTAGTAGTCTGCAATGAATGAGTCGTGGTTGTGGTTTAATCAGTGAATGCCAACTTATTACCTGGTTGTCAAATGCAGGGGAGTCGGTCTGAAAGGTCAACAACCACGCGCGGCAGATACGACGGCTACTGTGAGCTTTCCTGTCTACTTCTGGAAGATTCAGCTCCTTTATTATGGCCTTAGGACATTGCGAATCACTATTTTTTTTCTCGTTTGTAGATCCTCGTCGATGGTCTGATATATAATTTGAAGCAAGACGACTCGATTATAGTTCAGACCATTATATCAACGAGGCCTTTCAACCTGTCCCTTCTGCATGGACTGACTCACTGTACCGATCTCTGAAATGTAGGGTCCTTTATTTCAACAACGACCGTATCCGTCACCCGGGGCAGTGCTGAGGAGGAATGCAGAGCTTGCTGGACATCAGCAGGCCAAGGCCGGTCCCAATTATTCCGTGATTCATAAACGGGGAGATGGTAGTGATGGTCTAGGGGATGCGGATTGAATCAAAGCCCAGTCTGAGTATTCTAGGTTAGCTATTCCCATTGGTGAATTTTAGATTTGGAAGCCGTTGTCAGGTCCACAGAGGTTATTGATCTCTAGGGCATGATATTAGTTTAGTAACTCAGGATCAAGTCTTTGTCTGTAAGTGGAATTCAGTAAAGTTGGAAGTCCCCAAGCTTTTGTTGCAATGTAGTCATCTTACTTCCCTGAGCTTGAAAACATAACGAAGATGTCAATTTAAAGAGAGTCAGTGTTCTTTTCTTAAAATCAATTCTTCTTCGAAGTAATAGAAACATGTACCAGTCAAAGCTTGGTTGAGCTTCTACCCGAAGACAATCCAATAGGAAGGTCTGTATTTTATCACACAGCGGGAGGCAATTCCAGCGTGTTACTACGAGATTTCCCGAATGTGGAACAGCTAGAATTGTACCGAAGGTACTTTTGCCAGGAGAGCAGTTTCGAGTATCCTTTGGCTACTCGACACGCTGTTTGTAATAATTTTGTGCTTTACTTCCACCGTTGGAGCTCATCGGCTTCCTGTTTCATTCAAGTTCTGATTCTACTGTCGAATGGGATGGAGATTGACGAACGGTTCGTCAACCCCTCCTGAAATTAGCCGTACGTCACAGCCATGCAGTGAAGATTCCAATCTAAGACTTCTGTCGCGCGGACGGACCATATTCTGAGAGCGACCATAATTACGATATTCGCTTCAGGTCCATAACGATGATGGCAAGCGAGCATCTTGTCTCAGATAATACGTTGTTGTGAACCAGAGAGCCATACGATGAAGTGCTCCCATGGTTTCTGAAGACCTGATACTTCCACTCAGTCGAGCCTAGATTTAATCTCTGTTGACCGACCAGGAAACAATTGGAGTAGGTTCTATGTGAACACACGAACAACTTTCAATCAGCTGATGCCCATTTTGAAACGCAAGATGGCATCGTTTCCCGTTGCCATCTTTCGTTACAAAATGACAACGGAAACGATGCCGTGGAATCCGTACAATATTAGGAAATAGCTAGCCTCAATTTTCCCCGTACATGATCTCTGCAAGATTCTGCGATGAGAGCAGGAAACGCCGGTGCCTGCCGCATCGAAGAAATCCAGAAACTTTTACTACGTGCGGAAGAAGGATGTCTTAGAAGAAAGGTATCGGGAATGGGGAAAATGAGAGTTATGTTTTCTCCGGTGGGGAACTTCCCACCGGAGAAAAAATGCACGGAAGGACCAGTCCACCTTGGAACATGCCTCCCTCCACGTTTCGCTCGAGAGACACGAGGTAGGTTCTGATTGGGCCATCAGCCTCTTGTCGGGTCGCGGTCGCGATCGCCAAATGTGACAGCTTGTGGCAAAAGCGACCGCGGCGTCCATGGGAGCAAAAAGCTCTTGAGCCTTGGTCCTGTTGGCCCTTCCCTTCCCAAAAGCCGCATTGTACTGATGGTGCATGGATACATTACACGTCTTTCTACTCGTGAGGAAGCGTGCTCGGGGATTTATGAAGAAATTGAGCAATGTTGTCAAGCGCAATTCCCCGCTGCTGGAGAACACCACATTTCTCTGCTGATTGTCATCGTCGTGACTTGTGAGCTGAATAATAAAATTTAAAACCTTTTCCCCATTGAATTCATCGTGGATTGTTGTATCCGCAAGGAGGAAGATGGGTGCAGGACAGTCCAGCAGTGCAGAAAACCACGCAGCGGGGGTTTTAGAAACAAAGCTTCGGGGAAGTGGAGATTTGACTGTTTTGGAGCGAGCCTTCGAATGTCTTTCACTATCATCGGATGAGACCGGAAAACAAGCGCTAATACAGAGAAAGAAATTGGAAGTAAGAAACTGAGTCTGCACGTATCATGCCAGTTGGACATCTTAGGCCTGACCGACCCCTCTTCAATTTCCAGATGTAGATCATGTAGAAACTGAATTGAGCACAGCTTTTGTACAATTTCGTTTCTTGCTCTTTCAACTGTCGCCTCACAACAACCGATCATTCCTGATTGTGTAGGGGTGCTTTGGACTCGCTCCATTAGCAGTGAGAGATGATGGCATATCTCAAATTTCTCAAATCATGGCTTCTGTTGGATCGGCGATTGTCGGAGAGTATTTCGATGCTGAACACGAGACGTTTGACTGGAATCAGCTCCTGGAAGGATATCAGAAAATCATTGAGGCTACTGGTGTGGAACACTTGAAAGCGCTGTTTTCCGTTTTTTTCCGTGCAAGTGGGACGGCACTGGAGGACCCGAAATCAAAAGTATCAAAATCTGAGAATGAAGGGGAGGGAGCTGATATCACATCCATTAGTGAAACTCAACTCCAGAACTTCCTGTTGTTGTGCTGGGTTCTAATGTGTCACACTAGGCTCCCAACGAAAGGCAATGTGACCGAAAGTGGTGGTGTTTTGGAGATTTCTTTACCGAATATTAACTCGTTAATGTCAGCAGCTGTCAGTGCTTGTGAAAAGAAATCGAAGGGTGAAACTTCTGCTGAGCAAATTGGTCGGGAGATGGTTTTCTCCATTTCTGATGTCTCTTCGTGGATCCTGTCCACAATACCTGCCCTTTCTGAATGCTTGGTGCGCTACGTTCGAGCTCAACTGACCAGGATTCCTGTTCTGTCCAAGGTACTGTACCTGTCCAGTTATTCTTCCCCTTTCTGAAATAGAAGTCCTGTCACTGAACATTTGTAAAGGTTTTTTCTCATTTTAGTTTACTTTCTGCCTAACCACCTGACATTTCAATGTTCTGGACTATCGAGAGATGTCATCTTCTTTTTCAGTCATCAGTTCATTTCCTCGAATCCCTACAGTATCTACTCTTTTCTATGCTCGCAACTTGTTCCGAAAGTGAGTGATCTTCAATATTTCACATAGGTTCTTGTATGATGTCCTCATGATGTCCTTATGAGATGGAGATCTGTTCTTCCTGAATAGAGGACTTGCAGGCTCACTTTAATCGCTATAGAAATGATATCAGGTCGCATCCGTTAGATTGCAGGATTGATGAGCCTTGGTTGCCGCATGCATCTTCCATACTTGTATGTCATGGCTCCACGCTAGGCACCATGCTCTCTGAATTGTTGTACTGATCAGGTTGATAGTCACGATGAGCAAAACAAAACTACGACGTCCCAGAGTGCTGAATCTGAAGAAGCTGGAAGGACTTCTGACGACAAGCAAGAGCTGGAAAATGCCAAGAAGGATGTCCTCCTTCTTCACTCAGGAACGGCTTGGGCTGTGGGACTTTCTTTGAAAGATTATACTGCTGCAGAGATTCTTTTCAGGGCTTCTTGTGGAATCGTTGAAGCTGCAGATGTTGAACTTCCCACTCTTCTCTACAGGTACTGGAATTGTCATTATTATCTTCCTCTGCATTGACAGTTGGAAAAATGATCGGAAGAATGGTTGTGAAAATAATCTGGACAATCAATGATACTTGGTTTCATTGAACAGGTCATCACTGCATGGAAGAGGGTTGAACCGCTTCTGGACATGTGTAGACGGATATCGTGCTCCTGTTATTGTCCTCATCTCCGCTCAGACCCAAGAGGAGTCATCACCGGGAGCTGTTTTTGTAATGGGGACGCTAGTCTCCTCTGGATTTGAGAACAAGGAGTCGTCTTATGGAGCATCCGGTTGCTGTCTTTATTCTGTTGAGCCGCTGTTCTGTCCTTTCCGTACTTCTGGTAAGTTCCGTGACATTCTGACGCATACTTGTCCCTGCGCTTTTGTTTACTTCGGTGAGGTTTTAACCTCGCATTACACACCTCATCTCTCTTGAAGTAGGGCACTGGATGCCGTGCATGTGATTTACCTGTAGGTGTTTGCCGAACATCATGCTTTCTCGACATCCAGCCTGCCCGAAAAACCTCAAAAAAAGAGAGGGTTAGATTCAAAAGTGTATATTGTGAATAAGAAGATATGTAGAATTGGGCCAGGACAATGTTAGAGCGATGTATGTCTGGTGCAATGTTAGCCCCAAGAGTTATATCGCTTGTGAGGGTTCAGAACCTGGAATAATCATCTTTCAGTAGGGCCGTAAAATGAAATCTCTTACTCTTCCCTTTGCTCATGCATTGGAAGGATCGGGTAGATTCATGAATATTGATGCTATCTGGTAATGTGGATGAGGGCCGCCGGACATGTCTGGCATTGGGATGTAAAACTGAACAATGTTCTTTCAGGTGGTCTACCTCCGCTTTGGTCGATTTTGGTGGAGTATTAAGTTAGTGTACCAAATTACAGATGTAATAGTTCTTCAAGTTTCTGGATCGAAGAATACAGACTCGCTTTTTCGCTCCATGCCATCATTAGTTACGATGTAACGAATACTCTTCTTGTAGAAAACTATTTCAGCTTCAAACTCCATAAATCTGATGAAAAGTTTAGTCAAGGTAAGACGTCTACACAATTATATAGAAAAATTGAGGTCAGGCTTGGGTTCCAATCAAATTTTCTTTCCCTGGAATTGTTGTTCAAAAATGCCTTAATACTGTATAATGTAAACCTGAGATGAAATCCAATGTTGATGCTGCATTGTGGCCTTGGAGTTGGTCAGCTAAGCAATAGTAAGGTTTATTCGTTTAATGAGTGTTTAACCAACGCTCCATTTGTGGCCATACGGTGGTAGAGTTAACGACTCCACGGTAGTACAACTGCGCCAAGAAACAATGCTAGCTGGAGAATCTGTGTATAGTCCTTATGAGTTTTTCAGGTCCTGTAATTCACATCAAGTCAGAAAGCTACGAGAAGGGTGGGTCTACACCGCTGTAGAGAACTCAGATTGGGTTGGGTTTGACTACCGTTAAGCGTTTAATGAAGTAATAGTTGTGAGACCTTACATCTATTGACTTTTGACTATTGATGTGCCTTCACGTAGCAACTTCACAGGGTTTATTCGACTATGTTTATTCGGAGACTTCTGGTCTCAAGTGATCACGAGACTTCTGGTCTCGTGATCACTTTTAGTCACCATCTGGTTTCTGTTGCGGTACTATGACTTTTTCCTGAATAATGTGAATGTAGGTAAGGAGAAATATTACGTGTACAGTCATAAGCACACTCCTGGTGCAGTTTACAGAGCTCAACCAGCTAATGAAGGCATCGGTCTGGGTGGAAGCTATGGCAAGGAGAGAGTCTGGTTAGATAAAGACTTCGCGACTCTGACTGTGAGACACCATGCCGTGGACAAAACTTACCATCCTGGGGGTCTTGTTCCGGGACAAGTGAGATACAAAACCGATGTTACCTGTCTCTCTTATACGTTGTAACTTGCTCATGTTTTAAGTTTGTCAAGTTGTGAACTTACTAGACACTTCAGAGAGCGTGAAGATTTTAGCAGAACCACGTATTCCTCTCTCTGACAGATCTCTCTATGTGATCCCTGCAAACTTGGTTACGTTGTTTGCTTCAACAGGGCTTTTCCCCAGTTAGCGCTCAAATGCTGGAAATAGAGATATGGGGTTTGGGAGGAGTAAAAGCTGAACAGGATCAAGCTAAGTTTCTCAACCGTGAGAATTTGTTCTCTGAGCAACGACGCAAAGTAACATTCTCAACCTTCTACCAATTTTTCTTCGTTCAGTGATGTCTTCTGAACGCTCTTAACCGTTTTTTCGGTCACTCCTCAATTAAACCATCATACATAATGGTCCGTCCTTACCTTCGAAGACAGTCAGTCATGCCGTATCACTAAACCTCTGATTGACTTGCTTTATGTTCCTAGATTGCTTTGTTCTTGAGAGGTAGTGAACAGGTAAAAGAGAGGCAGTAGGTCCAACAATAGGTTTGACTTTATAGTTTAAGAGTTCTGGCGTTGGAACAGAAGCTTGTTTTCAATGTATCCCCGTAATCTCAGTAACAAGTGTACTGTCTATTGCGTGCTTGTCATCGCAATAAACCCCACGCGCTGGCTGAGGGGTGCTAATTGGAAGATGGTATAGAAGGCAAATGAGATATAATTAAGAGCAAAGGTCTTGTAAGAGTGAGTAAATAAGAGTGAATTTTCACCCATAATGAGATACATTGGGAATTTCCAGGTAAGAAACGAAAACGTTCTAAACTTGAGTTTGATGAGAAGCCCCACGAGCGTCGAGATACTCCGCCCTTACTACTACTTGAGATTTAGTTGGGATATGATAGTAAGTAAGGGTATGTCTTCTACTGTTTTCACCCTGACGCGTCGTTTAATATGAGCCTTGCATACTTTTGCTCCGTATGCTAATGCGGGTCGAAAAGTCTGAAGGACAACTGAGTGTTGTGTTGTATTGGTGATCTTCCACCATAGTAACTTGGTAGCCTCGTCAACCTGCTTGTGCCCATCTCAGGTAAGTCCGCATCACTATGCGAAACTTACCTGAGAACACAAACCGTACTCTGAGAATGAGATCTAGGCACATGTCACATCATATCTCGAGTGAGATCATAATATTGTAACTTTTCCCCTCTTTCTTCTAGTCCACAAATCGATCGGCGAGCATCGATGCTGCTGTAGTAATCTTCCGCACACGAGTGCCCAAACCATCATGGTTCAATAATAGATTCACTAATAGATTCACGATGATAGTAAACTTGTAGGGGAGAGATGGCAGCCTCAGTTTCCAGCTTTCCAGAAGGCAACATGATCCTACCTCGCCGAACTGTATAAGAAGCATTCAGCAGATCTTGCTCGCGAGATAACCCAGCGAATCTTGCCTAACCAGGAGATAGAGGGTTGTTTCTGATCTTGTCATTGTAACTATCCCTGAGGACTATACAACTTTGTGGTTCATAAGTGCCCAAGTCTTTTGCTTGTTGGGCTCGCTTCTGCGTCTCTCTCCGTGAGATCTTTCCAGTGAGGGCGCTGAGCAACTCTTCGTCCACTTGGTGCCTGATGCTTTTCACCATCTCCATCCGTTCTCTCAGTTGGGTACTATGGTCCAGCTGTGAGTTATCTGACTTCACCTCCGCACGATCCGTATACTAGGCTCTCGTTTTGCCGGAGAGTACCATTCCATCATAAATAAGAGCCTCCCCAATCCAGCCCTCCAAGGCAGCATAATAGAGGTGATTAGCTTATTACTCAACAAATCTGGGGCCAGGAGTATGAGCCCGATCTTGTCGCCTCGGCCACACTATGAAACGATGATTTAGTTTGTGTCAACTTGGCTCCTCGTTGCACTTTGTTTCTCTGAGATATTCCATCAGTCAGTTTTTAATCACTGTCTTTTACGGTTTGAGAAAAGAGGATAACTTCAACTCCACTTTTGATTCGATCGAATGCTCCTCTTGGTTGCAGATCGGTTTATACTGACAGTTTGGACAGATTAGATGCTTAGGATACAAGTTGGACCAGGGGCTACACTGGGTTCTGTTTGACTTCTTACTTGGACAGCTTGCTTGATGGGATCTTGCCATTCGTTTTTGTCGTCGACTTGGCCACCAATTCTTCTCTCGATCTGGGATGCTTTGTAGTGTGAAAATTGGTTAGAGGCGAAAAATATCTAATGCTTACGTCAGCTTGTTTACTTTGGGGTGGTTCGCAGATAGATCTAGCAGCTTTTGGCAATTGGGAGAACTCTCCCGAGAAGATGATGATGGAGATGATGGCTGATCCAAATGCCGGTCGCCGCCAAGAACGCTGAGCGTTTTCGTGAATCAGCAGTGTAATTTTTGAGCTCCTCGTTGCAGCTTAAAAAGTTTTGGAATTAGCTGCAGTAATTGAGCTCTGCGATAGAGAATGCGGTAGGTTGTGTACAAAGAGAATCAAGGTGTAAATCCAAGATGTTCATTGATTACTTTGAAAGATTTCTTCACTGAGTGAACTAGTGATATAAATTTGTAAAATTTTTTCCTTCTCCTTGGAGTTCATGAAGATGTTGTATGGTCAAACACTGGACAACTATCACAAAGAAAGAATTGTACATGCTTTATAGTACAATGTTTTTTTGGTACAAACATTAAGCTGAGTATTACTGCACTTGCGTCATCATAAAATCTGGCATTTGACTCTCAATTTTTATTACACTACGTAGCATACTGTGAAAGAATAAAAACATCTCTTCATTCTTTGTTTGCATAAACTTAGATAATTTTCCACTTCGAAAAGTCAAAACTTGTTTGTTTGTCCCATATTATTTGGCCAGAAAAATGAAAAAAATTATGACAGATACTTTTCAAAACATAAAACTTTTTTTATAAGAACTTCCTAACGAAAAGAAATTAATATATATTGTTTACTATATACCGAGAACTCAAAAAGGTATTAATGAAAGAAGTTTATAGAATAACCATTAAACAAACAAAGAATAATAAATTTTCTTAACTCAGATTCATCTATTATTACTTGAGTAAGATATATGAAAATAAATTATGGATGTTGATCTCTACATAAGAAAAGTATTCATTTTTAATCTAATAGAATGTAATTTATATAGTAAATCCTATGAAACATACATAAAACTTCTTACTTTGGTTAAAATATTTAGTTTTAATTCACAATTTTATTGTCATCAGATGTGTTTTTTACTATAATCTCTAATAAATTATGGACATGAATACATAAAAAACTGAATATCTTATGTTCAAGTTTGAAGATTGGATAAAGTATTGTACTAATACGATATCATCACTACGATAATTTAGAAGTATATATTTTTATATTTTGATATTAATTATAGAAGTTTAATCATTCCAAAATCCTTCAGTGACTTGTATCATACATTAATCAAGAAATTTATGGGAACTGATATTCATTTGATGGGAATAACTTATAGTTAAAAAATGCATATTATAAAAAGTAATTTTAAAAATGATTAATTTTAAATTTTTCAAAAGAAAAAACTTTTGAAAAAAATGGAGAATTATATATAGTGTACTTGAAATATTTCCTTAAATTTGAAATAATTTTAAGTACTCTTAAAATTAGATTCATTATTATTCAAAATATTTCACTTTTGTGAAAATTAGTATGCAATCAAAATACATTAATAAAATAACATTTTCTGGCAGTTAGTTCATGTTTGCTAGCCTAACTTAGTAAGTCTGTCATTGTGTAAAAGTTATAATCAAAATGATGAGCGACACAAATTAGGGTTTTTATCAATAAATTCTGTTGTGATCTCATGGACATAGTCTCAAGTCATCATCCGCATATTTGACTCTTTGAGTTTCCTTGTGTTGAATCAATTGAAATCTGAGCAATTGACCGCTTACATAGAAGGATTGCAAAATGAAAATGGGTCATTTTTAACTACAACATGGTGCGAACTTCAAACCAAGTATGAGTATTTACCGAATGCCGTGGAGCATGATTTATCTGCACGTTTCCCACGATATTTCTGTACTATTTTGGATGCAACTTGAATTACAGGTTTCGTCCCAGAATATCACGAAGTGCTAGATTGGAGTAAAGAATGAGATAGCGAGCCGGAAATGTAGAGGTTCAAGTAAGTTCAAACTCCGCGAGGAGAAGTAGGGGTAGAGACAGACAGCAATGAGAAAGTAAAGAAGAGCAAAGGGTAGGATCATGGTTTTACACTAGGAAATAATATTTAAGCTTTCACTTTCTTGGTTCATTTCTTCACTATCATGAATTGGTTGACATTTCTAAAGATACAAACATATCAAGTTGTTTCCTATTTGGAGCTAGCACGGAGGCACGCGGGAGGGGTGTTACATGTATATGTTTCGTTCTCACGTGTTGTGTGTGTATGATATTCAGCTGCGTATACCGGAAATCTTTTGTAATTTAACGTTTTACTTGTGGATGCCAACAAAGAACGGCAAGAGTTGTTATACTAATACAATTGTTGACTTTCAGAGTGCGTAGAATTGTTCTGAAGTTATTTTTAGTGGGTAATATAACCCAGTGGTTTACTTCCAACGTCATGATATGTAGAGATTTCTCCTGAATAGTCTAGAGGTGCTTATCATGTTTTGTAGCATAATATTGACGTTATCGAAATGTTCATTATCGTTCAGCAAACATTGCATTTCATTTCTGGGCATTTGGCCGGATTTTGTAATTCTACGAACTTTATACCTTTCCAGTTTCACTCAACGCGGCAGATTACACGAGCCAAGAAACAATGGTTACTGTACCAAATGGGAGGGATGTTCTAGTGAAGAGGTTCAAAGTTGAGGCTTAGATAAGAGTTGGAAACCTACCCGTGGTACGTGGATATGAAGAAGCCGTCGCGACAGCCGAGCAGAACGTCAGCGAGGAACGTATATTCTTAAAAGGCTTTACCAGCCCAGTTAGTCACTCACCACGCTGTAGTCAAGGCAGCAACAATCTTGTAAAGCCTAAGAGAGGTCAAGAAGTTACAGCTTAACTTCGCAAACTTGGCGCATGGGAAGAGCGGCACGAACAGAACAATGATGATGCGACATTTCACGCGTCATATGCTCATATAGAACGGAGAACTAAGGAATTAATATTCTCTTGCGATGGCCTGATCCCGAGTTTGTACCATAGGAAACGCAAGTCGAGCACATTTTGCATCTCCTCATGAGGCCAGGCACTTAGTTATGATCTATAATACCTGTCTTCTGTATGGTGTACCTCGCGAACCCGTCGGTACAACACGTAGTACAGTGTTCTCTAGACACCAGAAAACGCGCAACATGGATAACAACTCGGTTCCTCGACATTCTAGCTAGAAAAACCAAGTCTATGACATGGACGAAGGGGGAGATCCTCATTACTAAGACAGGAATTACTCGACGTACTTGTCTACATTTGAGTATTCTTGTTACACGGCTTCATCGGTAGGTTAGACACGGACATTATCGTCTACCACAAGTAACTGTGAAAGCACCCCAGTGCATACAAATTTGCGTGAGCGGAAGAATATTATGAAAATACACATCGACGCCATGGACTGTTCGAGTGGAATCGTAATTATGAAAGACACAGCAAACCATTCAAATAGAAGCCCAACAAGGTTGATCTCGACATTACCAGGAAAACATCCATCTACCCTAAATATGCCCAAAACATCACGAGTACGTGCTCGATGGAAACCGCCACTTATCCTACGTGATATGACGGCACGAGAAAGGAACCAGGTCGAAGATTGTGCATCAACATCTACAGAGGCTAGGAGATCTGACTCCAGTGATCCGTTCATCCACCGTAATCCAGGATAAACGCAGATATTTAAGTTATGAGCAGAGTACTTTCGAGAAGTCCAGAATCAAGACCTAATATAGATGGGACGAGACAGCGAATCTTGACTTATCCCGCGCCTTACAATTCCACTAAATAGACACTGAAATGTAAGTTGTAAGTACCATCGAATTGGCCAAGGATAACAACCAATTTTCCTTGCTTTCTGAAAAGCTGGAAAACCATAACCCGCAGAACGCCAATTGGAAACCTGAGGTTTTCGGCTTAATGCATGGAATTAGATCGAATGTAATGAGAACCAGACTTTCCATGATGACTCTCTAAGATCGTAGAACATGAATAGCAGCCGTGGACGAATCATCTAATTGATTTTCAAACCAGCTTACATAATAATGCAAGGGATGAACAGGGCGAACGATTAGAACTGGAATCAGGAACAAGAGGTACAGTAAAAACCCAGATTACCACAGAGCAAAGGCTTCCGTGCAGCATGCAGTAGTGGTTCAAAAGTAAACAATCCCCGATAAGGCCATGTGAGACAAGCATCCGTAACGCGGGGAGAATCGTTCAGAAGGACGAGTGAAGACACAAGCAACTATTCGTCACTAGAAGAAGATCCAATCGTTACCTTATCGGAGTCTCAAAACGTAGGTAGCAAGTTGCGAGCAAGCATAACACAGCTACGTAAGATCACAAGGCCTGCTCCAGATACCTCCGCCATGACAAAACTTGCATAAAGTGAGAGCGTACAGGAACCATCTTGAAATCCTCGGTTCATCAAAATTAATAATTGGATGTACCAAAAACATCATTCTCAACAAGGTCATCTCCCCATTACGCCTAAAACTACATACAAAAATTCTGCTACAAGCTCAACGGTATCGTCGCAGGGACAATGTGTTGTGACGCTTCCATGTTGCGTGCACTGACGGTCGTGACTTGTTGTAAAGGTGACCTCTACCACGAAGACCACGGTGCTTCTTTCCGGTAGATGTCAATCCGCGCAGCTCACGGTGCTTGTGGACCGGGTTCACAATCCAGTTAATCCTAGGGTCGTTGCGGATAGCATTATGCGCTGGGTCTACGAGAATAACCTCGTAATACTTGTAGGTGGAATCCTGTATCCAGTGAAGATCAAGTAAGTTCGTGCCCCCACAGAGCGGGATTTGTAAGTAACACCACAGAGGAAGGGTCAAACAGAAGAGAACACATACCTGATTAATCCAGTAGGAGTTGAGAACTCTCAATCCTCCAAGCTTGCGCCCGGCACGCTCCTCAGCCACGGAGCGCAAGTTACGCTGGAACTTCAATTGGGTGATACCCTGGTTCTTGGGCTTTCCGTAAACAATACCCTTGGAAACAGGTCTCTTCCTTCCTCCTCTGCGGACGCGGATTCGGTAGACCACGTAACCCTGAGATCCATCCATGAAGTCTTAGAGCTCACAAGACCTCGGATTGACGCCGGCCACACGGAAAGGAAAACATACGTACTGATTGATCAACAGACAAATTACAAATCAAACAATTTCACCGAGCATACCTGCTTGGCCTTGTACCCGAGACGGCGGGCCTTGTCAGGTCGGGAGGGACGGGTGATGCGGACAATGCCGGGAAGCTGACGGAACTCCCAGCATCGCACACGCAGCAGAAACCTCAACACATCAGACTGCTTCTTGCGCCATAGCTCCTCGATATACTTGTAAGCACCCATCCCTCCCGCTGTGACAGATCGTTCGAAGCTACACTCGACCGCCCCGACAGGTGCTCAAGAGAAAAAGAACTTCCCCTCGCTCTCGATCCAACTTGTAACACTCTAGGGTTCCTTCCGTGCTTCCTTCGCTGCGCCCTGCTCGTCTCTCCCTCTGCGTTCCCTCTTCCCTTGCAGGCAAGGCCGCCCGTCCGGCCCCTCGGTTAGGGTTTGCCCGGACCAGACCCCGCTCGGCCTTGCGCCTCGGAAGCCGGAATAATTCCCATTTTCTCACCGCTCTGGAATACTTCTCCACCATTCCACGTCATTCGTTTCCAATATGTGACTTACGTATAAGAGGATAAATCTTCCGAACATATGACCAGGCATGGTTATAATAGTCGCTCGTCTAAATATTCTACTCAAAAAAATTCATCTAGTCTCTTCAAAAACGTTAATTTAGGTTAATTTAGTCTACTTAAAAGGCTAATTTAGTCTATTAAAAAATCAACCATGCCTGCATATGACCCATCCACCTTCTCTCCGTGGCCGTATTTTTTGTGCCCAAGTTTCACAAGCTTTACCTTGTATTGTATTGACCCCACGACTCCTACGCCATTCCACGTCATTAGTTTCGATCTAATTTATGTCAGCCAAGAATGATCAGGCAAACGAGTTCACCGGGGGCACATGTGTATTATTATACATAAGAGGAAAAATCTTGCAGAAATATAACCCATCCATCTTCTCTCCGAAGCCATATCATTTATGCCCAATTTTCACATCATGTATTCGTCCCTCCAACAATAATTAGTTCTGGAAGCCGAGTGTATATTCGTTAGAGATGTGTGAGTGTGGGTTGACCCTTTGGTTCTCTAACGATTCTATCCAGTTATTTAGCTGTAAGTCGGACACCTGCTCTGCGTGTAAGATGCAACCGCGAGGTTAGATTATCTGATAAAACGAGTGTCAATCAAACAATTTCGTGCCCCCGTGTATTTCGGTGTCCCAACACATCTTATGTTTGCCACAGAGTGTCCTATGGAATAGGACATAAGTCACTTTGTTTGATGGCGAAGGAATCGTTAGAAGAGAGATGGATGAATCTGATATCATTTGTCAGATTATTGTCAGTTGTCGAATCAGAACTGTAACTTTGGCCGCCGACTGATGATATGCTTTCTCCTTTTCAAAGTCCGAGTCATACCACGAACATGTATTGCTCACCAAGTTCTGCTGGGCTCAAAGTTACCCTTGGGATCACCTGTCTCAGCAGTTTTTGCTCACTCAAACCGACATCCTTCAATTCCCTCACTACAAAAAGTATTTACATCTTTGGAACTCTCACCCGTGCAATGAATAATTAGGAGGGTATATATATGAAGACAGAGAGACCAATTACAAGTACACGGTACGGGCTTTTGGGTACGTTCTGACGGGAACGTCTTACAGTGCATTTTTTCTTAACGAAATGTGAAATCCCCTCCTGACGCGGACAATATAACCTCATGGCTGTTTGTGTAGTCTGATGGAGTATGCCACTTCTCCAAAACCTTCTCTTTCTAAAAGCTCGTCCTTTTCCGTGATAGTGAGAAGAGTGACCAGAGCCCAACTCAGATCTGTCTATGCATCCGATACAACTCTACTGTGCACGCAAGAAATACCTCAGTACAATAGTGAGCCGGGGTTGACGGGCGCATTTCCCATTCGTGGTGATTTCCACTCCGACCCTTCCTCACCGCAATGGAGTGGAAACCCAATAACACTGTATGCTAATCCTAAACGTTGACCTTTGTTCCATCTTCTCATCTTACCATTTGTTGCATCGTCTCCGCGTTCTGAACAAAATATTCGTAAGAGATGATTCCAGAATTCCTAATTATTCAAGTACAGGATGTTCTGTTTGCTCGTGACACCTTAGATTGTTAGGAGGAACTTTATCACCATGAAGGATCTAGTAAAGAAGCTTCACCGATGACGAAGACATGGTAAAAGTCCGTGAAATTACCTAGAGACTGCTTCGTCTCCAATGGTCACATTATTCTCATCAGCAGTATTTCTATCACTGTCACTTTTATCACGCGTCATGTCTCTTCATTGTCTTTTCATCCTCATTTATGTTTGTTTCATTCTCAATTGGTTTGTGTATGTTTGTTCCCTCTACCCGCAGTTGCTCACCAATTAGCTTCTAGCAAAAAAAGAAACTAATCAAAGAAATCTGTTCTTGGTACTGATGAACTGGAGATTGACTTTCACCTTGTAATGTCACAAACTTCACATCTTGTACCTTTGCTCACAATGGACGTCACAGCTAGTAAGACAACTGACCAGATTTCAGAAACTTCCAGAGAAAGCCATTTGCTATTGCCAAGAAACAAAAGTCGGATTTTTCCTCAATAGCTGCTCAACGGGACCTAATGACATAAATATGTCGGTATTCATTTGAATTAGCAAGGTACTGAGAGAAACAGATCCCGGTTGTGAGTACAAGAACACTTTGAAAACTTTGTACCACGTACCGGAATCTTCGTACAGTGCAGATGAAACTGCTTTCTCGTTTACCGAAAAATAATAAACACCTTATGCAGGTTTATCAACATGTGTCATAAGACCTCGCTGGAGCTATCTTCCAATTCTCCCTGGTGACAACACTTCTTTGTAGCATGCAGGTGGGAGGGTTGGTTCTCAGCAGGACACCTTGTTAAAACAGGTGAACAAAAATTGTCATTCTGAGAATGACTGCTTCGGTAAGTTTCTTCGGTGATAGTAGATACACAATCTGGAGACATGATTCCAGGGTGACGTTCATGGTTCAGAACTCCAGAGTCTGCTCACTAGTTCGCTCCGGGCAAAGTGAGGAAGCACTCTGCGTTTGACGTCGTATATGTTCCCTAAGAACCAGTTGCAAGAACACGAAGTAACTCAAATCGTCTGAAGCTAAAGATCGATGACAATCCCTGCTTCATGGGTCATACCTGTCCATAACTGGTCCAATCGTTCCTTCTCCTTCGCCTTGGTGCTTGACCGTGGTATACTTCGGTAACAAGGGCACGAGGCAACCATCTTCAAAAAGGCTGAAGGTGACACGAAAGACTCACGAACCCTTTGGCCTAACTCTCTCAACCTCCGAGCCGTGGCATTTGTTCCAGCACCCCGTTCAAGGTACAAAGCACATTCTAATACGGAGGCTAAAGCACCAGCTGTTTCTTCTAGAATCATCACTACGCTGTTGAAAAAGCTCGAATATGTTCAAGAGTGCGGAGAACATCAAAATGATGCCCTTCCGATCTTTCATTTCCCTCAAAAGAGACTGGAGCAAAATAAAAATCAATGTCGCCAGATAAAAGAATGCGTAAGTATTATTCCTTCAGAGTACATTACATCAACAAATAGCATCTGAAACTCATATCCCAGAAAAAGCTAACCAGTGTTTTGAGAAGACTGGGCGGAAGGACTTACAGAGTTGCTTTCGTCTACCGGTCCTTCAACAACTCGCGATGACTGACGGAGTCATCAATGACTTTGACCTTCAAAGTTGAGTCTTCAACTAGATGACTCAAATGATCAACCGCAAGCTTGAGGCGACGCATCTGAGAGTCCGGTATGCGACCCCTATCGCTTTTCCTTTGACCTGGTGATGGCATCTTCGCAAGAGCATTTTGTGTACTTAACAGGCGCTCTGCGCGCACTGAGAGAGTTTCGACTGCTGTGTTGTAAATATCCAGATCTTGGAACCTCATAGTATCTGCCACATCAACACAATGAACTCAGTACGTGCTAAATGCAAATTATGACGTTGCACTTCTACCCTCATGATATGCGCTTTAGCAAGAAACGTAGCCAGATTGCAACATCTTAATCAGCATCTCAAGTATTGCCAGTTACCCCCGCGACCTCAAAGCAGCTTTACAAGCTGCACTTCTGCAAGTCTAGCTGTTAGATTAAGCGCTCATGATCACACATGCTCGATCTTGATTCCCTCGACTCACAAGCTTGTAATGAAATTACTTTTGCTTTGGTCCCTTGAAGGGGTGAAGTATAGTTGGTCCCACTCCGGGGAGATCATATTCTCCGAAACCGACGATTAAAACATGGTGCTCATGGCTTTAACTTGGTTCATTGACGATCGTACCTAGCTGTCTCTTGAGTTCTTGCTCCGTTGCTGTCAGAGGTTTTTCTGAGACACCTGGTAAAGTACAACAGCGCTTCACACGTTGTTCCAAGTCTCGATTCTTCGACATAATCTGCTGTAGACGACTAGTGAGGAAAGCTGACTCCTTCTGTGCCTGTCTCAACTTCGATTCCGCACTTTTCAGTTGTCGCGTTTGCTCATGAACTATTTCATATAGCCTCGATCGATGAGATGTAAGCTCCACATAAACCTAATACGTTGAGTGTCATATTAAATCAAAGTTGGCAGCTGCTAAAACCGCCGGAAAGAGTCGGGAAGAGTATCTCACACATATGGGGAGTCAAACAAAGCGAGAGCAACCTATATCATTTAGCAACTCAGTGAACTTGAAGTAGTGATAACAATTTTGTGGTATTCTAAGTGCTTCTCAACTCTGCACACACAAAGCGTGAACCTTGACTCCCAAAAACTGGGCTTCTTAAAATGCACAATTACGTGAAAAGACTTACCCGATGGGCATACTCAATATATTTTTCATGCAGCAATTTGCATTGATCGTGAAGAAGTGCTCGACCTTCAATGGAATCAACCGTCAATGGAGCACCCATCGAGGTCAACTGGTATGCAAGGAAATCTAAGTTAGCTGATGAGTAAAGCATATATCCCACAACTGAGATGATGAATCAATGAAGAGGTGAGTAAATAGTTAGCTACTGAAGAAATAATGGTAATCAGCACAAACCCTGTCATTCAACATACCTGAGTTATAGGAATGTCCTTCGGTCCAAGAAGAAGCTCTTTGCTCATCATCTGGAAAACGCCCAATTCTACTGTCCCCCTATCTTGCTCTTCAAGTAGATTTTCACCGAGAACAAGAGGTTCCGGAAGAGTTATTTGCGGTTTCATGTTCACAACAGCACATTCGCAGTTTGCAGTAACAGCCACTATCCACGATTCTCCCAAGGAGTCAAGGATTAGTACTGCCCCGAGAAGAGGGCGGGGGACAGTGAGTCCGGTGGGACATATGTCTAACAGAGGAAAAACTGCCGGGGGAGGGGCACCGTTGCAGGGCTTGTTGGCAGACTGTATCGAAAAGGGCAGCCATTGCAAGAGAATTGCATCAATACCAGCTGGATGTTGACAGTACAGCCTCTCCGGAACGACTGGATCTGAGAAGAGAACTACAGGCCCGGCCTCTAAAACAGCCGGCTGCAAAGCAAGGTCAACGAAGGCTAAACGCAAGAGCGGTGGTAACTGTCCTTGGCAAACACCCCTGAGTTCTTCAGGGTGCAAGTCGAGGGAATTTGCATTTTTCGACGCCTCCACCAACATGCCAACAGCAAGAATATGACCCTTGTCATCTGCCAGTATACGAGGCAGTTTTCCTACGCTCCAGTTGGGTTCGATCTCATCTGCAAGTACGTAGAGCTGCACTTGTCCATCTTGCGTGCTTATTGCAAGTATGCTATCCTTGCCAACAACATTATACAGTAAGCCAACAGCATGACAAGGTTCACAATCTGTTTGTTCCAAGTACCCATTTCCATCGTCACCTTCTGTTTTACGACAAAGAGTTGCAAAAGGACCCTGCAGAATACATGTCAAACACACATTCAGCAAACAAAAGTTGTTCACTTCGAAAACATTCTACACAAAAACAGATGGTGGGCCAACAAAGACGGAAAGATTACACGGTGGAACACTACACCAATTACTGTCCTGATACTCCCAACAGTGCTGTAGGAGGTTTCCCGGCAACAACCTGAAGAAGGAGAGATGCATGAATCGGCACATACGCGTGTGCCTTAAGTACAATTGAACCACCGAGGGACTCTCCAGGTAAAGGGTGCCCAAGCGAATTTAGTCCTGGAAATACGGCCTCCAACCAAGCAGCGGCAAGAGAAGAGCTTTCAGATTTAGTTGAACCGGGACTATCCATGCTTCCAAGTTGCCCTGCATACTTTGCCAGCTCCTCAACAGCTGCCGCATTGAACATTCTACACAAAACGAGACTAGTTAACACAAATCCAACTCTACTTAGGTTGAAGAGCTATCTGAAAATGAAAATGACAGCATCTAACAGTGAGAAATTGTAAACCGGAAATGGCGACATTCCCGAGCAAATACTGTGAAAATAACGTTTGACACCAAGACTCACTAGAAAGAAGCTGACAGGTACTATGAGAGACTCACCCGCCAAATGGTACGATGGGACAGAGAGCATACAAACTTCCGTCGTTGTAAAGTACGAAAACCTGCAAACCGATAGTCCTCCAATTTATAGGCTCCGGAGAGATAATTGAACGCAGAAAGCATAAACAAATCCGTCAGCCCATTCTTTAGTAGCTCTTACCGTGAATCGGTCCCACAAATGTTCTCCACCGAAAGAAAATGATATGGCTCGGACTAAAGAGGAAAAACCAGGATTTTTAGTTGAGCTGGGCTGCAGGTGATATTCCTGCTCTGCACTTTCTGCATTTAGAGATAAATCAAACAGTCTGCAAGAAACAAATACTGCAGAAACATTAGTGCAAGCAGAGGGAACAATTGTGGAGAATAAATCTTGTCCACAAGATGTTTTAAGGGGCAAGCACCGGAATTGGAGTACAGTATGCACTATAAGCCAGCAGAGGCATACAGTTACTCAAAAAGATAGAAAGTCCAGCCAAACAGCCTACGCGTCACTTTTAAACTGCACTCTTTGGTGATCCCAGTAATGAAGACCACCAATAGACTTATGACACGCTTATTTCTAGTCCGGAGTGATTTCTTTGAGGCCTATTCTCCGTGAAAACACGCTGAAAGAAATTACCAAAGTAATGAATAAAGGGTGTATATATTACTACAACTCTAAACAGCTAGTCAGATTATAAGTATGTAATGGAAGACCCTGACTGCGTGATAGTTTTAACATGAGCAAAATCGCATCTCACATTAATCTTCAAGGGCATCGAGACTTCTTAAAACTGTAAGAATTAATCTGATCAATGCGATTTTGACGGGATGACCGAATTTCATGGAAACAAACACCAAACCAATTACTGAGAACGTACCGAAAGCAACCATCCGATGAGAGAACACCGAGATGTGAGTCGCTATATGGATGCCAGGCTACTTGCAGGATGCGCAACCACTGTCCGTTACCTCTGCTAAATATCCGATCAGCCCCGACTTTTTGTACTCTGAAACAGCCATTCGTAAGAGTGAAGAAATCACACACCAATTTCTTTGAGTCGTTAAGGTACTCACCTGCTTAGGTTATTACGAAAAGTTAACACAAGACAATTTCTAAAATCGGAAGCCACTATTTACCTGCAAACACCGGAAGATGATGTAGAACTTGGAGCGAGAAGATTCACTACCATCAAAGACCCGTCCCCGACGAGCACTAAAGATCTGCCAGTTCTGTTGAAAGCCAAGTGTAGTACTTGGAAATCGACTGGCGAACTTAGCTGGACCGTCTGTTCATAAGAATGGCAGTGTAAGTTGAAAACCTTAGATACCCCTGAAAACGTCAGCAATAAACTCCGTAAACAAACTATAACATGCAGAGGGTGAAATCAAACAATCATTGGTAACCAGGTGGTTATCATTGTCCATCTATGAATCAACCCAGAAGATTGAGGTGCCTTGCTTTGCCCTGGAATCATTTTAAACAGGACTCAGACGTTTGGGATATTAAGCTTCAGCCGAAAGTTGTGCTGTGGATGAGAATCACAAACCTTAGAGTCCTTGGTAGCGAGAATTGTTCCCGAGTCATCACCAAAAGAATGTAAAAAATCGGATCGCTGAACTTCCACAAATCGAAGAAGCTTTTCTTCAGAATCCCAAACATAAAGACGGCCATGAGTGTCATGTGCAATAAGGTTTGTACTTATTCGGGTCCTAGACCCTTCCAGAATGTCCTTTTGCAGCACATGACTAGCCACCTTTGCGTGCTTAAATATTTGGTGCCCCTCAACTTTCTCATAACTTGATTTACGATCATTCGGTTGCTCATAACCCTTTCGAGCCGATTTTCTTTCATTCCCTCTCCGTTCTTCTTCCTCTTCCTCTTCCTCCTCTGAATCATCATCGCTGTAGCTCCGAACTCTTTGCATATCACTCCTCATCTTTCCCTCTATTATGAACTCAACCTATATTTCAATCCCGGGCACTTGTGCCTGATCAGGAGCCCTACAGGCACAAAATTCAAACTCCGTTGTCAGTCCATGGATGATAGCGTCCGACTCATCTACGTAAAAAAAACTTCTACATCAAGAACTTTCAGGAAGCCTCGAGATATGTAGCAAAGGTGTCCAACTAGACAGTGGTCGAAATTTTCGCATGTGATGTTATGAGGGCAGACATTTGAAACCAAAAAGGCTCGGACAAGTTTTTGTAGGTTGAAAATAAAAATAAAAAAACAATGTCAAAAATGTGGGCTTTCAAAAGAAAACGATTGAGGCCAGCAAACATCAGATCCTTTGCCTAAGAAAATGAACCCAGAGAGATGAACTACGCAATTCCGAAAGTATACCAACCTCCAGTAGTAGTTCAAGTCAGCGCAGCACTCAAAATTCGGATTTTCCTTCGGACAAAATTTCTTCGGGAACTCCATGCCCACAAAGGCAATGCTCCATCGTCCTTGGAATTTTCCAGCTCAACGTTCCCTCGCAGTGGCGGGGTTCATTACTGCTGCTCCTCCACCTTGAGCTCCACGAGGAATGCTTGTCAACGAAACGAGTCAGAGTATCGACTCCGCGGCAGTTCTACACCACTCCCTCTGACTTCACGAGCAAAATCGATTTCGGCACAGCTGCAAATTCGATTCGTAGCGTCACTTCGCTCTCTACCATATTTGAATATTTAGCAGCGTACAGCACCAACATGGCTTTTCTCGTCAGCCCCTTCTTCGTATAATACGAGTACGGAGTATTGTACAGTACACAATATCTCAACTGTGTACCGAATCCTATTTGGTGAGGTGACAGTAGCACAGGAGGCCAAGAAAAGATCCAGCTCTTTGACCACAGTACGATACTCAAACTCCCACTCTGCTCCGACACAGTCAAACCTCCTGAGGACATCCACGCCGGTCACCGGTTCTCTGCAGACAAGGCGTTCTCGGTTCTCATTACCTGCACATTCACCCAAGCGGTCTGTTTAACAAAGGGTGGAGAGAGACAATTGAGGAGGATTACGCGACGGGAGAGATCCATAACAAGTTTAGGGCCAGGATCAGTTCTTCCCTTTATCCTAATTAAGGAAACAACTGCCAATATGGAATGTGAGTAGAAAACAAATGCAGAAGAAAAGTGAAGAATGGGATGGGAAGAAGAAACAGGATGGGAATATCCCATAAAGCCTGATATTGAATATTTAAGCAAAAAATTTCCCCATGTAATACCCCTGGTTTGCAGAGTTGGAACCAAATCGGGCTAGCCTTCAAAGTTCACAGTTGATAATATGATCTATTAAAACTTTTTTATGTGTATTTTCAATATATATTTTTGCCCGACCCACCTAAAATATGTGAGATATCTACGTTTCTGTTTATTACAGTACAATCCCAATATATCACCGTATTGCACAGCTTTAGAGTCTAACATGCGGGAGATGGTTTATTGCATCTCTCCACAATCTCATATGCCCATTGGTTTCTATTTGCTAATTGTCATTGTCACAGAATTACACAAACTATTATTAAGTTCAAAGTAGAAATGTAATTAAATGATTAAGAAGTCCTGGGGTTTCTATGAGTACATCACGAGAAAACCCTTGCTCGGACAACATAAACATAAACTAACTTCTCTAAACTTCAATAAACATTGGAATTTATATGTGATCTTAACATAATGCATAGGGAGGAGAGATAAATGCAGAGTGAAGTAGTGTGTGTTAGTCATTGATTGGGGCAGCTACACAGGACAAACATTCGTCGAGATTCGCTCACACTCAATAATAATCGTGATAGGTAAAATCGGGAGAAGGAAAAAAATATGACCATCCGCGAAAAAACTAAACATGGAAAGCTGTGGCGCAGCGACCTCAACGAACAGCCTAGGAAGAGTAAGAGTTGGACAAAGGAACGGTGATATGCAAATAAGAGAGAAATCAAATTTATCTCTGTAGAAGAAATGTGCCAACAAATTGCAATTTATAGCCTGAACCTTATAAAAGATATCTTTTGATGGATCGAAAGATATACAACCAGTCGATGACCTAGATATGATTGAAAAAAAAGCCTTTTAAAACTATGGTTGCAATCCTTGAAGGGTATCATGACGTCTTTTTGATATCGTGATACCCATGAACAAGCGATGTGTATATTATCCTTCTCAAGATGCCATATTCAGGAGGGACAAGGGATAAGCTTATTGCACTCGGGAAATGATGGCCGGCAGCAACCTAATACAACGCGAGCTAAGCGAGACTTCAATCATGAACGAAAACATTCATCAGCAAAACTTCATTTATAATATTTTCCTCTTTATGTACAATTCCAGGCACATAAGATTTGTATGTAACCAAAAAGGGAATCTTAAAGAAGAGGACAGAATCGTACTCCTCCGCGGTAATGGATCACATGAATTATCGACCATAACATGTTTTGTGATGTACTGTTCGTAGTGTTTTTATGTACGTCCTCACGTGACTTGGGTTAAAAGAATTTCCTCGTTGAAACCCGAGGGTCTGTACAATACCCCAAAAAAGTAATACAGCAGCCGGCCAGACTTGGCTGCGTGATTGAGGGACTGATTGACCGACCGAGTGAAAAGTGCTGCAGGTGAATAGCTTTTCGTCCATCTCGCGTTTCCTCGGATTGAGAGATAAAGAGAACTTGAGAGCGAAGAGAAAGAAATACTGTGTCTGGGTCTCTGTGGGTTTTGCAAATCGCAATACAGGTCGCTGTCTCCGCAGTGGGTGCGTAGGCGTATTCTGTCCGTGTTTGATTTTGACATTGGGTCGAGGAAGTTAGTGATCGATGATGGCTGCAGACAAGGAGCAGGCGAAGAAATCAGGAGAGAAAGAAGAGGTGGTCAAAGAGGAGAAACCCAAGACGATAAATCATAACGATCACTACTCGATTAAGCGGGTTCTTGACGATGCAGTCTCCGAGGTAGGTCTTCCGCTTCTTCATTTTCAGTTTTTCAGGCTTCATCTATCACATTTACTGCTTTATGCTTCTATGTTTAAAATCCGCCTCCTCAGAGGATTTTATGCTGTCAGACAGATTCTTGAGTGCGATTGTGCATTTTCTGATTCAGGTGGTGCTTGGACGTGGCTATGAGGAGAACGTAAATCTCAGCAATGTGAAGATGGCAATTGGTCTCATCACCTGCGCCATAGCTTTGGCTGCACAGTTCTACCCCAAGAAATTTCCTGAGAACAAAACATTTTTGATCGGGTGCATCATATTATATCCTTTCAATCTTTTTATTTCGGTGAAAATTCTACATCCTTGTGAGATTTCTGCATCCGGGGTTCTATCGGGGAGCATTTTTTGAGTTGTTTATAATATTTTTACAGAATATTACTTGATCTGATTTCTGAGGTTTATCAAGTCTTTTATGAAATAATTGGAAATTTGTATTGTCTCATATACGTGCTGTCCTTACATAGATTTGAATGTACAGTTTCTATCAAAGTTTACGGCCCATCGATCAAAATCTGACTGATTTCCTTAACAAGCACACATATGTTATCTTCAACGGTTTGCTGCAATACATCATAATTACAAGGGAAAAGCAACACATCTTGTTCACTTATGCTCTCAAGGCAAGTGCCTCTATGTTCATAGTGTTTCGCTTTGCTTTTACTGTGGGGATTTCAAAATTAATTTGGTGGAATTGAAGTATTTGAATTTTTTGTTTTTCAAGTCTGTGTGTTGTGCTTAGTATCAATAATTCCATCAAGTAGTCAAATCTCCATTGAGTTATGACGGTTCCAAATCTCGGTGAAACTTCTGAATAGGATTGTCTCTACAATCTTAGAACTCGTCATATATCACCTTTTATTGGGCTTTATGTCATACACGAGGAGGTTTGACTCACTGCTGGAGCCCAGAAATACATGTCTAAGAGTTCTACGTCATTTGGATATACAGGACTCTTTTAGTACTACCGGTTTGGCCCTATCTTCCAAATTACCACGGTACTCTGATTTGTATACTTTGCGGATCGAAAGCTCTGATCCTCAATCAATTGCTGCCCATCCACCAGTGGAATTCACCAAAAGTGTGACCAAATGGTGAGTGATCATAATTTCGTGTCATATCTTTATGTTGTAGATGCTTGGTTGTGTAACATCACTTTTTGAAAGCTATTGGAATAATTCCCACTCATTACTTTCATGTGAGTCATCCTCAGGTTAATTTCTTTTAGCGAAAGGATTATTCTGAAGCAATGCTTTATATTTTGAACATAGTCTCACTGTATGTCGTGTATGATGTCAATTCTTGCAGGTTCACAAAAAGTGGTGTTTTCCTAGAATGTGTTTTTTGGGATGATGTTGAGAAACTGGTAGATGGTTACAACAGCGACATCAAGGAATCTCGTAAATCCAAATAGCACTGAATATTCTGTTTCAAATTTCTATCGTCTCAATCTTAATCTCATTGTAGTGTGATTCAAGTATTTGGCTGCGAAAGAGGATTCGTGTAAAGACGAATTGATGTGGTGCGAACTAGCAAGAGCCTTCCAAACCTAGAGGAAAATCTTCAAAATAAATCCAAACGATCATTTTGGTAGTGATTCATGTATTTCCAATAACTCCAAACTCGGGTAAGTGAGGACTGGGGAAGAGTTCAGTTCTTTGCAAGTGCCTTCATGCGAAAGAAGGTTTTCAGCCTACACGTATTTTTTGAGGAAGAAGTTCACGATTAGGATCATCGACAAGAATCAAAAAACATTCTCTGTTTACGTAGTTACCAATTTTGTAGCTAACACAACATACTCAGGGCGAAAGCATCGAATAACCGAGATGAATGATGCTAGGTCTCATACTAAACTTTTCGATCTAGAGACAAGCGATGAGGCAATCTTGTGTTTTATTCACTGTTGATATGAGTGTATGTTGCGTCTATTTGAATTTAGTAGTTCAGGTACTGCTCGCCATGGAACAATTTATCTCAAACTGTTGACTTTTATATAATTATGCTCATGTATCTTGTCCAGGTGATCTGTCTGGATCGGAGAGTATGGAATCATCATCCCTGTACAATAGTTCCACGATTGAATTGTCCCCTTTGCTGAGGTAGTTTACTGATACCTAGAAGCAGCTAGAGCTGTACATATCTCTGTTAATGAAGGTTCAATTACCTTTTGTTCTATGTGTAGATCATGACTTCGAACAGAATACAGTAGTTCAATGGCTTGTCGGATTCCCGTGCAGGTGCGAACAAGCTTTTAGAATCTGTGACATACACCCAAGATGCTACAATCGATCCTTCAATGGCTCATTTCTCGGAAAATGATACCCTTTTAAGATGAACATAGACATCGTAATTTGAGAATATTGTGCAGAGGCTAGTGTGAAGTACATCTCGCATGTTGAACGCCCTTTCCTTTGACAGTGCGTTCTTACATGATCTAACACAGCACTGTGGGCATGTCCTTATCTCTTGATTGTAGACAGAGAGAACGTTCAGCAAACAATACTTGACCGATATGTGGGAGGACGATATCTCGTTTTTGGAACCACACAAGTAGCTCTAGTTGGTCAGCTTGATTAGATACTTCAGTTCAAAGAACTGTGAGCATCAGCTCTGGCCAGCAGTTACTTCGAAACCACCATTCCGTGTGAAGTTTTATCAAACCGAAACGAAATCCAAGGATGAAAATTCATTACACCTTTTAGCACTTACACCAGATGCACATTCACCAACATTTCATGAGTACACAGATTGAACCATTTGCTCAAATCCGTCGCTAGTCAAGCTTTCCACTACAGGTAGAGGTTCATACCACGCTCAACAATCTTCCATCTTTACTGTACACAAGATGGTCTGTCTGACAAAGATTTGATATACACCTGCAGTGTTTACTGCCACCGAAGTGGTGAGCTTCATATCCTCACCTTCACCAGGTACCCAATTTGCACGCAGGTCAGACTGATTAAGTGTTCTGAAGTAATAAAAGCTTAAGGAATATATGTGGTCTCCACTCAGCAAACCTTGGCTGCAAGTAGAACTTCATCAATTGAACTTTAGAAACTCATCGGTTGTTTATGGAACAGTTACAATGAGAACAATCTTCTATGTCCTTGCCCGTGTAAAGATCTAAATCATCCAGAATCCATAGTCCAAAGAACACCCTTCCACAAAACAAGAATATTTAAACACATACATATATCAAAATAATACCTAATATTTCACAATACGCAATATTACTCCTGTTTGTAAACTGTAAGAAGCATGTTACTAATTGTTTGAACCGAAGTAATTGGTGTAGGTTCATAGGAAACGGGTATATTATAGAACAAAATGCCTGCTGTATACCTCTGCACGGCATGTTTGAGAAGCGCTTGAACGTTGATTGGAGAACCTAGAGACACGTTGGCATATCCCTACGTGTGCTGCACTGTACAGTACAAGTTTCTTCACCATGGTGAGTCCAGCACTGCTTACTGCGTACGCGGTGTTACGGCCGTAGTAGTGTAGAACGATGGATTGCCTTATCCAAACAAGAGAAGGAGCGACCAGCTTCGCTGAGAGTGGCGGCATGGCGCTGGGGAAGGAAGACAGTCGAGGTGAATGAAAGGCCAGAGGAATAGATGTTCTCGCCCGACATAGAGTAACGTGCGAGAGCGGTCGGGACATTTTGGTTGTTGCCGTGACGAACAGAGCAAGCTATGGCGTCTCTGTGTGTTGCACCGGTCATGCGCGTGGGAATGCTGCCACAACCTGCCGGAGTCTTGAACCGCTCTTCCATGCGTTCTGGCTTGACATCGTCCTTCACTGCCTCGCGCTCAGTAGCTTCTTCTTCTTCATGCTCTTTCGCAGGTGCGTTCGCTCTCCATGTGCATGAAGTATGACAATGTATGAAAGGCGAGGCGCCGAATTGGAATTATGAGCTTTCTTACAAATCGCCCCGCTACCAGTGCTCGTACTTTACTATAATCTGCCTGCTCCATGACTTCTGTGATGGCGTGTCAAATTCAATGATCCGCCTGTTTGTTTTCTTATTTTGCTTCAATGTCAAGGGCGCTCTGCAGTCTGTGTTTGTGAACAGCATCATTCGGTTCCGCCTGTCCCCTTTTTCGTGGTGAATTCCGGCAGCTATTACGTTTGTTTCATCCTTCCTGTCCGGCCTCCCAGGAGTCTTTTTAGCTAACGGAGTTGTACAGAATAATCATTTGAGAAGTAAAACTGCCAAGTGGTTCGAAAAATCTGTAGAGCAGCTGAAGAAATTATTTCTTTTTTAGTTCCGGTCTATGTCGAAAGTAGTCTCTTTGAGGATGTTCTTTTTTTTTATTCAAAGGGATGGCTAAGATACTTTAAAGACCCCCATGTTACTGGTCTAATTGCTTAGAACTGCAGTTTTCTTGACATCGACCTTGAACTCCTTTGTTCCTTGTTCTTAAGAAGGGAGTGCCTATGCTCATACTCCAACATAGTTATAAGGGGATTCTGAGGGAAGAATCTTAAAACAAACTGTTCTGCTTACTCGGCTCAAGAGTGCAGGCGCCGAATTCAACATCCTCTTTTGGTAATTTGTTCGTTTACAGTCCTCAGGCCCAATGCCATTGACGAGTACCTGTACCGACTAAATGATTATCAGGCCATGGGCACACTTTAGTTCACTTGATAAAGATTTGATGATTGCAAGTGCAGCTTTTTTTGCGTGAATCTACGTTCGATTCTAGCTCATAGATAACTCTGTGGCTTAAACACTTTGAAGGTGTGATGTTTGACATTTTACTACTCAATGAGCATGACCGGACTTTATTCATCGCTGTCATTCACATGCCATTTTCCGATTGTGTCTGGAAGGTTCTCGAATTGGATGGGATGTCCGTTCATGTGCTTGCATAGCAGCTAAATTACTGTAAATTCATTTCTCTCAGCATGTTACTAAATATTGCAGTTTCTGCCACACCATACGACACTGCTTTTGTCCACATAATGACCTCGTGGACAGTTACCTACTTTCAATAGTTTAGCGTGAAGCTCGTTACCTTACCACTTTACAGTTCGTCGCAGTCTGTGTTTTACACTTCCCGTCGCTTTGGATCGAAATTCTGATAGGTCCTTACACTATGTTCTAAGGGATGGAATCTTTAATATTCTTGCATCAAATTGGTCCTTCTGTAGTTGTAGTTGTAAATGCATATTTTACGCGAGTGCAGTTCTCTCTGTTGTTGCACAAGTAAGTGTTTCACTGTTTGACACTGTGCAATTCTGTACTTAAGATCAAAATTTGCTCATATATGTGATGACTCTCGCTCGTAGTTCTAAGTTATTGCTTCGATGTGGGTTGAATACAGGTATTTCTTTGAGGCCATGTGTCTTCAGATTACCTCTGCTACAAAGGGGAGGTTTGGTACAAGTTAGGGCGAAGGTTGCTCTTGGATGCACCAAGAGATCAAAGTCTCGTAAATCCGTTGCCCGGGTTTCAGGCTTCCGCATTCGAATGAGCACAACCGATGGACGCAATGTTCTGAAGAGGAGAAGAGCAAAGGGCAGGAAGAGACTTGTGCCCGCTAGCAACCCTAGCAGCGGGAAGTACGCTTAAACTTCTTAGTGTTCAGTAAGCATTATAGTACATTTGCTGTTCCTAGTCTTTTACTACGGGCCTTCAATGAGGCCCGAGGCTTGAAATTCTTTTACCTCATCGATTCCGAGACGTTCATGTTTAGAAGTGGAACTTCAACATAGCTGTTAACAATGACACGATTTGAATACATTTTTCCAGTTCAGGCATCCTCTTCAATCGTTGCTTGTCTTTGTCTCTTTCTTGTACTACCTGCCCACATCATTTTCTACGAAGATTTTGACAAATCAAGGCCGTTGGATGAAATTGGATATAATAACTACTCTCATCTTTCACAACTGTAGCCAATGCTTTGTTGCGTAGAAGTCGTGTTGTTAGATTCTATGTGGTCATTTTCTCCGAGCCCCTCACAAATATCATAGGTGTATTTAACGTACTGGCAAAAGACAGTTAGTACTGCATGCACTGATCTACTTATGCCTCCCAACCTCTTACACCCGTGGAAGTTTCAGAGATTTTGAACCTAGTACATCGTCCATTGGGACGGGCCTGCTTAATAGATGATCAAAACAGACGGTCAACAGACCTCGCAACATGAAGAAAGCTGTCGCAGACATATAAATCTCACTCAGACACACGGACATGGGCCTCCTTGCCTTTTGCTCCCAAGTGCGAGAAGGATTTCCATTCCTCATCTGTGTGTTGTGCATATAACCTCTCGTAACTGTAGATATCTTCGACATGGTCCCTCTTGTTGAGCAGTGCACTCACAATTACGCAGAAGTAAATAAAGTAAGGTAGTTGCAGGTCTGAAATATCTTTCGACTAATGGTTTCCCCCTGTTTAACATATTACAGGGTACTGGAAGGAAAGAGAGGTCCATTTTACGCATGTAATGAAACCTCAATGTCTTAATCTGCCGTACAGAAGAGAAAATAAAATAGTACGAAACCAAAATACAGGGATTGTTTTCAACTTGACACGGGGGTTTAGGTCCAATGTCCATCTGCACAGAATACTTTTCGAGTAATATGGGCACCCGAAACACTCACGAACCTGATTGTTCATATGGATTGTCTCCGCGAGATTACTATGTCGAGAAAGAGAACAGGTTGGATTTGTAGAACATACAGTACACTATAGAAGGTAAATAACCATTCAGCCCATCGAAGGGCTAGTAGCGCATCGAAGGTGGAGTACACTATGTCGCTTCTCAGTCGTAAAATCTTGGTTGTAATCTCTCCACTCATAATCCATCTATGACAGTAGGCAACGATACATTTCATAAGATAATCACTTGTACGCTAACCACAATCACTTCGATAGTAACCTGATAGTTTCAAACCAATTATGAGCCTCGAATTTCTCATAGACTATAGTTCATACCAAGGGATACATCTTGTTGCATCACTACATCTTGGTGGAAATCAGGGACGGTTATCTTTGCATTCGAAATTAGGTACAAGTTGCATGGAGAAAATGTCCAACAACCACAGAAAGTCATACTCCTGGAGATTCACGTATACTTTCTGATTTCATATATGCAAAAAGTACGAAGATATGGTAGATTAATGAAAAGTCTTAACTGAAAGTCATTGAGCCATTACTTATCATAGCACGAGACATAAGAAGATCTAGATCCTACAAGGGAGGATGCAAAATGCCGAGACTGATACAAAACATTTTTCTGTGATAAATCTTTTGAATAATGTCAATTTTGTTTTATACAAGACAAATTGATCATTCTATGTTTTAATTCCCGTTTACTGCAATCAGCATAAACTTTCAAAAGTTCATAAAACTGTTTCAGTTGATGAGAGTGATACTGATAAAGAATCATTGTATTGTCAAGTCGTAGTACTCGATAGTTGACATGTGTCAAGATGTCATGCTTGTAAGACAAGCATGACATCTTGACACATGTCAACTATAGCAATTGAGCATTTAATCATTGGTATGACATGAGTATATAGTGAATACAGTTTTCATCATAAAATGCTTATTTACTTATGTGACATCGCAATCATATGAAATCTTAATTATTTATGTTGTGAAATGTATAATATTGATCTAGATGAGTGTGAATGTAGGCTTAACACAAGCAATAGGATAAATGAGATTTCAAATTTGTGGAAAGTTTGAAGCTTTTATAGTTTAAGGTAAGTTCTAAAGTGTATTATATAGGTATACAAAATTAGTAAAAATATTTCAAGATTAATAAAGGTTTAAATGAAGCAAGCAATTATCTATCATTCATAATATATGGAGGAACACTGAAATTAATTTTGAAAACTCTACCAATTTCTTCCCTTGAATAACATTGTGAACATTTTGTATATTAGCATGTTAAAAATGAGGTAAACAGTCTTCTAAAAACATACAAAACATATTTTTTTTATCACAATGTCTTTACTCTTGCTTATTTAACAATATTGGACTGTCATCGTAGAATTTGGCAAACGCATGCTTCGCTGTTGAGTTTGACAATAAAGTCTTCATATTAGTACTGTATGCACTAATATCAAAATATATGTTTAATCCGTGATTCATAAATCATAACAAGTGTTTTTGGATTTTTGAATATAATTGTTTTGGTTTGACACCTTTTTGGAACATACGCAACTTATGTTGTCAGCTAAAAAAAGGTATAGTGAGAAGTATATAAGTATATATAGAATATATACTATAGTATATAAGTATATATATATAGTATGTCTTTAAGCAACTGATTTGGATATCAATCTACACGATATTCTTGATTTTTTCACCCATAAATTCATACGTTACTGCTAGTATTTATTGAAAATCAAAATATTTAATTTTCTTTAACAAAATTTTATAATTAGTGAATAAAATTCCCATGATCAAATTATAGGCAATCCATCAAATATTTTAATGAAAATTTCTTATTATTTTGCATCTGATGTTCTTGCAATTAATAATTATGAATTTGGTCTAAATGTAAAATATTTATTTTATTTACAAAATTACAACCTTATATAATTTTATATGATTTATTTCCTTTTGAATATTGAATTATTTATACCTAAATGTATGTTTATACTTACAGATTTACCATATTTAAAATTATATTTTCATGTTAAACATGCATATTCACTATGAAAAATTCATGCATATATTAATACATACATATTCGATCAGAAGTTTTTACCAACTTTTTATTGAAATTGGGTATAATATATATATATATATATATATATATATTATTTTAATACTGATTATTTTTAAATATAATTTTTTGCTAAAATTATATCATCAAAATCATGCTTTACTTTTCAAGTTTAAATATAAATTGACATAAATTCCTTTGTTAATTTTTCAAGTTTGACATGTAACAAGTTTCACAGTTAGTATTATGATAAAATTTGGTGTGATACAGTTTTTTAATTTAACCATATTTTACTTTTTAATATTCTTGATAATTGAAAAAATAACACTTACATATATCAAAATAATACCTAATATTTCACAATATGCAATATTTATGATTAAATGTGATCATCAAAATTATTCAAATTCATTTTTTGAATAATTCAACATTTATGTACATATACAAATACAAACAAATGAAGATTTAATTTTTCATAATAATATTCGCATATTATCTCTTTTTACACTATATTATTTGCAATAAGGGTTATTGAATATTTTTTTAATTTTTTTTTGCTAATTATAGTGGAGATAAATTATACTCAAGATGGAGATATTAGTTTGTTATAGTTAACTATTATAATTATTAAGATTTGTGTGTCTATTATCTATATAATTTTTTTTTATAAACAACAACATTCAAATAATCCAGATGTTTGTTATTTAAATATTGAGTCTTCTAATCAATGTGTTAGGTGAGATTTATACATCAGCAATCTGTGTTTTTATGGTTTTTATTTTTCATATTATCTATCAACCAGGAGTGTAATTTATGATGAAAAATAAGATTATAAATTCTAATATGTACTATAAAGATTTGTATAAAGTTAAGACTAAAAATTTCAAATACATCTTCTCTTAAAGTGAATATTTATCTTTGTATATAGTGTTACAAGATTTTAATCAACATCATAGAAACATGAAGTCAAAATAAAAATACTTTTTATATAGATCACATCAATAATAAATGTGCTTATTTTGAAATAATTCTGTAAGTTCAATTTGTGAAACAAATAGTTGTATGTATTGAAATTATTATATTATTGATTTACAACTATATTACACGCAATAGTGATGAAAATTAATATTCTTATGTTTTTGTGAATATATTATGTAAAATTTTTGTACTGATTTATTTCACTCAAAATTTTAGATTTCTTTTATATTTACTCTTTCAATTTTATTTGATTTTAACATATAATATCATTTACATGAAGTGAATAACTTAATTGTTTTGAAATTCAAGTGGTAAATTTCATTCATTTATTTCAATATATCAATCTGGTTATGTAAATCTGATTCTAACTCAAAATTATTTTCAATCTCAAAATAATCATTCAATTTTATTTGATTCAATTTTTTGAGAAAATTACGCAAAATTTTTAAAATTTGTTCAAAATTAATAATGTTTTTTTTATTGTTTTCAAACTTGATTGATCGTGATTATTTTGTATACAATAATTTTTAGATTATTTTTTAGCTTCAAAGTTTATTCATATTATGTGAATTAGTTCAAAATAGAATTCATGATTCAATTTATCAATACATTGATGTATATGGCATATTTAGGAAAATAAACTATCAAGCTTGATGAATGAATGAATTTTTTAGAAAATTGCTAGCAGTTAATGGAATTGAACTTTCTATGGTTATTTTAAAACATTAAAATTCTCATCAGATCAAATCTTTGATTTATTTTACAACATATATTAAAAAAATCAAAATGATATAAAATATGTGAAGGTTTGTTATACAAATTTTAGATCAAGTTAAAAAAATTAAAGAAGTTTAAAATATAATTGATGTCATCAACAGGAAAAATGTATAATTCAAATAATAAAACTTAAAAATTATAGGTATTTTAGAAGATGATTATGATTTAAAAATGTATCACATTCCAAATTGATACAAATAAAAAAATTAGATTTTATCCAAGGTATCTATTACTGATAAAATGATTTTTCAATTTATGTATATTCAGGAGATCAGGTTTCAAAATTGAGACAGAGTTAAATTTCAATTGATTTTATCGGCATAGATAAGAATAGTCAGCCATTATTTTTGACATGTAAAAAAAAGTGGTATGTATACATAGGCAACGAATATAATGTTTTGGACATATATTATATACTGCTCATACACATTAGTTGTGGTTGTTAGTCTACATTTCCAAATGTTCACACCTGAATTGGTAACAACTTATTTGACATAAGATATACATGACTCTTGGGTGAAAACGTGTTATGTCTGATACTGGGCACGAGTGATTTTTCATTTCACTAACATTTGTTTAGTTAAGCCATACATATACATATCAAAATTTCAAGTATGTGACAGTATTCATATTTTTTGTTATCTATCATACATGATATAGCTTGGAAAGGTGATAACCAATGTATAGCAAAGCACAGTTCGAATGGCGGTAGCGAAGATATTGAAAAAAGAAAGGTAAGTAACATACATTTCTTCGTCCCTAGAGTATTTGACCGCGGACCCCGATTTCCACATATTGGTAAGTGAGAAAAGACACGAAGTGCTTAGACTATTTTAAGCCGCTTTATTCGTCACTCTTCAAAGAGTTAACATTACTAGTAGATAGGTGTTAACTTTTATTTCTCATTACCATGCTGATGTAGTTGGAAAGAGGAGCTAAATATTTAGTACACATTTAGTATTTACGATGTGATGTTATCGAGGACAACTATGTATAACAATGTGTCGTCCTGATTTCACATATTACACTTACCATAAGCGGTAGATATATTTCTGCGTCAGTCCTGTTTCAAATGCGGGATGGAGTCCGATGCGCTTAACCGTCGAAAGTTACCGTGGGTCCAAGAACGGCGGGAGCCGCGGGACAAGCGAAGTAAGCGTCATTAATGCCCATAACGACAGCCCTCTGCCCGCTCGTCAGATTTTGAATTTTCAAACACCTTCGACAGTAGAGTGCCTCGTTCGCAAATGCTGCGAGAGAAGACAAGATCCTCTCGCTTTTCCTTTTCAAATTTTGCCTGTACAGACGTTGCAGTGGCGACTTCTATCCTTGCGAGCATCGTCCCTCGATGCACAGGTTCTCTCTAGCTCGGCGCGTGCTCTCTACCATTCAAGCATTCGATCGATCTCTTGCGCATCCTCGGACGAGCGTCCGATGTGAAGTGTGGAATTTCTGCGACTCCCGCATTGCAGCCTGCCGTTGCTCTGGACGTAGAGGGAGATGGAGTACCTGTCAGTAATGTCGCCACCCTCGACTTAGAGACCAGCATTACCACGGTCTGCTCTGATCCTTTCTTGTCACATACCGTCGTGGTACAAGGTGCTTTGTGCGTGCGTAAATCGTAAATCGAAGGTCGGTTTTCTTGTTTTGAAATGTTGTCCTCTAGCATGCCCGGTCGGCAAGCTCCGATTGCATGTCTCAAGAGCATCGAGATCACTTCGGATATTGTTTTGAACGAGGCAAGTGGATTTCAGTCTAGACCCTTGCTGCGATGAAATGCAAGATAGGAGCGATTATGCGACTGGAGGAGTGGGGGTCTTGGTTGACCGAAATTCAGGCTTCGTTCAGCTCCAGTTGGAAAATGATGTTTCAGCAATGCACTGACGGCCAGCCACCAGCAGAATGACAAACTCTAGTTTCCTCGACGGGGCGTGCTCTGCTCGGTCGCCCCAGTGAGCAGGAAGTTTTGTCGAGGCCGGGGATGGCCGAAACGACGCCGACATGCGGAAACAAAAGAAACTCTATCAGCAGGGGTGAAGACGGGCCAGCACTGCCGCTCAACAAACGGGTGCAGAGCCCCGTTGTGTTCACAGGCCCAGATGGCAAGATACTAACCAGGGATGGAAATCGGGACAATGGCGAGCGTTGGTCAGCAGCACACGCTAAGTTTGACTCTGTGAAAGCCAAACAAAGGATTCTGTCGAGGCAGGAAGACGCTGCAGCAGACATGGCGAGCAGTACCGGAACTAAGAAGCCGTCTTGTATGCGCCAGCCGGCATTCTCCACTCCGCAGCCTGGGAAGGTGAAGAGTGTACATTTTCAAACTCCGATCTCTAGCTTTCCCAGTTCTGTTGATAGTCCTGCAATGCCTGTGGGAACCATCGAATATCAGAGCACGCCTCTTCCTTCAAGCAAAGCTCGCCCTCCCTTGTCAGGAAGGAAAATGAAGATGAAAGCTGCAGCTAAGTTGCAATTGCTGGATGACCACGAGACTCATGCTTCTCGCTTGGTTCAAGCGCGACTTGATTTTTCTATGGGGAGGCAAGAGCGAGCTTATATCGCGTGGTTGAACCATGTTCTTGGGAAACCTGCCACTGCAGTAAATCAGATGTCCAACTTTGAGGACTTCATATCGAGGAATTCATCACAAAGTACCCCGAATTCGAACAGTAGACCTGGAGCTGGAGACTTAAAATTGATTGATGAGGTGTATTGGGATGAAGACTGTGAAAATGCTTCACCTCGGAATCAGCCTTCTGTCGGAAAGTCGCCAAGGAGTGCTCTGAGACCTCTAAATGGCCTCGCAAGTCGCTACACTGGTAATCCAACTGTAAAGAGGCCTCTCAAGGAAACCTTCCTCGGTGTGACACCAGAAAAGTCGCTCCTTGCTCGCACGGATTCTCCTGCCACGCCGTATCTGAGTTCAAAAAGGTTGAAAATGATCACAGAGCACGGATTTTCTTACTGTCGCGACCTCCACATGCAAGACGTATGCCGCCTGTCCGATTTATCTCGAAGGCTGAATCTCCATTTTAGCCAAGACGAGCGTGAAGAGATTCTTACCACAATAACGCAACTTGCAAAGGTATCAGTTCGACCTTAACCACCGTCAATAGTATTGGAGACTGGATTGATATCAGAAGTCACTGATCGCGTAGGACTTGGTGGGAGAAGATTTTTGTTTTTTTGGATGCACTCCGGGAGCAGTCTGAGATTGAACTTGATTTTAGTCTGAATTTGCACGATATATTCTTGGGATCGAGCTCGATAAGGAGGTAGATCTTTCTGCGGGGAAGTCTGCGTATTAATTCGTAAATATCTGGGTCCTCGTGCAGCATATAGATGAAGGGCGGTTGAGGATGAAAAAGGATTGTGCAATTTTGGTCGATGTAGCATTGCGGAGAAAAGCTCTCTACGTGCTGTTGAATTACAACTCCTACTGGTTGAGAATCGGGTTACATGTTGTTCTTGGGCACACAGCCCTCTTGAATGGAAAGTTGAGCGGAGATGTAACAGGAGTAGGGGTGAAGGATCTGACTGAAGAGTACGCTCTTTTAGAAGTTTTCTTGGAGAGGCACTTTCTTGCACATGCTGGTCTTTCCAAAGCATACGCTACTAACAAGTGAGTGCAATGCCCTCCAAATCTCAATGTGTATTAAGCTGTCAGTAAGCAGTTGTGCCTGCTGGACCCTGCAACCCTTTGGTTGAATTCTGCGTAGGTTTCGTTAAGCTCAGGAATAAAGTCTAAGAAAATTTGAACTGGTGAACAGGGCTATCGATGGGCTATATCGAGAAGGGTATGCTGAAGCCCTCAGTAGAGTGATACTGAAGAGGTTTTTCCTGCTCGTGCTCGTCCTCGATAAAGCTAAACGTCTGACTTCCTTGAAGATTTCCGACGGGATCGACGGGCTGGATGGAGGATCCCCGTCCCTTTTCAGATCTGATGCTAGGGTAAAATCTAGTCGTCAAGCCCTTCAAGGTATCGGACTGCACATATAGTCACCTCGTGGTTCCTGTTTTCACCCAATAGTCTCAAGCTTGAAGGCTCTGCCGTCGCTGAGATGATCTAAAAAAGTGAAATGTATGAACTGACTTACATGCTTTTAGTTTCAAATTTATTCTATTGGTCAATTGTAACACTCTGCTCACCTTAGTTCGGCATCTTAAGTGTTACTTTTTCAGTTTTCTACTTCAGAAATCAACACGAATCAGCCAGACTCCACGCTCATGAGATCAAGAGGGAAATGTAATTAAAAGTCAGCGCTTAACTTTTGATACAGAATTCCTATCGGACGTAATGCACGGTGAGGGAGATGTGATTGGCAACCTTGGAAACCTCGGATATCACGTATATCATCATCAGGTTAGAGCACCGAGTCCAATCTTTGCCCTTATGATCCTTCATGTGGCTTTGAAGATTTGACAGTGCTCTTTGCCCATCTGGCGAGTTACTCATTCTCAATGCTGTTATCAGGTTCCTCTGGCAGATTACGATTTCTCTGTAGTGGACTTGATTGAGGATCTTCAAGACGGCGTCCGTCTTTGCCGTTTGGTCCAGTTATTAGCAGCCAATGATACATTTTTTCTGGAGGTAAGTCTCTTTCGTGAAGTTTCGTTGCAGTGGCTTATCCTGGCAAAGTTTCGCAATTAGTGTATATAGGAATGGAAACAACGAATGGTACCCCCATTTGGTATGTACAGGGAAGCAAGGCACTATTATCGTTGCTGCTCACGTGAAACCTTTGTACCGGAACTCCGAATTTAGAATACCATAATATCAGGCTTACAGCAACCATACTGTGTTCAGAGTACTATGATCTGCTGCCATAATATTCAAGCGCTTCTTACATTATGAGCAGCCTGTAAGGCGTTTGCGTTCAACCGTAACGTATATAGAAGTTCCGTTCCTCAGTTGGTGCCCATGTATCTTGACGAGAGAAGGGGCTACACTAAGGGGAAGATAATTGCTTTGAAATTTTAACCCATCAGAAGTAAAACCAAGAAGATAATCCAAGGACGAAGGTTTTGTAAACCTATTCGAAAAAATGACATTAAATATAAAAGGATCAGAGACAGGAGTTGATCATCAAAAGAAGCACCGATGGAAGAACAAAGAGCCCACGGACGAAGTGTTGGTGGATCAAGCGGATTAACCTATCTTGCTTAAACTGGAGATTCTATCAGGTTTGAAAAGTGCGGCCTGCATTATCCTGTTCTTCCAGAGGCTCTTCTAGCCAGTAGAGAACTGACCAGCTTTATTTAATAAGGCTTTTTACAACTCGGAAACGGGCTCAATTGAATACTAGGATCTCGGAAAACCAAACAGTTTCGTCTAACCCAGTACATAAGTAGCGTGCCCATTGTTTCATAGTATGAGATAGACTATCCTATCCGCCCTTGCACGACCTCCTAGATAGAACACTCGAAACAAAAAGAAAAGGTTGACCTACTTCCAAACCCCTTCACATTAGTCTTAAACATCGTATGTCTCTACTTGTGAATTGCAGCATATTCAGGTTCCTTCAAACGGAAGGAAGAGACAAATCCACAACTGCCAGATTGCCTTGGAAAGTTTGGCCCAAGCAGGAGTTCCTCTTGAAGATGAAGAGGGCTGCAGCATATGTGCTGAAGACATTGTTGGTGGCAACAGAGATAAAGTTTTTCCACTTCTCTGGAATATTATGGTCCATCTACAGGTATCTGGAGGAATGACATTTGAAAATACTTTGTGATGCAATTAGCACCCTCCCCTACTAGTAATTGTCAATACTCCCCCCGTGTTTTGAGAACTCTGTACCCATTTCATCGTGCTTGCAGATACCCTTGCTTGTGAGCAGACCAAGGCTCTGTCAAGAAATCGCTAAACTACAAGGAACAGAAGGACGCTTTGCATTGGTGAAGTCTCTATACTTTTGTTAAATTCATACCTCAGTACGTTTCCATTGAATTGAATGTCAAAGAGCCTACATGTCAGTAGTTTTGACTCTTGTTTGCCTAGAATGCCAATTCACCAATGCGTGCTTCTGGTTTACAGGGACTGAACATAGGGACTGTGGAACTGCTCCTAAAGTGGACTCAGGTTAGTGGCTGTCTGTATTCAGCAACTTATCTTTATTAAATTTCAGTATGTCACCAGCAGAAATTGCACGATTATCTTGGCTGGGAGGTCAGCCAAACCTTTGAAGCTTTAGCCGAAGAAGGCATGCTTTTTGAACTATTTGAGCTCGCCTTGATACATCACTTACAAACAAGCTGAACACATGGTTGCTTCAGTTTTCTGAGAGTAAGAAAGTCGATGATGATTTCCTTAACTCGTCATTACTTTGTGTCTCTGTTGTGATGAACTCTGCTGTGGTCTCGTTCTATTCTCAGGTGGTTTGCATGATCTCGGGTAACCTGAATATCAGAAACTTCAGGACATCTTTTGCTGATGGACAGGCTCTTTGCTATATTGTCAACCTTTACCTTCCACTGTTCCTAGCTCAGGAAGATGTTCTGCGTCCCCTTTGTCATATGAACCTTCAGGTACTTCAGCAGTACGAGTTTTTTGATATTACTATGTATTAGCACTTGAAATCTTGTTCTGTCAACGTGGACAGCAGTACAACCAGTTTTCCAATTTATGTTATCGCTTTTTCTGAAAGACAGTAGCGTGCCATGATGGTTTCCAGGGACGGAGGTTCTAACAGGATGAACACGTTGTTTCAGATTGACAGCACACCCAATCTAAGAGGGCCGTTCAGTCCAGCCTATAAGAAAGCAGTAGCGCATAATTTCGGACTGGTTCAGGCCGTAGCTCGCAAACTTGGAAACATTCCAGAGGTAAGCTACAAATCTTCTTAGTTCACTGATACATGTATAAAATTTAATGACTCCGTTAAGGTCTGTACGTTTCGGGGATACTCACTGTTCGACCTGCAACTCTCTAAATATTCTGCTTGATCTTTCAGGTGCTTCAGCTGGTGGACCTATTGGGTGACCCTGCTATGAGTGAGAGGAACATCATAATCTTTGTTGCTTTCTTATGCTCCAGACTCTTGAAAGAGGAGCCATTGGTAAAACGCTCATGACTTTTTTTGTGCGATTCGTGCAATGTTAGTAAATGGTATATATGTTTCCTGTTGCAAGCATTACCGTCTGGTGTAGCAATCTCTTCTCAGATCTGAGAAAGCTGTCATATGCTAGAGCGCCGAACTCCATCTCCACTCAGGGCCCCGTCTTTCTATTATGGAAAGGTTTAACAGTAGTACTTCGACACTCAGGAGGAAATTCAACGTCAATTCAATTTAAGACATACTAGCAAACTAGCATGAGTTGAGTGGGGTCTCCTCTCTGTTTCGAATGTGACCGTCACAGTTTTCATAATTCATCGTTGTAGGATGACCAAGTTCGAAGAAGAGAATCTATCGATTGGGAAGCTGGTGACCAGCATGCATATTCTGCGGATGATGTTCCTGCTCTTTGTTCATATTCCTCGCGGCGTAGTCTTGAGTGTAAGCAATCTTTCACAACTCATTGATATCAATGTGAACCTTCCAATTTACATACTTTATTTTTTCCACTCATGTAGCTTATTTATCTGAGATGGAGCCCTTTCTGATACAGCTGAATCTCCCATTGGATTTGACCGATCGTACACGGTGCCCTGGCCGAAAGAGGAGGCTCGAAGAAGTGACATATCACCAACTACAGTCTGCAACATCTGCTGCGATAACAATGCGAACAATCCTGAACCTGAAGCTGAGTATAATGAAGAAATTTTGCATAAGGTGTGTAAAGTTCAAGCTTGGTGGCGTGCTCATAGGGCCCGAGAGCTGTTCCTGAGGAAAAAAAGAGCAGTGCAAACAATACAGAAGAGATGGCGAAGCTTTTCTGAAAGTGTACGGACCCGTTGTGCTACGAGGATTCAGGCGCATTGGAGAGGTTACCTGCTGAGGCAGGTTTTTTTGAGGTGGAGAGAGGCTTCGTTAATCCATCGCGAGTGTCATGAAAGGGAGCAGGCTGCATTGGTCATTCAAGCCTATTATAGGGCTTGGATTCGCAAACGGAAGTATCTAGAGACAGTAGGCAATATGTGCAAAATCCAAGCTCTGTGGTGGGCAAACGAAGCCCGAGGGAACTTTCTGATCCAGTGGAAGGCTGTGCGGATCATTGAATCCGCGTGGATTGATTACTTGTTCCGTAAAAGGTCTCACTTCGCTCCAATCGTCTTCCCTCACTGGAAGCAGTGTACAGCAAGGCATAGTTTGATCCGATTGTCTACAGCATCCTCTCTCAATCAGAGCTGGTTCCGTGATCGCTTTGAAGAATATGAAGTTGAAGAAGAGTATAAAATGGTCAATGTTACAGATTGGCTACAAGACAATGAGCTCCAGAGCACGGAGTATTTCAGCACCGTGATTCAAGCCTGCTGGAGGGCTAGAGTTGCTCGCAAACGATTCTTGAAGCAGAGACAAGCAGCAGTTCTGATTCAAGTACAATGGCGAGTTTACTCGTATTTCAAGAAGATTACAGCTGCTGTAAGAATTCAAGCCAAATGGAGGTGTTTCGCATCTTATCGAAGTTTCAAGTTGATGAGATCCAGTGCTCTCTTAATTCAGTGTTTTTATCGTGGGAACTTGGAAAGGAGACAGTATCAGCGACAGAAGCGGTCTATCATCTGGCTTCAAGCACGGTGTCGAGGCCGGCTGCAAATGAAACGCTATGAAGCAGCCCTGGAAAGCATCAGCAGAATTCAGTCATTCTGGAGGGTTTACAAGTGCAGGAAACAGTTCATGAAACTGAAGAGTGCAGTTGTGGTGGTTCAAGCTTGTTGGAGAGGTTATCAGCATCGAGAAACTTTAAGCAAGTCCAGGCAAGCTGCTTCGTTTCTTCAAAAGCGCTTTCGAGGGATCGTACAAAGGAGAGCCTTCTTGCAATACAGGGAAGCTGCAAGGATCATCCAGACCTTCTGGCGGTCTCGGAAGCTTCGACAACACTTCCTGGAGGTAAGAAGGTGTGCTGTACTTATTCAGAGCCATTTCCGAACACACGTTCAGAGAAGGAGATACGCACATATTCTGCTAAATGTCTGCAAGATCCAGGCTGCATGGCGGGCTCTGCAGACTCGCAAACGCATGTTGGAGCATAATATCGCAGCGGTAGTGATCCAGACTCGGTTCCGAGCGTACATTCTGGGCCGTCAACGTCGTGGCCAGTTCTTGCAGGAAAGGAGTGCCGTTTCAAGAATCCAGCGATGTTTTAAAGCTTTCAAATTCAGAAGAAATTTTAGAAGGCTCGTCAACGCGAGCAGAATTCAAAGAACTTGGCGAGCTCATAGTCTTCGTCGAGAGTTCTTGGCGAGGCGGAAAGCTGCTGTTGTGATCCAAAGAACTTATCGAGCGCACTGTCGCGGAAAGGCTGAAAAGTTTATCAGCAGCATATGTAAAATTCAGGCTTTCTGGAGGGCGAAATTAGAGCTTCGACACTTTCTCAGACAAAAAACAGCCGCTAAACTGATACAGCTCCAATTTCGTGCTCTCATGCGGAGAAAGAAAGAAGTTTTGCTATGCAGCGTTTGTAAGATTCAGGCTATCTGGCGAGCTCACAAATCTCGTTCACAGTTTTTGCTGCAAAAGAAATCCGCAGTAACGATTCAGGCCGGATTTCGCTGCTATAAGGCTCGTCTGATGTTTCTAGAACAGAAGAGAGCTGCAGTAGTCATCCAGGCCGCTTTTCGAGCCTTCAACCAGACAAGATTTAAGCCCATCGTTGAGCCTACATTCTGTGGTACTGTGCGTAGAATTTCTAAAATCCAAGCAGTGTGGAGGGCTCTGAAGGCGCGCCGAATGATCTCAGAACAAAGGAGGGCTGCACAGACAATCCAGTGTTTGTGGCGGTATTTCGTCATCAAGCGTAAGAATGTGAGACGAAATGCTGCGGCTGTCGTCTTACAGTCTTGGTTCAGAGCTCTTATTCAAAGACGCAGGTTCAAAAGAGAAAGAAATGCTGCGCTTGCTGTCCAGGCTCATGTCAAAGGATGGATACAGAGAAGAAGATACCGTGGTGTTTTAGGAATTATTAGGAAAGCCCAAGCACTGTTCAAGGCGAAGAAAGTCCGTGTACAATACAGGAATCAAAAGATAGCTGCTTGCAAAATTCAAGCTGCCTGGAGGGGTTTTTGGATCAGGAAAATGGTAGATCGGTGGGGACGAGCATCATCTACTATCCAGGCGCGATTTCGTGGTTATCAGCAAAGAAAGTTTTACAAGAGCTACATCAACGCTGTTGTTCGCTGCCAGGCTTTGATGAGAGGCCACCTCATTCGGCAGAAGATAGGAGGTGGCAAAGTGGGCGATTACAAGATACAAACTGTATCAAACGATGTTGACAAATGCATGGCTGCAGTGCAGATCCAGTCTGGGTACAGTGAGTGGGAAGGTTGTCTCGGAGGTCGGCTGCAGGTTAGTCTGTCTAAACAAAGGTGTACATTACCCATAATCTGTGCAAGTGAACCGAAACCATCGTCACTAGAGTTTTCTCGCCGTTCACCTCCAAGCATCTCCACTGACTTAATTCGGATGCAGTGAGACGTCTGTAGTCTGGTAGCGCTTTAAGAGCTACTCTTGGGCTGACAATTTCTCGTGACCAAAATGCGCTGTGCGAGTTTGAGACGTATCGTACTGACTCGAATATTTTGTATTCCTCTTGCAGGTGCAAGAACTCGCGAAGCAGACTGGTATGAATGAAACTGTCCAGGATCTGTCTGTTTACAAGGAGACTGAAGAGGAATTGCCACTAGATGTGAACGAGAAACTTCTACAATCTGTTTTGAAGCTACAAGCTATGTTCCGACTTGCAGCTGCAAGACGAAAGCAAGTTCTCTCCAGGTCTACGAGGAGATCCTCGCGACGACTTTCCGCGAGGGTTTTGGATCAACTCTTTGGAGATATCGTACCAGAAGATCAACGAGGACTTACCCCTGTCGAAAATGTCGTTCAGTGCCTTCAGCTCGAGAGGTCGTGTTCAGAAATTGGTATTGTTCGATATGAGTATTGTGAACAGGCGTATGCGGCCATGATGATCCAGGCCCTCTGGAAAGGTTATTCAGTGCGAAAAATATTCGCCTCACGTACAAACAAGCAGCTAGTTGATTGTAAAGAGCAGCAACTAGTGAATGGTACAAATTTCGGCCCAGAGAAACTCAGAGCAGACGAACTGAGCGCTGGCCGTACGATATTCAGATGGCTTACCTTCTGGAGGGAACGCTCTCACTTTGTAAAGATAAAGAAAGTCACAGTGTTCATTCAAAGGCTTATCCGTGGATGGCTGTGTCGTTGTAAATTTTTGCAAGCAAGAAAGTCCGTCGTATGTATTCAGGTTAGTGATCCTGCTTCGAACGCGTTCTCTTGTTCTCTACTATGATTCGTTCTATTATTGACTACATCGAGAGTTCTTATGATAATTTGCTTCATGTTTCATTGTTTTCAGGCACATTGGAGGGGCTTCTTACTGCGTAGAGAGATCAGTCTGGTCAACCAAGAACTATTGCAGCTCCGTCAGCGAATTCAGTGTACAGCAGCCAGTGTACAGGACAGCGATCGCCTGGGAAATAGACTGACTGAAGCATTAGCACTTCTTCTGGGCCAGAAGACTGTGACCGGCATATTGAGTATATGCCGAACAATAGGTATAGAGGAATTTATCTTGCGAAGGGTGAAATGACTAAGAGGCCTTTGAGTTTTCAGACTTCCAAGTTTTCAGGTTTTCAGATGGTTAAGTTCATTCACTGTGTCGTTTATTTTCATGCAGACGTAGCAACGCATCACTCGAAAAGTTGCTGTGACCGATTAGCTGAAGCAGGTGCAGTGACGAAAATTTTGAATCTGATTCAAACCATTAATCGCAGTCCTCCTCACGAACAAGTGTTGAAGCACGCTCTGACAATCCTGAAGAATCTTGCTCACCATCTGCATCTGAGACTACGTATTGCTGAGGCTCCAGGTGCTATAAGTATAATCACTGAACAGCTCCACATGTTCAGGTATTTTACAGAATCCAAAGCCTCACTCATCTTAATGCCAAAATTATTTTCTTCTCTAAGATTTTCTATGATAGGGGGTGCTTCTAATTGTGGAAACAAGCAATTACAGAATTTAACTCGAAGGGGGCGATGAACGCAACTCAGTTCTCACAACTCCGCGATGGCCCCTCCTGTGAACTGGCAGTAGGGAGACAAATTCTGATCAATAATCTTGCAATGACTATACTCCTTTGCAGATACAAGGAAGACATATTCATGAGGGCAATGGAAGTTTTGAAGCAAGTATGCGAGCTTCCCGTAGGAATCGCGGTCTTGCAGCGTGAACCGCAAATTTTCCGACGTCTTCAGCTCGTTGCTCAGTCGTTGGATCGTAAGATCCAAGTTGAAAAGAGGTATGACTCATGCTGAATATGGATACTTTCCAGGAGGTTTTTGTGATACTCAACTAGATAGTGCAACTCTGCATGTGATCACTGCATCCCGCTACTGGAGTTACTTATCTCTCAGGTTAAAAAACAACTGAAGAATCGATTTGACGTAAGATGCGTATCATGTGTACATGGTATTGATAGTCAAATCGGTCGTTTTGTTCTTGACATTTAAGCGACTAACCTATGGAAGTGTCGCAGAAATCTCGACAAATTACCTCCTTCCACGGCTCCTGTACAGAGGAAGCTAGCCGAGAAGAAGCTTGTCGAGGCGTCGGGTCAATTTTCATCCGTAATGTCCCTCTTGAAGGGGATCACCCAACTCGAGCACAGTCAGAGGAGGAAGACCACGCCGATGAGTGTACCTGTCCCCAGCGTTTCAAAGCAAGTGCCTCGAAGTTGCCACCGGCCGTCTTTGGCCCCAAGACCTTCTCTGGCACAACGGGTTCCCCTCCAAGATAGAACGAACTGGTGATCTCGGAGCTCGCCGTGACTCTAGACTGTGACCTGTACATTAGACCGTAGCTGCACTCGGACTGATAATCTATCACACGAAGAGTTCAGAACAGACTCAGTCCGGACACGACCGCTTTGACCGGTTCACAAGTGTAACATTATTACCATTTCATATTGAAGCATTCGGGGTATACGCCCCTTCCAAAGCGTCCATTCATTGGCAAGTATCGAGTGTGGTTGAATTTGATGCCCATGCGGTTCTGCTCGGAGTAAAGAAGGTGATGGTGGTCATGCCTCCAGTCGAAACGGGAATCTCATTGTCCAACCGTGACATTGGAAAGCAACGAGTTTTCGCTCCACATGTTGACTAGCGCCATGTTCTTTTGTCCCGTAGGTGGAGAGCAAGTTGACAAGAGTGACACGCCTCAGGGAGCACTGATTGAATGATTCGACCCGCGGCTTAGCTCACAAAATTCCCAGGACGCAAGATATTAACAACCGTCGACACGACTCGGGAGGAGTGCGCGGACCGGAGCCCGCCCGGAGCCTATCTGATTCCCGTCTTGCGTCCTCGTGATGTGGAGTCTGTGACTTTCAATCTGCCAGAATCCTCTCGGGACGGGGACGGGGCCGCGTTAGTCGCCTTTGTACCCCTCCGTATGAGTGAAAGTCAAACCCTCCATTAAACAACTGCCGTCGCCTTGACCCGCCAGCAACAACCCACCCGCTTTATCCGGTCTCCAGGATCCGACCCGACCCGTCCCCACCCGGTCCGGCCCGGCCTTGCCTTGCCCTTCCCTGCCCGCCCTGCCCGGCCCTTGTGTCGTCTGCTTGTCTGTGCGCGCTGGCTGGCTCCTTGCCTGCTTTCTGCGACGTCGGCTCTCTAAGCGACGCGGAAAGGAGACTTCACCAACTCTTCTGTCTCTTCCTCCATCTAACGATTCTCGGAGTTCGAGAAAGCATGGACCGTGCACTGTCCTCGCCAGCCCGGCTGCCGTGAATCCCTAGGCCCGAGCCCCTCTCACGCAAAACTCCTTCCCCTCTCTCTCTCTCTCTCTCTCTCTCTCTTGTTTTGCTTGACTGCCTGCCGGGAACCTTTCTCTCTTGTCCGGCGCAGCCATTCACGAGTTTTCTGTCTGGCATTCGTTCTGTCGGGGCTCTTCCTTCAGGCACTTCTTTCTTCTTTCCTCCATCCTGCGTTCCCCTGACAGTTCTGGCTGAACCCGACAGCCTCCGAGCCTCGCGACTGAGTCCAGATCGCGATATTGTTGGGGTGTCTTTTTACTGTCCCGTTCGAACACCGGGACTCGTTGTGTATCGTACCAAGAGTTCATGGGAGAGCGTAAACATTCAGCGATAGGCCTACAAAGTAACGAGTCCAGTCATGTAATTTTTTGCAAAATAAATGGATGCGGGACAATTAAAAAAAATTATTACTTTTATCTCGTGTCTAGGATCCAAGCGGTACTACACATGATACTGTAACTAAAAATAGAAATTTCATTGACATACAGTTCTAAAGATTAAAATGAATATATATATGGTTTGTCTCAGCTAGTCTATGTTCGCATACACAAAGATTATTTAAACACTAATTTGTATCACGAAGATATCTGATAAATTGTCTTGAGATATTAATTGATTCATCATTGGTAAATTAACAATGATTACACAGACTTGAACATCTTACTCCAAGTCATGTTTTGATAATTGTATCATCTATATGATCATTCTGTTCAAATTGTATATACTCTAAAGAAAATGAAGAGAATTTCGTGTGCGAATACTTGGTTCAACACTGAAAGTTTTTCTGAAGAGATCAATAAAAACAATGTATGAAAACATCTTTAGCCAAGAGGAAACATCAACCATCCAAATTCATGATAAGGTTTCAAAACTTCAATTAAGTATATCTTTAGTGAAAATCATCCCAGAGTTCAGAACTAACAAAGCATTTTTCATCCAAACATTAATCATCATGTCATGAATTTTTTTATATATATTTCACTATTTTGAGCAATAATAATTATGACTCTTCTTTGACTTTTCAAAAATACTGTTAAGTCAAACTTTACTTGTAATCCAAGATTACATTTCATCAAATTGTAAAAAGATTTGTAAACTTAATAAAGATTGAGATTCTTTAAAATCCAAATTGTGTTTGCATTTAGGCATATATTCATTATTATGAATTGTGACACCAGATGTGGTAAGTATTAAATAGTATTATTAGTAGTCAAGGATTTCATCATGGTTAACTTAGGTATGATTAAATCTAACTAGTTATGACTTGTTTCATCAATGAAGAAGTGACGATTTTTAGTATCTTAGAGTGTTGATGTGTGTGTACTTGAATGATGAATGAAGAGAATGTGTGAGAGTGTGTCGGAGATATCAATATGAGGAGGAATGTAATCATCTTTAGTTTGATTAGGAAATGTAACCATCTTTAGCAATTCAAATTATGGATTTGAATTGCGAACGACTCGATCTGATTTGGTTCAACACTTATGTAGAAATTAGAATATTATATCGACGGAAGAGATTGTGGAGAGAATTTTTTGTGAAAATTTATGGAAAAAAATATTATAGAACTTTGATAAAATCACCTATACTTTTGATGATTCTTTTGTTGAGAGTTCAAATGTGATTATACCTACTTGTGTTAGAGTGAGTGTGAGAAAGCATGGGAACATAAGTTTAAATGGATGAGATTCCCCAACGCAATCATGACGGAGATGAAGAAGTTGAGAAAAGTGACAGTTATTGACAATCGCTTTTCTCAACTTCTTCAATCAATGTGATCAAATCATACCAAACAACAACCCATGGAAGATAAAATCTTTGCATTGAAGAGTGAGACGGTAGAGAGAGAAAGAGTTGGAGAGATGAAAGTTGAGTTTCAAGTTCAAGCTTTCCATGTTTAGTCGATACCAACTCCTATTGATGCACCTAAGTCATCAATTGATCTAATCAAATCAAAACCAGATCTTCAAGAGATTGAAGATCAAATAGATTTTTTGTTTCGAATGAAAAAATCTTGTAAGGTAAAAGCTTACAAAACTGCAGGCTAGAACAACCCCGACCATATGATCGGGGTTTTACGGCATACGATGACCGTCGTGACGGTGTCAACTTTCAGCAGGTCCAGCACTTAACCAATAGTCAATGCACCCTGGTTATGTGAACACGTGTCGACTATCAGATAATCACATTAATCCTACTCCTGCTCTAGCTTCTTCGTCCTTTCACATCAGAAATTCTGCCCACAGAAGGCCACTCAGGCCTCGTTTGTCTGCGACTCGTCCTCACGCAGTCTAAGTGCACTTGCAGATGATCGTCATCTTACGGAACCAGTCACGCAAAAAAGTAAAAGCCACGCAGTCTGCATGAGCCAAACGACGATTATCACATCATTCAATCGTTCAAGTGCAGAAACGGAGTACATGATCCCATAGCAGGATTGAAACCTGACTCTGATACAGAGAGCTTTCTCCAATCTTTTGTTGCTCTTTGACGTGAATTTTGCTACACAGTCTGATTTTACCATGAGTGTTGATTAAGAGTTCCATGAAAATGCTTGTGGGAAAAAAAGCATTGATTTGTGCTCCCGGCACAATGAAGATGATCGTTAGGTTCATGGTTGTGTGATTCAAAATGCATCTTGCGTTCCTGTATTAATTTTAAAATTGAAACTTTTTGGACGAGTTCTTTTTAGTACACTTGTACAATCACACATAGAAACAAGTTGACGAGGAATGATTAGTTTCCATTGTTACAAACTAGCCTTTGTGAGTAGCGACTTGTCTATGTCTATCCATCTCTTTGTTTGTCTAACCAGTGTGTCTGCGTGTGTGCCTACCTTCACACAATCAAGCAAGCCACGCTAGGCACAAGCGGATAACTTGTGAATCATACATATAAAAAGAAAATCGATTCTTCTAAAAATAGTCGTCAAGCTGTCAGCTCGAACAACCCATTAGGGGCATTAAATCACAACACTTCTCATTTGCACCCCACCTATGGAATCTGAAAACAATTATGTTGTACTCACTATGATGGTTTCTATCACACTGAGATATCACCTAGCTTTTGACATGTAGTTTACAATCTATTCATCAATGACAATGTCAATGATCAATGTGGCCGAGATCCATATCTGTAAAAGAACCATGAATGCTACTTTCTCAGGGTTACGGACTGAATAAGAATTATGCATTTGAAACAATGCAACATGTCCATTATAAGCTTTCTTAGAGTGAAGCAACATCAAGTAGTGACCTCAATTTCTATATTTCCATTTCAAGACAACAAATGCGTACATTTAGAAGAAGCACGTCACACTCACAGCAGGTAGGTTCCCCAGATGAGAATAATGTAAATTTTATGAAGAACAAATACAACAAGAACAAGACCATAACAACAACATTATACAGAGTTGTCACAACTTGAATATCTTCAGTTGCTATCTCCGCTTGCAACAAGTTTGACGTGCTGAGAGGTTTGTGCAATCATCTGGTTAGACAAAGTTGTTAGGACTTCCATGACTTCTGCCACTAATCCCAACTACAAGAAGTGCATTCATTTGAAGAAAAACAAGATCACTTCCAAAATTTGTCATGTAGTGTACAAAATTTTTTAATTGCTTGATTTTTTTTGTGTTTATCAATGAGGCTTCAATACTAGCATGTTTGCCTCACTATCTGCTGGAAAAAAAAATTCTGAGATTTTTTTGGTATAACTAGGTATACACTAGCGAATTTTTGATACATCTCCACGGGTGTAAAATGATGAACAGAACTCCCACTGATGTATTTAGGACTTTTACACCTTTAGGTGCTGCTTGAACTAGCTTATCATGTCTTCATGGGCAGATTTCACCTACTTAGTACTATTTACATCAGATCTAATTGCCCAGCCATGTACCATCCCAAGAAAGATCTTGAAGGAGCTTGCCACCTGAGCCATGTAAACACAATTAAGACTCACTTTTAGTGCCTCGCCGCAAGGATACAATTGCAAATAAAGACTCAAAGTATGCAGTATACTCAACTGGGAGACTAATTGAGGTTACATAATATAGATTTGGCTTCATTGTCTGCAGCAAGGCTCTGAGCCCGTTTGTAACATGGAATCAATGAGTGATATAGAAGGAAAGTATGCCATAATATCATGAGACTCACGGTCAATTGTACAACTAGGCAACATAATAAATAGTTTGTGAATGTAAAGCCATGCACTTCCCCGTATGATGGTAGTTCTCAAACTTCGTCACTGTGATTTTAACTTTTAAGATTTCATTTCAATGACAAAAACATGCATGAGACTCACGGTCAATTGTACAACTATGCAACATTATAAATAGTTTGTGAATGTAAAGCCATGCACTTCCCTGTATGATGGTAGTTCTCAAACTTCGTCACTGTGATTTTAACTTTTAAAATTTCATTTTAATGACAAAAACATGCATGCGTAAATCAGTTGTGGAGACGTTAGTAAAACATAATGGTAGTTATTTAGTACAAAGAGATGAAAAGAGGGAAATTTAACTCAAGTTCCTACAGATCTTTGTTCAATACACATGAAG